TTATGTATGACAGTTGAAGGCAGAATGGAAATAAATGAGTTTTGCTTCTGATCTCAATGGCGTTGTACTTTTAGCAACAATTGAATATCAATGAGAGTTTTATTATATGTAAAAACATATACATTGTCCCATAAATTAATTTGTGGCTTGTGAAGACTCATGTCCAGAACAGCCAGTTTATTATTATTACTCATTATTATGTTTATCACTATATTTCACAATATTTTTTTATGATAAAATAAGTGCGCATTTGATCTCCAACTCACCCAATTACTGTACTTCTGTAACATAAATTTTCATAAATGTACAGATGTCAGCACAATAACCTACACATTGACACAGATCTTGTTCCGTTGCACTAAAAATGACATACAAATAGAAGTGTTGCTGTAAGCTGCTGTAAGAATGTGTTGTTAACTGTACTTTGACGCTAATGTTAGAATGCCAATTTCCTAAAATTTTTCTCTCAAAGACACTGATATTTTAATACTTCAGAAAGTTGTGCAGGAGTGGGCACAAAAACTCATGACATTTTTATTACAATTGGATGAATAATAATGGAAATTTATAGGATAAACATTCATTATTATGAATGAGTTGCGTCTCAATACTGCTTTTGATACGTTTTACGATTTGTTTACTCTGTTATTTGAACTCTGTTTCCAAAACGTAAAATTAGAAATGATTTTAATGCTAAGAGACAGGAATAAAAAATCATGTCAAACCACGCGCACGTTGAGATATCAATATTACAAATTACATATTCAGGACTCAAAAACAACATGTTTAAAATATTCTAGAATTTTAAGAAAATGCGTCAGTAAATCTCAAAAAATAGCCAACAATGTTTACCTAAACAATTCCAAAAATGTTTGCAAAGCAACATGGAAAATCATAATGAGTGACTCACCGAATAATGTGTGTGAAAGAATAATAGAAAGAATTATTTACAATGACATAACATTGGATAATACTACTGACATAGCGGAAGCATTGAGCAATAGTCTAATAAACGCATCTACTTCAAAAATTACAATCAGTCATCACGCCTATCCACAAAAAGGGTGATAAAAAGGATATTTAACTAACTATCGTCCAATTGCTCTAATACCAGTACTTAGCAAAGTCTTTGAAAAAGCTATACACAATAGACTTACTGACTTTTTTAGAAAAATACAATATATTAAATGCTGACCAACACGGCTTTCAGAAGGGCAGATCGACAACCACTGCTGCTTTTAAGTTAGTTACTAATATTACCGAAAATTTGAATACACTCACAGCAGGAATTTTCTTTGACATGACCAAAGCGTTTGATTTTGTGTCCAATACTATACTATTTTTACGGCATACGAGGTACAGCTCTCGCATGGTTGAACAGTTACATCAAGGATAGACAGGATGTCAGAAAGGAGTGACAGAAATGTAGAGGTGACAAGGCTTCCTTCAAAGAAGGAAGCGTATTGGGTCCACTCTTATTTTTTATCTATATTAATGATCTTCCTGCAGTAACAGGGCATAAATGTATACTCTATGCGAATGACCTTTCCGTACTGGTTCCCATCATAATCTGGAGTTAAACAAAACTGTTGCTGGTGTTATTGATTGGTTAAGATTGAACAATTTGACTGTTAATCTAAGTAAAACTAAAGCAGTTAATTTCTGCAATGTAAACTCAAGGAGTCTAGACTTCAACATTGCATACAATAATGAAAAAATCATCAGTAGTGATGAGATAAAGTTTCTGGGCATCATTTTAGATAGTGGATGTTCTTGAAATTCGTACATTGACCAACATGTAATAAAATTGACCGTTTTACGTATGCTCTTTGGCGTCTATCTAGAACTGTCAGCCAAACTGTTGCTCTTCAGGCTTATCATGGGTATGTTGTTTCAGTGATAGCTTACGGTATTCTGATCTGGGGCAACTCGTGTAACATTAGCAAAGTCCTTATCTCGCAAAAGCGCAGCGTTAGATCGATTTGCAACACTTCACCTGTAACTTCGTGCCAACCACTTTTTAAGAAATTAAATTTATTAACAGTGCCATGCATTTACGTTTTGAATGCCTGACCTTTGTCAAGCAAAATTATTCATTATTCATTATCAACGACATAAACCTTTATTTAACACGAGGTGTCCGGATAGACTTACTGTACCGGTTAACATAAAAAGAGAAGTGTATCGTCGTAACTGTCTACCTATGCGTGTCAAAATATATATATTTTGACACACATAGGTAGACAGTATATGTATATAATCGCTACCAATTGAGATTGGGGTTGTAACATTATAAAGTAGAAGTACTACACATAGTCATTTTTACTTGACATTGGCGAAATCATCGTTTCTTTCGATGGAGAAAGAAGAAGAAGAGATAAAAAATACGCCATATACAATATTCCGAAAAAGGTTATATCCAAAAGGTTATCTAACTGTTATTTTTATTCAATTCAAGTTATTATTAGTTATTTATTTAAACTTGGACAATGTCAAGTTTGCGACTTGTTATTTTAAATGAACATAATTTAATAAAATATTTTAATAATTAATATAAGTACACTAAATTTGTGGTAAATTTGCATGCTATTACTACCTAAGTGTGATATATGTTAATCCAACTATGTACACCACACTTACCGCGAATAAATTGTTATTATTATTATATTAATAGCACAGGTTTCCTTTTTCCTGGTATGTATTATTATTTTATTTATTTATTATTTATGAATAAGATTTTATGTGTATACATTATAAACATTTTATATTCACTCTCTCTTTTTCTCTTTATTTAAATCTTTAAATTCTCAGGACCATAAGATTTTTTATACTATAATATTTGGGATAATTGAATCTATAAGGGTAGTAGTGTATTTCATGAATTGTATACAACTTAACATTATATGACATTACACAACATAAAAGTGATAATGAGTGTATTTCAAATCTAACAACTAGATTTGTAACGAATATTTAGTTACTATTTGTTATTTGTCTTATTCGGCCTGTATTCTGTTAGTCGGACGAATATTGGTTCACTATTCGGCCAAAAACTAATACCTAAAAACAGAAGGAAGAAATAAGAAGTATATATGTTGCTATGAACCCAAAGTAAGTAACTAAAGCACATGTGTTATGGAAATCGGAAACAACGACGATACCAACAAACACACAAACCCGAGACAATATAGAAAAGTCAGGTTTTCTACATTGTGACCTCAGAGATGGCGACACAATGAAAACGGGTGTGCATGCCACTCGTACCACTGAGGTTGTCTAAACTTATAAAGGACATGCATTGTAAGTTTTATTTTAAAATTAAACAAAATAACTTACTTTTCCAAAAGATCAAAACATCTTAACATACGAAATGAAAACAACCTACTTATTTGTAGTTTACTAATGACTAAATAAAAGCTAACAAAATCAACCAAGTACTAATTATTCGCAAATCGAAACAAAATTTTATTTCGATTTGTTGTGTTTTTGACAGTAAATAAGTGAAGTAAATCAGTGTTGGGCGTTAATCAATTAAATTTCAATCAATAATTCAATCAGATTAAATTGATTTTAATTGCAATTGATTTCAATTGAATTGATTTTAATTGCAATTAAATTTGCAATTAAAATCAATTCCGGCCGCTTGGGGGCCCGGTTGGGGCCACGTTGGGGGGCCCGGTTGGAGGCCCGGTTGGGGCCCCGGTTGTGGGGCCCGGTTGGGGGCCGCGTTGGGAGGCCCCAGTTGGGGTCCCGGTTTGGACCCCGGTTTGGAGGCCCCGGTTGGGGGCCCAGTTGAGGGCCCCGGTTGGGGGCTCGGTTGGGGGGCCCGGTTCGGAGCAATCGGGTCCCTTAACTGGCCCCCGAACTGGGCCCCCCAACCGGGGCCTCCGACCGGGCCCCCCAACCGGACCCCCAACTGGGGCCCCCAACCGGGCCTCCAATCGGGCCCCCAACCGGCCCCCTAACCTGCCCCCAACAGGCCCCCACAACCAACGCCCTAACTCACCCCCATATGCCCTATAAATTTATCATAATTGTCAGTTTTAATTGTTAATCAAAAACATTGAAAAGATTGAAAATTGATTAATTGTTAATTGTAGATATTTGCGATTAACGATTGATCAATTGTTAGTTGCGAGAACCGCAATTAACAATTGATTAATTGTTAATTGTGGTTCTCGCAACTAACAATTGATCAATCGTTAATTGCTGTTTCGCAATTGACAATTAATCAATTGTCAATCTTTAATTGCCCGAACAATTAAATTTTGCCCAACACTGAGTAAAATAAACAATTACTTTCTTCGTTATGCCAATGAAATGGAAAATTTAAGTACCTTTTTTCTTTCATTGTACAAAACTATTATATACTAAATAATATTATATACTAAAGTCAGCTACAAAACTAACTAAAGTCGGATTGTGTATGGAGTACGCTGGCACTTATGGCTCTTATCTTATCTCCATCTTATGGGATGGCTCTTAGCAGAGCCATCCCATAAGATACCAATTGGTCAACTTGGATTCAGTTTAAAAGTGTGCTAAGAGGCTTATAGGCGACACGGATTTAGTAGAGGCGAAGCTGCAGAGCATTGAATACCTCCATTGCTTGCTTGTCGGTATTCTACAGGATATATCACGGAGAGTGTACGATGAAATTGCATGAATTAATTCCGTCTTGCCCTTTCAATCATCGGGGGACTAGGCGTAGGCTGCGGTTCCACATCACACATGTGTGCATGCTACATCACCGACCTCGTCGTCACTTTCAATCAGACGAGATGGAAGTCAAATGCGCACTTATTTTTGTATAAAAAAGCGAATGAAATGATACTTATTATTCACGCCAATTTTCGTACGTTCGTTAATTCAAAAATTCAAATGTCACAACGACCTTTGAATTCCGTCCTCTAAAAATACAAAAAATAAAATATTGATTATTTATTCCAATACACAAAAATAGCAAAGTTACAACAGATAGTCCCTTTCATAATTTGCAGATTCGAATAGTATCAGAAGGGCTAATAACTCCTACTGGAATTGCCATCGATTGGTATACAGAGAAGATATACTGGACAGATGGAGAGACAAACAGAATAGAAGTAATTAGCATTGAACAGAAACATAGGAAGGTGTTATTCTGGTCTGAAGTGGATTTGGCCCGAGCTATTGCCATAGTTCCTAAAGTAGGGTAAGATATTTGTAATGCTGTTCATTGTAATATTGAAATGATTGATAGAAATGACTTACCACAGTCACCATATTTATTAACGTGGAATCTATTTTATTTGAGACTATACTTATCGCACTAAGCTGAATCGCCATCGACCACGTGTCGTCGCAGCCGTTCGGACATAAACGCGACCGATCGGGCTTCGATATGGCATGAAAAAACTAATAGAAGTACTATTGACAATGACATACATCATACATTGTTTTACAACTTTATTAATCCGAATGCCTCTTTACAGACTGATGTTTTGGACAGACTGGGGAGAGATACCCAAAATAGAAAGAGCCGGTATGAATGGTGATCCTAAAACTCGAAAAATAATTGTTAAAGATAACATATTTTGGCCTAATGGCATTACAATAGATTATAATAACAATATGATCTATTGGGTAGACGCAAAACTGCAGTTTGTAGATGTTATTGACTTCAATGGTAATAAGAGAAATAGAGTTGTGGAGGGAAAAATAGAGTACCCATATGCTCTCGCCTTCTTTAGTGAGAAGCTTTATTGGACTGATTGGAAGACCTGGTGAGTACCACATTTTTCCTTCTTTAAAACTTCTTAAATATTACCGAAACCTATACAGGAAGTTTTGTACGATTATATAATTAGATACCCATATATCCATTCAGCAGTTCTGCCGTCCGTATCATAAACAACGTAATCGACATTTATAGCGAAATTGAGTTTATAACATATATGGAATCAGAAAAACGAGATCATCAACCTTCTATAAGCGGTTTTTTGTTATATCTTATTTAGTTTATGTTTTATTGTTAACCAAATTTAGCGTAATTCACATTTTTTTAAAGAAAAAATCCTTATATGACAATAACTCGAAAGATACCAAAATGTAAATGCTAAAAAAATAATGAAGGGTCCTAGAGACCCTACTTATTAGTAAACGTTGAACACAAAATGTCCTGGATTGCAGCATTTGCAGCATAACCAACTCTTCACCACTGTACAGTAGCCACATATCTCTCATTTATTGCAAGTGAAATGATAGCTTAATAATATTATATATATAAGCCTGCAGTGAATGTGATACGACTATTAAAAAATGCCAAATGCCAATAGGAAAAACAATTTTTATTTTAATACAGAATTCAATTTGGCCCCAAAAATTTTACTTTTAAAGATTTTGCTCCATTATTCCTTGAGATTTAAGTTTTTTGACTTTTGTTTTAACTTTTTGATGATTAAACAATTTTTACATTTATGTCAAAGCTCTTATAATTACGTATATTATTTCCAAATTTTATTTTATATTTTATTCATACAGTTCTACAAATTACCACAATCTGTCGTTTTCAGGAGCATCTACTCCTGGGATATAACGTCAAATGGTCCAATAAACGAACTTATGAAATCCTCACCAGTACCAGTAGATATCAAAGTGTATGACCAAAGCAGGCAACTCATGCCTGAAGGAGATTACCCATGTAAAGTGAATAACGGTGGCTGTTCACATTTGTGCCTTTTGTCGCCCAATGCACCTGGTAAGCGTTTGATGTTGACTCTACATAAATGTAAAATAAGTTAGAATAGAATAGACATTTATTGCAACGCGACAACACATAGATACAAAAAAAATGATAACATAAACAAGGAAAACAAAATTTAAAAAATTAATGAACACAATAAAAATACAATAAAAACACTAAACAAGACAAATCTGACAAAAAGCAAAAAACAAATTACTACAAATTTTGTACCGTCATTTGTGCGGTTGTGGCGTACGCAAAAGGATGTGGTGGCGCTGGTTTTTAATGAGGCCTGAAGCCAAAAAGTTGATTAAACTCAATATACTAGAGCTAGTTTTAGATGGAACCTAAACACAGGTTTTTTTATTTCATCCAGGTTACACATGCGCATGCCCAACAGGCGTGAAATTACGAGAGAACAGTAATACAACCTGCTACACAAGTCCTCAGTCATTACTTCTAGTCGCTCAACGTTCTACGATATCAAAAATATCCCTAGATTCGCTTGACTTTACACCTTACACACTGCCATTAAAGGACTTGAAGAGAGCCCAGACTGTTGATTTTGATCCTAAGCATGAATATTTTTATTGGGCTGATAGTCTGGTGAGTGCATCCACTGATATTTGAATATCTTATTTATATTCTTTAAACAAGTGTCTCTTTATTATAAAACTGTAATGAAAGAAAATTTGAGGCCTGGAAAATTGTAATCTACGATACGGTACACCGAAGACATTGGGCTCATTCAGAGTGCCGTCGCGGGCGCGGCGGCGGGTGCGTGCACGAGGGTCTTGGCGTCTTCCCTTTCACAGTGCCGAAGTGACTAAAACCTAGATCCACACATCGAAGTTGCAAACAGACGCTAGACCAAGCACTGTGAATGGTACGGGCGAATTGAACCAATACAACCACCGCGCCCGCGCCCTCCTCGACATAGGCACCAGCGCGGGCGCAGCGAGTGTCTACGTATACATTTGATTTACACACACCCGCCGCCTCTCTGAATAAAGCCTTTGTAAGCGGTAGTAGCCTAGTGGGAAAACGGTTGTTTCCCAATTTTGGTTCGACTTTAATTTCTAACGTACATTTATGATAGTTTAGTGGCAATAATTAACGTGATGAAAGCTGCATGTGGGAAATGGTTCACAACCACTGGAGAAACGTGTGAAGTCCCCAACCCGCATAAGACCAGCGTGGAGGTTTACGGCTAAACCCGCTGTTTAGAGGAGCAATAAAACTTGTAATAAGTTGGTGACATAATGTGTTTGTGGGTTTAAATTCCTAGTTGGAACATTTTATTTGCAGTTTAAAAAAGTGACAAAGTGGCAGACCCAGGTACAAAACCTGGGCCTGCAGCAGTGTGTGCTATCATCAAACAAACGATTGATAGCGTCATTATTGTGCACAAGTTTCGTCATAACATTTTCATTAAATTCATTCAGGCAAAAACCATATCCCGCGCTCGCTTAGACGGTAGTGAGCAATCCGTTGTAATACACAGCAACGGAATGCCGGATAGTATCGCAGTAGATCCATTGGCGAGAAACATTTACTGGACCGATCCCGTCACGGACACTATTAGCGTGGCGAAGCTCGATGGTAGCTCTAGAAAGGTAAGACGTAGAAAAGATCCTTATAAAAATTACCTGTTCAAAATTACTCGTAACTTTCGTCATAATCCTTCAATTCATAGTTACGTTCAGATACATGGTTGTTGTTGCACACATATTGCAGCTCCGGTGGTACAGGTGGGGCACAAATCTTCAGTTGTTCAAAATCTCAAATACCCTTTCTCTGTCCACATTAGTCCTTCCATACAATCAAAGTTCTAGATCTCTTAGTAAGCTATATATAATTTGAAACATTTCTGCAGGTTCTAATTTATGACGATCTATATCAACCACGAGCCATAGTACTTCATCCGACCGCTGGATTAATGTTCTGGTCAGACTGGAATGAGAAGAAACCAAAGATCGAGCGAGCTTATCTCGACGGAAGCGGTCGTACTTTACTTGTATCCGAAACTCTAACTTGGCCTAACGGAATGGCGTTAGATGTTATCACCAATAAGCTATATTGGGGTGATGCTAAAACACATAAAATTGAGGTAACTTTATAAACAATTGCACATGTATTTTTGAAAGTGAATTAAAACAATGGTGGGGTTCTCTGTGCAGTAGCAGTCTGGGTAAATGATGCTAATATATATAACGAGCAGTGCTATGTTCCGGTTTCAAGGTTAGGGAGACACACCGTTGCAGCCACAGGCGCAGAATATTACAGATCTTAAGCCCCATAGATCCATTGATTATCCGTTGAAGCCCCTTCAATGCATTTACTATGTAAACACTTGTCTTCAGGTGGACTGTTTTCTTGTTTAAATCGATAACTAAAATTTGGTGCTCAATTTTATTTTTTTTCACATAAGTAGTAGCATCTTCAAGTTTTTCAAAAAATTTGTTTATATAATACTTTCACGCCTTTCACAATTATTGTACACTTACAGAATTTAATAATTTGTAAACGTTTTCAACGACTGAAAACCTTACTTAATACATTGCACTAAAAGTGGATTTATTTTTGTATAACAGTTATGCAACATAGACGGATCTGGGAGGAAGGAACTTCATACGAATGATATTCTTCACATATTTGGTCTCACTCTACTCGGCACACATTTGTACTGGACTGACATGCAGCGACGCACTCTGGACCGCATTAATAAGGACAGTGGTATGTCTATAAACCAATTTTGTAGATTAAACTCAATTTAAGGCATACATGTCACCCTCATTTCACCAACTAACTGTCGCAAAGATTTTACTAGGAACAAAAGGTAGATGCGTCATAAACACCGCAACTAGCGCTTTCAACTGGCATCATATTGAAATGTCACAATAATATGTACCAAATGAGTGTAGGAAAATGGGATGCATTATTTACCATTTGACAAAGAAATTACACGTCTTAATACGAAACAAAAATAGATATGTTTCTACACCATCCATCCGTTTGATATACCTTCAAATCGTATAATAAGTATTTAAATATAATTATTGTTTTTCGATGCAGTACTTTTCAAGATTAGCCCGGAAAGTAGTAGTGGTGGTAAGTATATTATATCGAATCTTGGCACCAATAGTGAAACTCCCAACAACGTTGACCTCTCTTAATTTTTTATTCTTTGACCGCCACGCTCATTTTATATTGAAATAAATACTTACGCGTGATACGTGATTCCTTGCATTTTACAAGCCTTCCGGCTTCAAAGTTTCCGCCGACGACTTTGGGCAGAAATGTGTTAAAACCGGCACTTTAGGCAAATAGCCGGCACCCGGCTAAAAGTCGGACGAGTTAATTGAGTTTTAACCCACTGCCCACCTCAGGCTGTCACCGATTGATATTGTTATGTCTATTGGAGGGGCATCCTATATGTACCTTTATAATTACATTACTATATCTATTTAGTGTTGGCAATACTTGTAGGTAGTCCCACCACTGAATTACTACACTGAATATTTACTGTAATTCGAAAACCATTTACGTAAACTGAGTTAATAGTGTTGGTTACTCATTAAGTCGTATTTGTTAAGTATAGCTATGTACTACTTGTTATGTGCAACTGATTGTTCAATCGAATAAAAATAAGAAAGGCAGAAGTGGAACGATGCAGTACAGTTAGACATTGATAAAGAAAGACATTATTTTCGTTATAGGAGAAGAAAGAGAGCCGGTAGTGGAACAAATGGCGAATATGATGGGGGTAAAAGCGATCCGATTGGGTGAGCAACTAGGTTGGAACCAGTGCGTGAATGATAATGGAGGTTGCAGCCATCTGTGCTTCAATAGACCTAAGGATTACGTGTGCAGTTGTCCTCTGGGTAAATATGCTATTTCTTTTCAACTTCAGTGCGAATATTATTGCACTAGTAGTGTGGTAGACTATCGCCTACAATCAACACCTAACAATCCCCCTTTTTAGAGTCGTGCCCAATATTCTTCTTATCGTAATCATGGCATATACTGTAATCCTTGCCATCGTGGTGAAAGAATTTGCCCATCGGCGTTTTTTTACTCGCCGATTCTTGCCCAGGGCCGCCAGACGTACAGGAAGGCATGGCACCTCGTGCGGGAAGCCTCCCCATTCGTGCACTCCAATGGTGGTAAATACTAGAGTTGCAATGAATATTCTGTCTCTGGTTTTTGCTATTCGGCCAAATATCGAATATTGAGTCACTATTCGGCCGAATACCTAAAAACAGGAGAAAGAAATAAGAAAAATTCAGGAAATTATCATGTAAATACAAATTTTTCGCTTCTTAGGGTCGTTTTCCAGAACTCTACTCAATGCTCAAGTCAGGACTTGAGCAGACTTGAGTATGATTTCAAGCACTGGAAATACGACTCTAATGGCAAGGACTTGAGTATGATTTTCAGTGCTTTAAATCATACTCAAGTCCTGACTTGAGCATTGAGTAGAGTTCTGGAATACGACCCTTAATCTTAAACTCGAAATGTAATCTTAAACTCAAATCTAGCGTAAAGTTACTTTTTTAAGAGATTAAAAAAGGTTACATATCAAATGAAAATTACCTACATAAATTATGTAGTTTACCCATGACTAAATAAAAGCTAACAAAATCAACCAAGTACTTATTATTTGTAAACCAAAATAAAATTAACTTTTTGAAATAACTGCTTCCGTAGCCGAACGGTTACCATACCGGACTGCCACGCAGAGGTCCCAGGTTCATTCCCGGGCCGGGAGAAATATTTGTATGGCCTACATTTATTTCTCTCGTGAGTTTGGGTGTAATTTGTGGTTGTCTATGTGTGTATGGCACCCGCAATACGGGGTTTCCCTAGTGCGGGGCAATGTTTAGTGTGTGCGTTGTTATTAAAAGAAATTTAATCATACTGAAGTGAAATTTTCTTAATTAAGTCATACATTAAATTAAATAACTTTTTTTTAAATATAGTACTACTCGTTGCAACACTAGTAAATACGTAAGAATTATACACCTCTTCAGAAAGGAGTTGACGAAGGATGACTATTACATGGTAATACTATAGGTATATACCACATGATATTTTTTTCAGTTCTTTCGTAAAAGAACAGTGATAACCAAAAGATATTTGCATGCAAATCGAGATCATGTAATTATAGCCTGTTGTTATACTTGTTATTAAAAACAATTGTAATAAAATAAGAAATGTGATCTTCAATATCGAATGTAATTAACATGAATTCGCTTATCGCTTGAACTATAAAACATTTTAATTATTTAAACAAAGATCGAACACTAAAAAATAATTCCTTCGATCCAGCTGGATTCGAACCAGCGTCTTCCAGCAAACTATGTGATTCGTTCCGTTGCTTAGTTGCCGTAGCGTCTGGCACAGTTTGCTGGAAGACGCTGGTTGGTATCCAGCCGAATCAAACAAATTTTTTCATAGTGCTAAATCTTTGTATTAATAATTATAACTAACTAGTGGAGTAATTTCACAAAAATAATTGAATATCATGGTAAATCATCGTGACATCAAATAAAAACTTAAAAATTATAAAACATTTTTTTTCTAGAACTGGAACTGAGTAAGGACAGAAAGACCTGTGTAGAGCTAGAAGCGTTTCTCTTATACAGCCGTAAAACAGAAATTGGCCGAATAAGTCTTACATACGAAAACAACGACGCCATCTTACCCTTCGCGGAGCTAAAAGTAGTTAGGTAAGACATTTCCTTGTTATTGTTATGTGTGAGAAAAGATTTTCCTGTTTTTTTGGTGATTGTCAATTGTTTTATGCAGTGCCTTAGCGGTTCACGTATCCGGGTCCAAGTTATACTGGTCTGACAGCAAAGCGAAAACAATCAACCGGTGTTCGTTAAACGGTTCTAATATGGAGACTGTAGTCGAAGGAATGGGAACTGTTGAAGGTAATATGCTTATTTTACTTAAAAAAAACACTATATCCTGCAGCCTACATGTAAGCATAGTAAAGTGCTTACTATGCTGTACGTAGTAAGTTTTCGATAAACTTACATTTCTGCCGTCCGCTAACTGACAAAAAACGCGGGTAAGTGACAAAATATTTTTTAGAGACCTTAAAAAACCATAACCCATTTTTAGAATATTGAAGAAGAAATTCTTTAATGATATTTCAGCTATGCATAGTTAGGGTAAGTTCCGATGATTCGAACAAGTTAACTAATTTTAACTATTTTTAAAAGAGAATTTTGTGCTCTAGTTTTTGCTATTTAAATCGTTATACGTAAAAATATTTAACCATTTGTCACTTAGCTGCTTAGTTAGTGGACGGCAGATTTAATTATTTATTTGTGTTGAAGATATGATTTAGTTACTGTATAGTTTTTGGTTCGCCTCTGTGTTGAAGAGTCTTTGGTTGGTTGTACCGACGGCGCTTGTTTGACGGAATTTGTTTTAACGAGAAATATGTATTTAAAAGACTCAAAATTTATTATTTCTAACATGTTAGTAGAGCGTTCAAGAACAAATAATATGTGATTTAAATTATTTGTCAATAGTACGTTTTTTTTTTTTGAGTATAAAAATTCTAAATTTCTAACAATTTGAATAGAATTTATATCAACAACGTTGCCCTAGCGGCTGTTCTCGAAAGTAACGAAACACTGTGTATGTTAACGGTATTGTATATCATTCAGTGATTGTGTAGAATACCTAGTCGTTCCATACAATACCGGGCTCCTTTAGGCAATGTATTGAATAGTTAATATTTTTTAATTGTTATACACATCACCTAGATGTTGTATATACAACATCTATTTAAATAAAATCTAGGTATTGTATAGAATGCCAGCTGTAGATTGGGCAAAGTATTAAATGAAAGACAGAATAATTAAATCAGTAATTTCTGTTTGCATTTCCGAGCTGGTTCGACCCTCTCATTTGGGTTAAAGTTAGGTTAGGTTAGTATTATATGAAAAAGCTACGCGAGCCGAGCGAGCGAGCTGGGTCGAAGACGTAAAACAAAAAATATGGATATCATTCTTTAAACAAAAACTAAATATTCAATTTGGTACTTTAAACAAACAAATAAAAACTGACGTAATATTGATTTAACAGGTTTAGCAATAGACTGGTCTAGCCATAACATCTATTGGACCGACGGAATGACACAACGTGTCGAAGTGGCAAGACTTGATGGCTCCAGCCGCAGAACACTCATTTGGCAAGGTCTCAAGAAACCTAAGAGCATTGTTTTGGATCCTAAGAAAGGGTGAGTTTGTACAAAATTCAACGCATCATTGTCTTGAACACAATCAGCTAGAGAACCCCACCACGAACTCTAATAATTGTTGAAAATAGTCTCTCTCTTGTACCATAGCACATATTAGTAGCAGTAGAACTTCTAGTGAAAGAGTTCGTCCAGAGAAGTAGTGCCAACTTACCTATTTCTGCCGCCAAGCAGTAATGTGAGCATTTAAACAATTCTGAATTTGAGACACTCTTGTTCAAAAAACCATAAACACCACAATAAACACTTCACTATTTGATGTCATTTTTTAAACATCGAGGAAACGATTCATTTCTATGAAAAAAAAACCTTTTTATACATGAAAATAGCATCCAAAATAAAATAGTTATACAAAATCAATGTGGGTTACACCGCTTTTGCGCTGATAGCCTTACTTAGCTTCCACTTCGTAGATATCCTTTACACTAAGACTTCTTTCAGTTACATGTACTGGTCCGAACTGGGCTCTAGAAGCATTAAACGAGCCGCCATGGACGGATCATCACCCACTATATTCATGGAGCAAGTCGGCCGAGTGCACTCATTAGCCTTAGATTACGATAAGCGCGCTCTCTATTGGGCAGCGGTAGATCCTGCTGTTATAGAATTCGTATATCTGAACGGTTCTGGAAGAAAGTTACTGGTTGAAAATCTAACTATACCATATGCCTTAACCTTGTATAATGATAAGGTGATTTGGGGTGATTGGACTGGTAAGTTATTGGAAACCTTAAGTTGTTACCTTCTAAAATGATTTATTATTAAGGAAATATATTAAATATACTACCTATGTACAAAACCACGCCAGTCAGGCAGGTAGGGTCCAAGGACACCTACTTGCTAAGTATAAGTTGTCTAAACTAAGCTGTCTATCAACCCCTCCTACGTGTAGTATCGTATGTCTAAAATTGCCAAATTTGCAAGGGAGCGTTTTAAAGTTTTGAATTATCTGAAATGAGCACAACTCAGTTTTATTCGGCACAGCTCGTTACTCACATAGAGTATTATAAAATCCTAGACATCGGCTAAACGAACAACCACAATTTATTTTATAATTTTATCCTAACGCAGATATGGATCAACAAGCGGGTAAACTAAAGTGAGACTGTGCGTGTCGGGTGACACAATAAAATTATAAAATAAATTGTGGTTGTTCATCTAACCGATATCTAGGATTTTATAATGCTCTATGTGAGTAATGAGCTTTGCGAATAAAATAGAATTCAAGTTACAGAATTCTTTGAGAATTCAAAACCTTGTAAACTTGGCAATTTCGACATACGATACTTTACGTAGGAGGGATCGATATATATGTATGTGTTTTAGCTATTATAATTGATATGAAAGTAGAACAAACACACATAAAATTTCTTTCGATCTCACTAGCTTCTTTTGTTTTACATTGACAAGCTGCAATTTATCAAGCTACTCCAATTTCTAGTAATAACAAATAAATTAACTAGATGGCGCTTATTGCACTGATTTTTATGGTTAGTAATTCTTTTATTTTGTTTAGAATTAGCGCCATCTGCCCATATTAGGAAGCGTTCATTTACAAATTAGTTTGTAACACACAATGCCATTTGAATAATATTACAAGGAAAGAACTGACTTCTTATATTTAATATTTAATTGATATCCACGGCCCTTTACATAACAATAATAATTCCAGGCTATTGATCAGCGCCATCTAGTTATAAAACATCTAGGTAATATTTTTTTGTATCTGGGTGTATATTGAGTGATGTGGATACCTGTAATTGGCTTACACATAAAAACTGTGCATTACGAAATGTTGTCTTTTTATCTTATTTATAATGTGTAATATGTTGGTGTTCCAAATAAATAAATGTATACAGAAAAGAGTAAGACTTAATTTTGACCTTTTTCCGAGATACGATCTGTATGTAATATGATGATTAGCAATGGTAACACCTATTACACGTCTACTTTTACCAAGCATATAGAAAATACAATAATTACCCTTTATGCCATCTCCTATATTTATTCCAACCCTTTTTTCACAGGCAACATAGAAGAAGCAAAGAAAACAGATGGTTCAAATCGCAAGGTAATACATACAAAACTGGATTACTTATCCGATTTAAAAGTGTTCCACCGCACAAAATCATCTGGAGGTAACCAATGTGGCGTTGACAATGGCGGATGCTCGCATCTTTGTTTGCCATTGCCATCGGAAACTAGAGCAGACTACCGTTGTGCTTGCCCTGCCCATTATAAATTAAATAAGGACAACTTGACCTGTTCAGGTATGTTAGTTTATTATAGTATACGTTACAACCCATATACATGACATATATGAGACGATATTAGGCTGTAGTTGAATTTATCCCTGTAGTCCGTCTTTTTTGAAGATGAGAAAATGACAGTTCATTGCGTAAATGTTGCCCGCTTGCAAGTAACTAGTGATTGCGGTCGATAAATATTATGTCGACTATCGACTAAATGTTGATTACTTCTGAAATAAATAACCGAACTTTTAGAGCAGTAGAGCTGCTTGTGGAAGAATTAGTCCAGGGAAGTACTGCCACCTTACCTAGTTCTGCCGCCAAGCAGTACTTGCCAGCATTACTGCGTTGCGGCTTAGAAGGGTATGGGTGCTGCTTACCAACTTATGTCTTAGGGCGACGGGCGCAGTAGCAGTGCCTATAAGATCTTTGCTAGTTAAAGCTCTGAAAGGCACTGCAACTGTTATGGATAGGCGTGACGCTTACCACCAAGCGCACGACATGTTCGTCTTGCCACGTGGTATTATAAAAAAACTTGTTTCATTTGAATCGTCATCGGCTCATGATTCGTCCAACTGTTGGGCACAGATCCAGTTGAAATTTTGAAAATTCATGCATACATACACTAAATTTAGCAGTGTTTATATAAAAATACAAACAGGAGACATATTTTAAAGTTTTACATTTGACTTTAACATAATGTTTATAACTGAAAATTGATTCCGATACTGTTAGGACGGCGTAACATTCACAATTCAAACATTTTGGCAAAATTTTAACCTTCTATCACATTCTATCGAGAAAACTCGACAACAACTACAAATTATTGCTCATTGTCATTTCGGTCAACCCCGTGTACATGTACGACTATGAAAGTCATAATGGAATAAACCAGCTTATATATTTTTTTCTAGAACCCGAAGAATTTCTATTGTTTGCGCAAAGGAACTCCATTGGTCGAATATATGTTGCGAACGGAGAATGTAATGATGCGTACATACCTCTAACTGGATTGAAGAGCGTCAAAGCAATCGAATACGATCCTGTTAAAAAGTAAGTGATAAACTTTACATGCAATGAAAGCGCTTTACCACCGGCGATGCGAGACGAGAATTCAAATCTCTCCGGCCTATTTTTACCAAAAATTGCCATTAATAGCTATCGCAAGCTCGCGATTGAAATTAATGGCCATCGTGAGCTCGGGCTGAGGTTGTGGATAGTAACGACACAGTGCTGTTCAGTGCGTTCAGCGATAAACATGCGGCTGAAGTAACATGTCCCCTTAATTAATATTACCCTGCAATTCGCAGAAAAGCCATCTTGCTTTAAATCTTAAATCGTACGTGCCCCAAAATCTCGCGATTGATTTAAATATTAATATCTGTGTGTTAACTATACGCAGAAGGGACTCGGCGCCCTGCGCGTTCAATATAATAATAATGGTTTCAGGATGCTATTTGGACTACCGGGTGTAGATGACTTTTAGCTGTGATGAGAAAAAAGACTGCGAGAGTAGTGACGCTCTAGACTGCGTTCTAGTCCTAACAGCATCCTGAAAACGTTTGCGGCTGAGTTCGATGCGCCGATGCTTCGTCATTTCATCCAGGTCCTGTAGGTCAATTCAGAACCTTACGATAACTCAGTTGTCGACCGATTCGTTTTGATATCGTACGATTTCTTTTCATTTTTATTCAAAACACCCGAATCGAACGTCATACTGTCGTATTCAAAACCGTACCGAAATGACGTCACACCCGTACGATCACTCGAACTTCTCGACCGGCAAAGGCCACAAACGTTATTCAGAACACAGTTATCGAATGAAAGTTACCGAACGTCCTATTGTTTACAAAGCAAGAATGTAATATGGAAATCTCTTGTTATTTTAAATTAAGTTTGGATTTTTATTAATTTATTTTAATGCAAGAAGACTAAGGCGTTCCTGTATTTTAGGCCTTTAAAGTCTTAAAAATGTTATTACACATTTGTGTATACCAAACATTTTCAAGACTTTATGTGTTATACACCAATGTGTATAAAAGGATTTTCATTTTTCTTATAATCTATTTCACCGACAAACTCCGTAATCGCTGATGGATAATGATATCGTATCCGAATCAGAATCGAACTTTTAACTCGGAATGCTACTGAATAGCTCGAAAGCGCCATTCGATTCGAGAACGATATCCAATCGAACGATTCGGTTAAAATATCGAAGAGTTCTGAATCTGGGGCCTGGTAAGGTGATGGGGTAGTCGGCGCCTCGAGCGTAATAATGTGTGTTTTATGTTTTGTCTCTGTATTTACGAATAATAGTCATAAGTTAAAAATGTCTGTATTTACTAACAAGTGGACCTTGGATGCCAAATCCAAATAAGTGATTTATTTATTATTATTATTAATTGCCATCGCAAGCTCGAGCGAGACATCGCGTGAATCGCGTTCCCGTTACAGTGTGTTAATACAGTTCAATATTACACCAATAAATATTTCAACTCTCGTCTCAGACACATCCTCGTCAATCCAGACCATTTTCACCGAAGATGCGCTATATAAGAAAATTGAAATCATGCCATACTTTAATTTTTTTTAAGCGTTTTAGGATTACGTTTCGACATTCCGATCATAGTTTTGACATTCATACTACAAATTTATCACGTACACGACACGTATCGCTGATTTAATATAGCGTACATTTTTTCCAAAAAAGGCATTTATACTGGATGGAAGACGACTCCCATGCTATACGAAGAGTCCCTATCTCATACTCTTCAACTTCGACGGTTACCGACGCTTGGCCTGTAGTAACGGACTTAGCAAGACCTTTCCACATGGTATTGGATGTTCTTGGGAGAGCTTTGTACTGGACTTGCATAGATACCGACTCAATCAACGCTACTTCTATTGATGGCAATTCGACGGGTGTCATTTTGCGAGGACCTAACATGATGCCTAGGCATTTAGCTTTCCATCAGATTAAACGGTGAGTGTCTAATAACATAATTATATAGTATAGATTTTACCAATTTTACTCAGTACGTTTTTTTTCAACGTAGTATTCGTTAGCTGTGGGGGATTTAACTGTCCTGCTTTCGTATCTTCTGTATCTTTGTTTTTCTTAATCAATATATTGTAATTGTGCTTATACGTATAGATTCCTTAATTATATGCTAACGAAGAAATAATCTCGTTATTTTTACAAGATTTTTGATGATTTTTTTTTTAAGTTAAATATTGTACAAAGTTGTATTTATTATATATACTATTTAAGAAAAATCTAATATGCTATATTTGGACTTAATTGAAAAAAACGAAATTGAAAGAGTAACTTGTTTTACTCGCAACACAAACATTGATGTCAAAACGCATTCTCCGCCCTTTTTGAGTTCAAGAGAAACGTGTAAATCCTCATTTCAATATTACAGCATTCTGATATGGAACGACGTAGGCCTTGGCGCCATAATGCGTGCGAGCGTAGATGGCACATCTCTAAAGGAATTGGCTCGTGCGACCAACGCGACTGCCCTGACTATAGACCAAGCCACAGGCACTGTTTACTGGGCCGTTAACCGGCAGATACACGCTGTTGATCTCGACTCTCATAATGAGTAAGTTACTGCCCTGGAAAGTTTAGATTATTAATCAGTTATAACTGTGACGAATAATTCTCTAACAAAAGCTTGAGCATTTTTAATTTTTCTTAAACTGTAATAAACCAATTGACACTGCTTTAACTATTTACTGGACATTACTTCAACCTCTCTAAAATACTTGGTAAGATAGATTTGAAATTTCAGCCTTAATTCGAGTCGCTAAAAACCAGCTCAAACCGGATGAGAAGGCTGAGTACATTAAATTTATCAACGTAAATTGTATACTATTTCAATTGTGAGTTGGCTTCAAAATCCTCCTGGGTGGTTCAGCATGAGACCCAAGTAACTAAAATGTACACGACCGGTAGGAGATCGTACCCCAAGAAAAAGAAGAATTCTACCGTCTGCTAACCAAAACGCGGTTAAGTGACTAAATATTTTTAAAACCATACTAAACCCAGTTTTAGAATATTGAAATTGTTTAATAACAGTACAGCTATGCATCGTTAGGGTAAGTTCCGATAAGTCGAACACGTTAACTAATTTTAATTGTTTTTAAAAGATAATTTTGAGCTCTATCTTTTGCCATTTAAAACGGATATTTGACCATTTGTCACTTGAGCGTGTTTTATTTAGTGGACGGCAGAATTGCAAAAAGGTATATATTGCAATACTCTTGAAACCGACATCGGAGCAACACGACGAATTTCTCGCTGCATCGCAATGCACTGAAATGTATACCTTATTACAATTGCAATAGCATAAAATATACATAAATAAATTGCCTTTGCCGAAATGCAATGTACATACATGATAAATTTAATGTCTTCTACCGGTTTACGCTAGCGCTAAAGACGTTCGTGTCATTGCAGGCGCGTAATCTGGAAAGGCGGCTGGGCAGGCGTGCTGGCTGTGTACATGGGCCAGGTGTACCTGTCGGGCGGCGAACGAGCGCTCATGCGGCTGGCGCCCAGGCCAAATGCACCCGCCACGGCCGTGCCACACGTGCCGAAACCCAGCGCCGCAGTTGCTGTGCACAAGGTGCGTTACATACCTACTACCATTCCTCTAGGCTTCAACGTAACTTCACAACGTACACATTTGCGCCTTAATTGTCAGTAGTTAGAACAGAACCACTGGTTACTACCTAACTGGTGAAATTACAGACACATTGGACTTGTCAACTTACGTCTCAGGGCGACAGGCGTAGTGGCAATGCCCCTTAGATCCTTGCGATTGCGGCTTGAACCTCGGAGTGGCATTGCAACTGTTATGGACAGGCATGTAGCTTAGCATCAGGCACTCGACTTGCTCGTGCCGTCACTTGATATTATAAAAATAACGTAAACCTCACATACGCGACTTTTGTTACAGGCTTTATAATATAAATAAATAAATAATATTAGACATCACATATATTGCCCCGATCCCAAAGTAAGTAACTAAAGCACTTGTGTCATGGAAATCCGAAACAACGACGCTAACACAAACACCCAGACTCGAGACATTGTTGAAAAGATTTTGTACATTGATCCAGCCGGTGATCCAACCCGGGACTTCAGAGACCACTCGACCACGGAGGTCGTATCAATTGCCAGTTCGTTAAATTGGTCTCCACTGAATTTTTGCCCAAAGAAAATATTAGAATTATGACAATTTCAAGTTTCGAACAAAAACAAAAAACATTTTCAAAGGCTTGTAATTTTTTTTTACAAAATTATATTTTAATAATAGAAATAACAAAGTAATGCTGGTCTTTTTCGTTAAAGTTATTAATTATATAATTGATTCTATTGCTCCTTACCATGTGTGCTTCTCGGCCCGCAAAGTAATTTCTCTTTTAAATTTATTTTACTCAAATTTGTAATTATAACATTCGATCCTTAGATTTAATAAATTATAGTAACATTTAATATTATAACAGTAAACATTTTATATCTTTACTGCGTGGCCGGAATAGTTACAATGCTGGAATGCGACCCAGAGGCCCCGAGAATATTTGTATGGCCTAAATTTATTTCTCTCGAAAGTAAGGGTGTAATTTGTGGTTGTCTACGTCTGTGTCCATGGCACCCGCGATACAGGGTTTCCCTAGTGTGAGGATATGAGTGTGTTCGTATTATTATTATTATCATCTATTTATATATTTTAACTGCCTCCGTGGCCGAACGGTTACCATACCGGACTGCCACGCAGAGGTCCCCGGGTTCGATTCCCGGGCCGGGAGAAATATTTGTATGGCCTACATTTATTTCTCTCGTGAGTTTGGGTGTAATTTGTGGTTGTCTATGTGTGTGTCTATGGCACCCGCGACACAGGGTTTCCCTAGTGCGGGGCTATGTTGAGTGTGTGCGTTATTATTATATATGTATTATAGCACGCGTAGCGCAAGCAACGAACAGGCTGACGTAAGCGCACGTTGCAGGTCCCGCGAGAGCACCCGTGCTGGGGCGGGCGGCGGTGCGGCGGCTTGCCGGGCGCGTGCGCGGCCGACGGCGAGTGCGGCTGCGCGCTGTCGTGCGCGCCGGAGCCCGCCGAGACCGCGTGTCCGCCCGACCGCTTCCTCTGCCGCCTGGCGCGCGACGCGGCGCCGGACGCGCTCACCGCGCCGCTGCACACGCACTGCATCCCTCTCGACTGGAAGTGAGTGCCGCTCGATGCGGACCGATACACCCATCGAGTACATAACCAGAAATTGAGACGGAATAAGGGCCATCCATCCTTGGCAACTCATCTGGCAAATGGGCCTTATATCACTGTTAAATATCAACTCTCGTTTGCGCTGAAATCGCAAATTAGAAAGCTCAAATACTACAGCGCCAATAACTGACCTGTGCGTACGTCTCCGTATATTCCTATATTTCTAACAATGGGGGCTGTTCCATTCGGCAGTGTGGAGAAAAACAGTAAAACATCTAATTACAAAACAAACGATATCGCGTTGCATCGGTAATTAAATATGAAATGTGTAATTTTTCAATTTACTTCCATTATTGCAAAGCTCAAGTAAACCTGGTCGATTTGAAGTGAAACAATTGACGATACCCGTCAATTGTTTCGAATTCGGGCTGGCCACTTGGAGCGCAGTTGTCACAGCAATGATTTGGCATATAGTTTTCGAACAAACTAAATGACATCTCGTCTCTATTGCTGGTTATATACTCGAGGATACAATATAACCGGAGACTATCCTGCAGGTGCGACGGCCAGCCGGACTGCCCGGACGGGTCGGACGAGGACGGGTCGTGCGGCGCGTGCGCCGCCGGCGTGCGCTGCACCGACGGCTCGTGCGCGGAGACGCTCGGCGCCTGCGCGGGCGGCGCGCTCTGCCCGACACACGCGCTGCCCGACGCCTTCCGGTAACTTATCCAATCTATAACTTATTTTCAGATTGGCACCTTTCTTAAATGTTTATTAGAATATGTTGTATGGGAATTCGGAATAAATTATAATAACACTGCAACATAATACACACACCGACACAGTTAGCAGAACAAAAACATTGAGCAACGTTTACATTTAAATAGGAACAAGAGCTACACCTAAAGTAGCAATTAAATTAACATCTACTTAGGACAGCCTTACACAACCTTCATAGAAAAAATAATTGAGCAAAATACATTCTTTTAGCTTTTGTGACAAAGCAGAAACATAAAATATAAAAATTTAAGTATTTTAAAATTTATTCAATCAATTCAAACTTTAAACAAAAATAAAAAAACGTTATAAATTAATATTGACGAAATTTATAAGAACGCAAAACCTCTATAACCACTCGACAAACCTGTATATGTGAAATTAAAACAAATTAATGAAAAAAATGGCAGTCGACATTTTTTATTTTCAAATTAGACCTGTTTGTGTATTTCCTGACATTTACATCCCTTTTTTCATCACCAGCTGCGACGACCGCCTATGCCTAGCGGCTAAGCTCCTCTGCGACGGACAGCCACACTGCGACGACGGCACCGACGAAGCTCCCGCAGCCTGCGGCTTCGCGCAGAAGGTGGACACCGATGTATTGGCCGCTCTTTATTATTTTATTTTCATTTTCACTATCATAATTTGCGCAATTGATTTCATTATTTTGCTATGATTTTGTGTTTCTTAAACAAACATTTCTTTGGTTATTTAACTGCTTGTGTAATTAGTTTATATTTAATCTAAAGTTTTTTTTTTGTATCTGAACTAACAAGGTTGAGTTAACGCTTGAACTCTGCACTCGGCCCGGCTCCGCGTTCACAGTCCAAATGTCTGTGATTTTGCTCAATTGCGGTTATTTGGTTACACGTTATTGGATTTCAAACTTGTACAAAAGCAAAAACATTTACCTTGATAAATATATTAAGGAACCAAATAGTATGAATCGTGATGACGCTTCGAACTGTACTGACATAAAATTGAGGCGTATAACGTAAAGCGCCCCGTAAACAATCAAAATAATTTGTTAAATTTGTTCCTCAAACTTCACGTTTTCTTCAAACAATATCGCAAACGATCAATTAGACCATGGAACAAATTTGACAACAAAACAAACTTGCCTATAGTTCACACTCAGTCAACTCTTTGTATAGTCGTATGCACCGTACTATACTTAATAGGCTGGTTATATCTCTTCGTAATTTGCGCGAGGAGTAAGGATAACAGTTAAAGAGTTTGCTACAGTCAATGCCAGAGCATTAACTGTTACAAATAATAATAATAATAACGCACACACTCAACATAGCCCCGCACTAGGGAAACCCTATGTCGCGGGTGCCATGGACACACACATAGACAACCACAAATTACACCCAAACTCACGAGAGAAATAAATGTAGGTCATACAAATATTTCTCCCGGCCCGGGAATCGAAGCCAACCATTCGGCTACCGAGGCAGTAAATATGTATTAAGAAAAAATGAAGAGAAAAATCACGAATATTTGTTAAGACCTCGATAGATCTAGAATCGACGGTTGGAAGACAAAAGTCGGGCGCGATCTAACCCAGAGACGTCGCAGGTGGTGAGCGGCAGCCGCCAGTCCAACGCGTTCGTGGTGTGCGGGGCGATCGTGGGCTGCTGCTGCGGCGCGGCGGGCGCGTGGACGGCGCTGCGGCGCTGGCGCCGGGGGGCGCGGGGCCGCCGCGTGCCGCACTCGCTGCCCATCGCCATCCCGCTCACCAAGTCGCATGCGGACATTGCCGACGACCGCCCCTCCTCCGGCACTCTGTAAGTCCCTTCTGCTAGCGCGGTAAAAATAACTATTCTAGCCCCCGTAGTCGCAGACAGACTTTCCACAATATGCTACCAGAGAATCCTACAGTATTTTGGTCACATTGCTCGGTGACAACCAGACAACCTTGACAAACTGGTTGTGGTGGGTAAGGTGGAGGGAAAGGGACTCCGCCAAGTGACCGGCCTCACTGGCCTCCCTATAACAACTGCCCTGCGAGAGGCCGCAGACAGAACCAGATGGAAGAAAATCGTCCATAAAGTCTCGAAAACCATTCATAATTCGGGGACACGACCTTCAGCAATGAAGATAACGACTAAGAAGAGCCCCCGCAGTATACCGCCTCGTTAAAGCTATTATAGCCACATTTAACTGTCAAATTCCAGTGATAAACCTAATTTGAAAAATTTATTATTATTATTATTAAATTTTACCACAATAGCGAACATGGCGAGTACCGTGACGTCATATTTTTATATCATCGCGAGCAACTTCGACCAATGACTGCAAAAGATTAACACAGTGTCAAACATGACGGCAAGGCCCCAGCTGATTTTAACACATTTGCACAGTAATTTAATCGCCGTAAAAATTGAGCGCAACAAATGAGATGAAGACGTTTTTTGTTTCTTGGTTTTCGCAGCGATGATGACGACAAAGATAGCTGTATACGAAATTTCATATCGTTGTCCTTGTTCTTCAAAATGTATAACAAATATTTATCACCAAATAATCAAACTTAGATTTATCAACTGATTGAAATATTATCACACATATTCTGCCATGGTATGGCCACAGGTGTTACTAACAGGGTACTTAACTCCAACACCTCCACCAAACATCCACCTATTACCCGCATATGAGTTCCAGACTAATCGAACGCTTTGGGGCATTACCCGGAACAACCCATTTGACTCTTATGCATTTACACCGGGTCGGCATACTACTTCGCCTTACCGAAGGCGACGCAGTCGACTCGCTGTTTTGTTTTATATGTAACACTAAGTGACGGGAAGGACCAATCGTGCGCCTGGTGGTAAGCGATACGCCTGTCCATAACAATTGCCGGGCCACTCAGAGCTTTAAACCACAAAGATCTGAAGGCACCGCTACTGCGCCCGACACTCGGAAGAAACATTAGTGTCAAGTACCATTTGCCTGTAATTCCACCAGCACCCTTACCCTTCAACACCGGAACAGAGTAATGCTATCATTACTGCTTTGCGGCAGAAATAGGTAAGGTAGCAGTACTTCCCTGGACGAACCCCTTCACAAGGAGCTTTACTCAAGCTTTCGAGATTCACCACTTTATATTACATTATCCAAGTGTCGACATCTACAGTTTTAAATATGTACTCAAGTTTATTTGTATGAGTTGATACCCCACGGTATTAAGTATCGTCCACGGTGTGAGAAAATAAATAAATAAATATTTTTATATGACTGCGTACAGTACTGCGTACCAAATACTCGTTATTCTTTTTAGTTTTTGTCAAATAGGCATAGGCATCTACCTCTTCTCAGGCTCCATCTGGAAATCAGCGCTGTGACTCTGCCCAGCATTAAGCTGAGCTGGCTAGCCTTTTCGGTTATTATTACGTATTTAGTAATATATTTTTTGTTTTTTTAATTGTTTATTCTTTAATTTAAATTAATATTATTATTTGTATATTTATTTGTAATAGCCGAATAAATGTTTCTTTCTTTGCAGGGCAACGGACAGCCTTTGCTCCCGCTACGAGCGCTACCCGCGGCCCACGGCCAACCCGCCGCCCAGTCCGGCCACGGCGGGCGGCGGCGGGTCGCTGAGCCTGTCCCGCCGCCGGCCGTACCGGCACTACCGCGCCAGCAACCGCCCGCCGCCGCCCACGCCCGCCTCCACAGACGCCTGCGAGTCCGAGCCCGAGCCCGGGGCGCCGCCGCCCTCGCCCGCGCCCGACGCCGACCCGGCGCTGCTGCCCTTCTGACTCCTAAATACTAACCACGTGCCATAACTTAACTGACCTGATTTCCTATTTTCAGCAAGCAACATCAAACTTCACAAATACGTAAACGTTGGAACAGGTGAAATTCATGCTGATTGTTCTTGAACTAATCTATTATCTCTTTACGTGCTAAATCTGACGGTGACGAAATCGTTAACGTCACATCACGACTACCATGGACCAATGACTCTAGAGGACTGCTAATCTCCATGCCACAGATCGTAACTCTGAAAAAGGTCTAAATCCCGGCTTGTATCTAGATGGCGCCGATAGCGTAGAAGTAGTTTATGTTATGTAATTGACCGTGGATATCAATTAATTCCTTGATTAACATTTTTTTATATATAAAATCAAGTGACGGGACGAACAAGTCGTGCGCCTGATGGTAAGCTACACGCCTGTCCATAACAGTTGCAGTGTCACTCAGAGCTTCAAACGCAAAGATCTGAGGGGCACTGGCACTGCGCCCGTCACCCTGTGACATAAGTTGACAAGTCCCATATGCGTGTAATTTCACCAGCACCCTTACCCTTCAAAACTGGAACACAGTAATGCTAACATTACTGCTTGGCGGCAGAAATAGGTAAGGTGGCAGTACTCCCCTGGACGAACTCTTTCACAAGAAGCTCTACTGCTTACGAAACGTGAAATACAAGTAGTCGTTTTTTTCTTGTAATATTCAAATATTGACCATGAACTAAAATTATTTTCTGAACTTTGACAAATAAATATAAATAAATAAATAAATAACGCACACACTCAACATAGCCCCGCACTAGGGAAACCCTGTGTCGCGGGTGCCATGGACACACACATAGACAACCACAAATTACACCCAAACTCACGAGAGAAATAATTGTAGGCCATACAACTATTTCTCTCGGCCCGGGAATCGAACCTGGGACCTCTGCTTGGCAGTCCGGCATGGTAACCGTTCGGCCACGGAGGCAGTTAAATATGGTAAAATATGGATGGCATTGTGTGTTACAAACTAATTTTATAAATTACCGCTTGCTAAAATGGGTAGATGGCGCTAATCCTAAATAAAATAAAAATCTGTGAAATGAGCGCCATCTAGTTGATTTGTTTGTTATCACTCGAAATTAGAGCAGCTTTGATAAATTGTAGCTAAATACCCGACTACGCTGTCTTGTATCGCGATTAGCAATCCTCTTGATTTGTTGGTCCACGGTACTACCGCAACTTGCAGAGATCATATTACAGTAATCACAGTATATTTCGTTTTTACCATGTACTAAAAATGATCTAGGATGATCCCTGTGACAGTTCATAAACATCTTCAAAGTATAACCTGATAACGACGTGCACTTTATTACGTATTTCATGAACTATATTTATAAGTCTCACTTTTAAACGAATAGCTCTTAAGTAAATATAAATAAAAATAAAAATAACACCAACAATCAATGTTTTTTTGTAAGTAATGATCGGTCGAAAAACTTTTTTAAATTCATTAATATTTATGGACAACGTTACTTCATTACGCAGTACCTTTTGTTTGTGTTTTCCGTTTTACTAAATGTGATTTGTGTTTTCCTGTACAATAAATAATTAAATAAATAAATACTCTGCATTTGCTAGAGATGAAGTATATCGGTAAAAAGTTTTCGAATTCTAATCATAGGCAATGAATTGACATAATTACCAGTGTTATTACATTTTGAAAGCTATAAATTAACGATGTGATAAATAATTTTCGAAATTTATGATTATATACATTGAAATAGAATTTGAATTATACTTGTGTGTTTTCTGCTTTCAATATAATACAAAACACTTCACACATCTGTTCATCGTTTAGAATACGTCACAAAAATAAAACCATAAGAGTTGTCTTCAAAACTTGCTTCAAAAATCAAATACATAAAAAATCTGTCGAATTTACCTCAGCCCTATGACAAACGTCAAATGAAGTGTCACAGGGATCAATCATCCTAGTTTTAGGGTCGTATTCCAGAACTCTACTGAATGCTTAAGTCAGAATTTAAGTATGATTTAAAGCACTGGAAATACCACGGTAATGGCAGGGACTTGAGTATGATTTCGAGTGCTTTAAACCATACTCAAATCCTGACTTGAGCATTGAGTAGAGTTCTAGAATACGACCCTTATTTTGGTATAACTGTTGACGATCGGCACAGACGGCGATCGCCATAATTTTTATATTATTCTTATGATACCGACACTGCCACAAGCCTAAAAGTGGCCCCCATAAAGGTAATAATAACAATCAAGTTTTGTTTGTAGGCTATGTTTTCGATGACTAGTTTTTTGGAAAATCAACCTTTTCTGTACAAAGTTGTTGTAGGTAGGTAATTGTAGCTATTGTATTTTTTATTTACAATGTTTGTAGGTATTTTTAATAACACAAAAATGTATATTTTAATGTGTAAAGTAAAAGTAATCAAAAATATTAAGTAAGTAAAATAGACCATTATAATTTCTATTTCGTGGTAGCTAAATTATAATTAAACTTATAGGTAATTTTTGGAAGGCGATTTTCGGAAGAATTTAACAGGGCGACAGATTCACTGACCTGTAATAAATACGATGGCTTTCCGTTCCATAATGGAATTTTGAAAGTTGTAAATGTATAATAAATAATTACCGTTGTGAATTTAAATACAATAACAAACTTGATGATAATATTGTTTATTTTAAAATTTGCGACTTGAGGTTGTGTGATCTAAATATTTTATTCGGTACGGTAAACAGAAATAAAACCGTTTTGCCAGATATAAAACGATTTTATTGCTTTCAGATGAAGTTTATTAAACATCATCTAGACGCAGAAAGTCATGCTAGGAGGTGCCTTTTGTATGTACACCCCTAGTGTCTGTATAATGAACTACTTTATTGTTATTGATGAAATACTGTATTCTTCGATTTCCAACTCCTCATTCCACACTTACAAAATCTTCATCCTCAAAAACAAATTACAATGTTTCATCTTTATGTGGCTCATGCAAAATGCTCGAACACTTAGTCTTATGGGTTAGACTGTACAGGATAATACTTAAATTACTCGAAACCTCTTTATCCATCATTTCATTTTTCATTTCATCATTTTTGTAATATCACCATCATCTTACACGCATTCACTGCTGGACATAAGCCACGACTTGAGAACGCCAGCTCTCCCGGTCCTGTGTCGCCCGCCGGCGCCGTCCCAATTTTTTACTTTCGATACAATGAAGTAATCCGTATAAGGAACAGTCTATTAGCGTTTAAAAAAAATTGACAATATTATTCATTTTATATGGAAATATATTTTATGAAATTTGACCAACTTTGCTGTCCCGATATTTTTCGTCCCATACAATGAAATTGATAACTTCATGAAACTGAGTTGATCAAGTCTAAAAAAATTTTTTATCAATTTTATGGACAATACACGCTTAACCAAAACATTGATAATGCCAAAATTGTTTTCACAATTAAGTATTTTATTGGTTTCTAACAGTTTTATTGTATCTTCTATGGTTGCGGATTTCCCTGTACTGTCTCATTTAAAGAAAACCAGTCTGTGTAACAAACAATTGTATCTGTACTGATATTCGCGTTTTATTTTGGCTTGAGCAATATTCAAAAATAAAAACAGCCCGGTTTCGACTTAAGTTGTGTTCATTGCTAATCGACGACAAAGGCATTAGATACATTTTCGTACAATCATTTTTAAAAATTAAAAAAAATAGATTTTTTTGTTTTAACAGCTGCATACCCGCGTTAAAGGTTTCGGGTTATTTAAAAATAATCTTGCATGATTATAAGGTGCTATTTCAATGTTCGTGCCTCTTTAGATATATTCATTAAATACTAAGGATGTATTTTATAAAATAGATTTTTACGACGCTTCATATAAATAATGGTAGTGATTTGTAATTGTACGTAACGATGTATGAAAATAAATTAAAAAAAGGTAAATTGTATTCATATAATATTTAGGGACTCCCCGTTTCACCTGACTCCGACTTTTCGTGATATATCCATACCGACAGCCGACCGTCTCCAGCTACTTGGAATGGACCTGTTGTCCAAACTGAACTTCGGCAGATACAGCCGCAGTCAGGAAACTTTGCATCCTTTCGAAGGTGAGACGTTACTTCACACCGAGACAGTTGCTTCTGCTGTACCAAGCACAAGTCCGGTCGTGTAGGGAGTACTGCTGCCACTTATGGGATGGCTCTGCTAAATACCACCCTATGTTGTGGATATTCCCAGCTAACGCTTTCACATTTATATCGCGAGCGGCTAGTGAGTGGAATGCCCTGCCTGCGAACTTAATCCCCGAACGCTATAACTTAGACCTTTTCAACGCGAGAGTGAATAGGCATTATTTAGGTGTGCATTTGCATGCTACATCGTTGACCTCATCATCACTTTCCATCAGGTGAGGTGGAGGTCAAATGCGCACTTATTTTATATTAAAAAAAAACATTGGTATCTATGTAAACAGCTGATATTTTTTCTTAATATCGGAGGGGGTCCGTAGCTGAAGTTGTTCGTATTAATAACTAAATGTTCTTTTTGTTTACCTTTTAAAAATCTCGCAGACCTTGGGATCATTCTATAAGAGTAACTGTGTTTCGATCAATTTTAACGCATTATGCCATAGTTAATACATTTTTTATATTTTTCTAACAAAAATGTTCAGGATGTTGTTAATGAATACAATTTTCTGCATTTGTAACAAATATTTTCGTAAGGTGTTAGTTGGCTGCAAACCCATAGAAGTTGTTTTAATATAGCAAATATAAAATCTGATGGAAAAAAGTTAGTATTCAAACAAAATAGTCCTTTACAAACTGCATTGTAATTTGTCCGCGATACCCTTTAAAGTTAACAGCCAACTACCAAACACTTAACTCTGTATAATGTAAGTTGTAAGAAATATTGTAATTTTAATGTATCGTATCGTATATCTGTAAAACTAAAACTGACTGACTTAAAAAATATTGGTTTTTGTAATAAATATTTTTCCTGTTGTAATATTTTTGTTGAATAACTTCATACGCCCGTAACAAACATTAGGCCCAAATAATAGCTGAAAGGATGGCTGAGAACTTCCCATCCAATCGTTGAATTCAAGCCGCGCGGCAAATCCCAAAAACAGCCATAAATTATGCCGCTTATAATATGTTTTCTTTCTTATCTCTTTTATATAGGGGAGACCGGGGTCAGAATTAACAAAAAATATATTTTAGCTGTAGCTTCAAAACGCCTTAACATTTTGACTTGATTTTTGTGTTAAATGATGCTTAAACTATTCACTTATCATAATCTTGGCATTAATTTGATAAAAAACGGTTACTATTTGCAGAAAGATATATTTACTGAGAAAAGTCGGTTGTTAGTGCTTACCCCGCGTTGGGGTAAGAATAAACGCTTCCGAGGTGAGTATTAACAGAAGGGGCAAAAATTAACATACTTGGCGTAATCCGTCATTATTAAAACAAAACATTAATTTACAATCATATTTTTTATTAAGTTAAATAATTAACATCAGAGCATTGAAGTCAATGCATCAGACTTAAAAAGTTGAAATACTTTGCTAAACAACAATGTTTCAGCTTTATAAACTAAAAGAAACAAAACCTTTTTTATACAAGAACAAAAATTAACAAATCCTTAAATAACTTCTAATAATTAACAAATTTTACTGCTTGCATAAGATATCTACACCCTCCGGATGTATCTTCACTGCATAGACACCCCAAACAACACAGTAATATTCGTCTTCTGAACTGTTGCAGCTTTTTTCAATCTCCTTTTCTTTGCCTTTTCTACTCATAATCTTCTCTGTTGTTTCCCTTTTTCTACTCGTGATCTCCCCTTTTTCAGTTGTTTTTCCTGTATTCTTTCCCATTCCCTTACCTTGTATGTCTTTCATGTTTTCTCTATTTTTTTTTCTATTTAAATTTCGGTTTTTACCTTCTTCCAGCGCTTGTTTTTTGGGTGTGTTGGTAAGATTTGATTGTACATTTTCTCGTGGGTTTACGATTCAATTGAATTTGTGGCTGAGATTTCGGCAGAGGTTTTAAGATTTCGATTAGAAAACATTCTACTACTCATAGTACAGCAACTGTTTCCCTAGGCATTTATTCTCTCACCACAATTCATTTATACTTAAAACTGGTATACAGTAGTTATCTTTTCACATGCCTGAAGGTTCAGCCACTGGTTCACTAGACATTAAATTTGTTCTATCACATAACTACTTCTACTGCGACTCCTGCTTTCTTTTTTTGCACAAATTCGAACAGTGTGACGTAGCGGAGTTGAAATTCTGTAGCTACTTCCCTGTAGTTTCTTTTCTTCTCCATTATTTCTACAGCAGCTAACTCGTAATCCCTTCAAGGAAGTCAAATCTTGAGTAGTTTTTCGTCCTCATGCTGTAACTTGTAACAAAAAAAAATTGGTAGGTATATAATATACAAAAAATAAAAATCCAGACTCCCTCTTAATACTAGCCCAACATCGGGGTAAGAATTAACTTGTTAATACTTGCCCCGTCTGTTTTGTTAATTTTAGCCCCACGGGTACTTTTTCAATTAAAAAATCATAGCTAAAAAATAGTTTACAGTGGCGTTATTATTCTAAGACAGCGGCATTAATAAAGCTATGTAGTTTTATTGAGATTAAAACCAGCTTCTAGGAAATAAATATTAACACGGCAAAATCAATTATTCTGCATGAAAATCAAAAAATAGTAAGGTGAAAAAAAATCTTTACTTGCCAAAAATAGACGCACTGCACATAATATAACACGCTCCCATGACGTACTGATGGCGACTGGTGCATCCGCCATTTGCTTTTTAAGTAAGCGGTACAGGTAGGTATTTTTAATTCTCGCAACTATGAACACTATATGTTGTTATATATGTTATAAATTTCTTTTTCACCAAAAAAATGAAAGCAGCACATGGCGGGGGTCGAGTTGCACCTGGCGCACCAATTCATTGTACACCTACTCTGTAGGCCGCAATTTTAGAATGCCATTCAGGAGTAGGTAAAGTAAAACATACTCGTATTAGCATTCGGCACAATGTTATAATATTTTGTATTTAAAATATTGACTGTTGACATCAAATGAAATCGAGAATGTGAAAGTGCAGTGATCAGTTCGATCAATCACGGCGATGTGCGCTGTAAACCGGTTGCGACACGTTTTCGAGTAATAATCGTAAATTACGACAATGGTCAGATCCAGATATTCGGTGGCGGGATATCCGGCCTAGGTGTTCGCCAAATGACGCCCGTTTTATTTCCATTACTAATGCACGAAAGTCATCGAAATAAACCACTTTTAGTAGAATTTGGCGCCACAATTCGACAGCTTTAATTTAATTGTTTTTTCTTTAAAATTGTGAAGAGAACGCAATCCTTAGCCACGTATTTGTATTGTTTGTACATACATGGAATTAAACAACTCGCTGCCAATAAATGAACTTTATTGCATAACATAACAATGTCGACAATATCTATTAAAACATCATCATATACTATACACTCGATAAAACATACCAATATTTATATTCCTTGAATACATTAAGCGTCTTTAATAGTATTCACGGCCTCTGTCGCATATTCGTAACATTGTGATGTTTACAAACTACATATTTAAGTGTAAGGTATAATTGTACAGCCAACAGCACATCAAGCTATACGTACACTTGTCTTCGAAAATCACTGCGTGTGCAATGAAACTAAACTAGATCTATTGTACGTCGTGTACCATGTGTACGTTGTCTGTACATCGTTATAATAAGAATGAGATAACAAACTAATTTACGCTCAGTCATATAATAAATACAATATTTTCTGACAGTTTACAAAATTTTCTTGCATATTCCGGATCCGATCAAATAATAAAATATAATGTATACTGAAAAAGAGCCAAGTTTACAGCCCTAGAGGGACACCGCAGATGCGTTGGAAGGATGATATAAAGAAAGTGGGCGAGGTTGAATTGGATATAGATGATACTGAATCGAGAGAAGTGGCAGACACTGAAGGAGGCCTGCTCCGATATGGTTGAGAATGGCTAGAAGAAAAGTTTACAGTAAGAATTAACGAAAATTAGTCACCTAATTACAACTTTGTGACTACAATAAGCCGGCACGAACTTTTGGTTACTACTTATTTCAAACCGAAGAATTCTGCAACCCAACCTGTACCTCCATTGTTCATAGTAGTCGTGAATACTATCTTCACGTAATTATCAGGGCTAGTGTAATCGGCGGGAGTCTCATCACAGTACGAAGATACAACGGCACCACTTCTGTCAATCAATTGCAAGTAATTTCGATTGCAATCTCGACCCATATCAAAGATTTTAAAATGCAACTGTAAATGTGTGCCATACGGCGTTTCCAGCTCCCATTCACAAGTGCCCTTTTGCCTATACACCTCAGGATACAACGGACTGGACAGTATACCTAAAGTGTTCTGCATTTTGCCTCCGCATCCCCGACCCTTATCAGTGGCCACGTAATATAAATCGAAAGTCGCATGCATTGATGGAGTGTAGACACTATGCAAGAGAAGGAACCTCCCCGTGGAAAATAGCATAGGTGGATCTATGGAATCGGTCTTAACTGTCAACAATTTCGAAGCGGTGGTTGAATTTCCATCGAAGACCTCAAAATTGTAACCTTTTGTGTACGCCTGTATAATAGACAAAAAATAAGCAGAAATTGTAAACCCTTCCGGTGCTGTTATTAGGGTGTAACAGTGTTGCGTGGTTGTTTCTTCATATGGGGAATATGCACTAGATGATCGAATTCTACCTTGCTTTTCTGTATAATTTCCAGGACAAAGTTTTGAATACGTCACTTCCATTTCAACGCCTTTGTGTAAAAGTGAATCTGTTTCAGTATATGTTTCAAGAATAACAGTGACGCTTCCAGTCAGATATAAATCGATAGGCATTTTGTTACCACAGAAAACTAATCGATTCGGCTTATTGACTTCTTCAATATAGTAACTGAGACTGTAAGCGTCAACAAACGAATAGCTATCTAAATTGACAACTAAATCTCCGCCTATGGTCAAATTATGCGGCGCCGGTACTTTCAAAATAGTTAGGCTATCTTTGTTGCACTGACTGTCTTCTGGCTGTCCAGGTTGAATATCGAGGTGTTTTATAGCAAGATGTATTGTGTTGTAGATATTCGAGTCGAAGTGATAATAACAACGCAGACCTCGGGGAATAGATCCTTTATCGTATCCCGGAGAAGTAATTCTTTGGACGTCGTTAGATACTATGTACCAGGATTGGCCGCATATCGATCTTTGTACTGTTAACCGTGCTTCAAATCCTCCACTATTTTCTTCACCATCAGTCGATAAACTAACACTCATAAGGTTTCCCGAAGAAGTAAGCTGCGGTGGGGCTGTATGTCCACAATACGTACCAATAACTATACCGCTGGGATTAAATCCATCTCTTATTTCCACGTAGTCACAATCACATTTGCTATAGCCCACAGCTGTTTGATTAACGCCCGAACACGATGCCACGTGGAACGATGTAAATTCTATCTTAATTGTGTAGTCCTCGGGTGCACGAATAGTCCAATAGCAGTCCAAGAAATTTTCATATACCGCGCTTCCACCAAATAGAGGCGATTTCAATATTTCAGTAGACGACACATTTACGAGTCCGCCACATCCTACTGCACTGGTGTAACTGAAAGAAATTTCCGCTTTAAAACCTTTATAAGAACTGGTATAATCAGAAACCATTTGTACTACCATTTTGTTATCAGTACTATGTATAGTGGTGGGACAATCTATACGACCGCACATAAGTGCCAAACGTTTTTCGTCATCTATAATTTGACCATTAAACACGGCTACGTAGTCAGCATAACAATGTTCGGTGCTTTCTAAATAAAATTCTTGGAATTTAAGAATGACGTTTTTATTCGCTGGCGCTTCTATAATCCACGTACAATTAAGATTTTCTTCGTAAGTATCACCAAGCCCAGAACTTATAGCAGTAGGGGTTTTTATTTCCCCGCCGCAAGCAAAGATTCTGTACGACAATTTAAAGCCTTTCCTCTGAGTAAATCTATCTGATTTAAAAGTCAAGGTTATCTTCTTGTAATTACGCAATGGTGGTGGTAACTCAGTGCCACAGTAAACTCCATCAAATGAGTCATACAAATATTCACCTTTTAATGTCACATTGTCATATTCGCAAGTAGGATACATACCTTCTAATTCAAATTCGTGGAATTTCAAGTGCACGTTCCTCTCCGATTTTATTTCATATGTACAGTCAACCAATGGTGGATATTGATCAGGATATCCCGGACTATACAAAAACTGTTCTTTAGTTGTGGCGAACAGAGTCGCTCCACATATGGGAGTCCATTCGGCCTTAAATCCATCTAAACTAATATCGCCATCCGTGCGTAATAACACTTTCATTCTATTAAAAGTAGAATTGAATACAGGTGGAAGTTGGCGTCCGCATAATCTAGCCATTTCGTTATAATTGTCATTTTTCCAGTCATAAATAATAACGACATCTTTTGTGCAATTTTTTGTATCTTCTATCGCAAATCGTTCCACAAATCTAAGGGATACACGATTGCCTAAATTAGCCTTAATTTCCCAGGAACATTCGAGATTCGTAGCATAATTTTTGGGGAAATTCGGCGATTCGAAAATTCTGTCGTAATCCAAAATTAAACCTCCGCACTGACCAGTTATAGTTCTAACAGTGAGACGGACATCAGTAACATTTTTAGCCTTGGAGTGGTATTGAACTAATATATGTAGAAAACCAGCAACTATAGCGTTGTCTTGCATTCTATCTTTGCAATAATCTGCCATAGGTGGCAAAGCCTCCACAGTGTGACCGATAGTGATAAATTCGTCCAAACAGTCCAACTGGAAAGTGCCTTCTAATTTTATTTCCACACGGGCAGCGTCCGGTGAAATAACAAGCCAAGCACAATCCAATGAACCATCAGTTGCACGAGGAATATTCAACACATTCACAGCATTAATTCCGGCATGAACTACGCCACCACATGGTTGCAATTTCCAATCCAGATTAAAATAGAGTGAACTGCTCTTGCTCTTAGTTGCTATGAAATCTGCAGAAGTCGAGGGTATCCTGTATGACACTTCGGTGTTTCCACAAATATTTCTTACGAAGTTAGTTGTGCTTACAGGTGCTTTTATATGTAATTTAGGGTCAGTATATCGGCAACGATTTGTAGTTACTGAAGAATTTACTTGAGCTCTTATAAATAAAGTGTTGAATACAGTAGATGAAGTGTCGTTTTGTTGGTCTTCTATTGGACTAGAATCGTAATGCCAAGAACAGAAATATGAGCGCTGTAGATCTGGTGACTCAAGATGCCCAGTTGCACCATTCAACAAACCGCCGCACAATACTTCATCGTTAGAACTAAATTTCGCTTTGAAGCGATGGGTTGTCGCCTGAGGGTATACAAATAAAAATAAAGCTAAAGTATTACCAGTAGACTCAAAAACTCGTGTTGTGGTATCCGTACTTACCAGTGACTCTGCAAAATTTTGATATCGCAAATCGTTAAATATATCTATTCGATGTTTTTCTAAATCAGAATCCAATAGTTCTAAACGTACACGCCTGTTTTTATTCGGTACAGTTATTATCCACTGACAATATCTTACGCTAGTTTCCCGAGGATAGTTTGGAGTCATCAAAAATCCTTCTGAAGTTGAAACTGAACCTCCACAAAGAGGCCGAGTCGTATTATAAGTTAAACGAAAACCTCTATAAGTCGACGCTGTCGACCAGTGTGCATTATTTCCTATATGCCATTTTATAAAAACTTCGTTAGACGATGACTCAACTGGTTCTGGATTTTGTATATTATTGCTGCAATACGTGTGTAATATATTATTTACTGGCACTTTTTCCTCTATAGTAATTTTAGTACCACACGGCGTTTCAGAATCAGGCAAGTCGATGTCTTTGGGATAAATAAACAATATTTGTCTACGAGATGTAACGATTCTCCATTCGCATACGGTGCCAGGTTTTAATGTTTGCATGTGTGGATATCCTGGTGAAATTACTTCACCTATATTGCTGACTATAGTACCACCACACTCTTCTATTGTCACGTTTGCTGTAAAACCACTAGATGGTTCCGACAACTCCGTTATATACTTGATGTATACATTATTGGAGGTCGTCTTAATTGTGCTGGGATTCGTCTTTCCACAAATCCTTTGTCCTAGTACTGGAGCTAAATTAGTTAAGCCATCACGTATTTCCACAAATTCTGATGAGCAGTCATCTTTACGTTCCAAATCTATATGAGCAAAGTCTACTCTCAATACCTCACCTGGGGGACCTGAAAATACCCAAACACATTCTGAGTAAGGCACCGGCACAGATGGGTAATTCGGTGAATTCACTATTTCCCATGGGTGATCTGCATCCAGTTTCGAGGTCGCACCACACTCAAAACTTTTCTCTTCGAATCGTATTCTGAAATTCTGGAAACCTCTAGGTTGGGTAGTTTGAAACCGTCTGAGATATCCAATCGTATAAGTGACCAACAACGTATTACCTGAAGTTTCCAAAGAACCCTCTCTATTTTCATGTTCATATCCACAATATTTTCCGCTTCCTAAAAATGGTGACTGTGTAGAATCACCATTACGTACAGTTACATACGTGACACAATCGTCGGCGTTGTTACTAATATTGAAATGTTCAAAATTAAATTTGATAACTCTGCCAGGTCTAACCCTCACTATCCATTCACACTTAGTATTGCCTAAGTTTATATAATTAAATCTAGTCGCTGGGAAATCCGCCAAAACTGGCCCAAATACGCCCGACATTTCCGTAATTAATCCACCACATACCGATGACACTAGAGCTTGGAATCCATTCCGAGCAACAGCTACGTCTGATCTAAACGTTGTTTTAATGTAATTGGAAGCATTAAAATCGTCATTTATTTGTTCCTTTAAACATATATTCTCTTTGATTGGACGCCATTGCACGCCAGAATCTGATGAGAACACCGAAACATAATCACCGTAACACGACGCAGTCTCTTCGAGTCTCAGATCTTGAAAGTGTAACATCAAATGATGTTGTGGTGTACTTTTAAATACCCATTGGCAATTTAAATTATCTCCATATGAACTTGGATAATTCGGAGATTTAAAAACAATACCATTACCTGGTGAAACAATCTGTGTTGTATTCGAACCACAATTTATTTGATCAGTCTCATCTGTCACTTCACTAATATCCGCTTCTGTCCAACTAACAAAGAAGATAGAACCGGTATTAGAATCTTCCAAATGAAGTTTTATGTACGCCACATTGGATGACGTTTGCACTGCTTTTTGTTCATTCAACAAACCGCAAAACTGCTGTAGCAGAGGAGCTTCATCGTCGTAACCATCATAAACTTCTAAATAATTATAACAAGTAGAGCCGTGAGTTGGTATTTCTAAACTTTCGATAGTCAAAGATACAGACTGTGAACCATTTATGAGAATTCTCCAAGAGTAATCACCCGCACCCACATACTTGAAGGGATACAATGGAGAAGCAATATTCCCACTTTTTGAGCCAGTAATCACATTTCCATGAAGAAAGCCATAATGTAAAAGGAAGCCACGTCCTGCGTCCTGTGAATCGCTGTGGAACTTAATATAGAGTTTGGACGCTGCTGTAGTATTAGATGGTATATTTTTACCACAATAAAGGCCCACTAAACGACCAACGCCATCGTTTTCACGTACTTCTAAATAGTCTTCATTACAATTTTCAGAATCTTCCAAATCAAACTCTTCAAAATTTATATAAACTTTATTGCCAGGCGATGTTTTTAATACCCATTCGCAGCTGGCACTAGTGGGATAGGATAAAGGATAATTGGGAGACGCTATTGATCCTTCTTCAGATGTCAAAGTGCCGCCACAGGCTGTCGACAAAGTAGTATAGTGAGCCGAAAACTGCCCAGTCACAGAACCGCTATAGGTCCCCAATACAATAGTGATGGCACTACCTTGAGTCACAATCATGGGAGGCACTTTGTTGCCACAATATTCTTCTACTAACGGAGCTTCATCATCATTGCCATCATATACTCTGAGGAAAGATGATGGACATGTTCTATTTGCTGCAACATTCATATTTTTCGGAATGGACATATGGGTAATCGTTAAGCTTATTTTTTTATCAGGAGATGGTGCAAGAATCGTCCATGAACAGTTCACGTCTAAGTGACGAACAAAATTGTCATTGGTGACTATTCCATCGTAATGAGCTGTTATAATGGCACCACAAGTAACAGTAAAATTAGCTTTAAATCCCTTTGCTGTCCCTGCGTCACCCGAAACAAATTGTAAGCCCAATATATTATTCTTTGAAACTATATGGGTCACTTCAGAGTCGGCACAAATCCGTTGAGTATAATTTGTATCGAGAATATAATTTCCATCGTAGATTTTAATTGAGTCTCCACAGTCTTCATCATCATCTTTAAATAAATCGAAGTCCATAAAAGTTAGAAGTATTCGATGATTTCTTGGGACTTCCAATGTCCACATACAATCCAAATTTATGTCGTAATTTTTAGGATAGTTTTTAGAATGTATAACACCGGAAAGTGCCAATATTCTACCACCGCAACCAGTATTATACGAATCATATGATGAGCCGAAACGGACGTCCTTAAGCGCAGAATGTTTAACGAAACGCACCATCATGAAGTTGGTGCTGGATTGAATTTGATACAGCGGAGTAAAATGACAAACTTTGGTTAGTAATGGTGATCTAGCATCAGGTCCGTTATAAATTTCCACCGCGTCTGTTGTACAATTCTTGGAATCCATCATGTACAGATCAGTAATACGAAGATTTATACTTGTACCCGGTCGGCCTTCTATTATCCACTCGCACTCCACCTCACCGAGGACACCTATAGTATTGTCCACTGTTATACTGCCATATCTTTTCTGAACATGCCCACCACATCCGTATCTCGCCCACTCCAAACGGAAGCCCGTTTTAGGCATGACATAGCCCGTAACAAATACTATTTGCAATGTATTACCTTGAGTAGTAAATGCTGCGGGTAGTTCATTACCACACAATTTCTGGTACCTTGCATATGAAGACTCTTTGAATTGCAAATAATCCGGGTCACAAGCAGCAGGGCGTGAATACCTAATACCGTACCTAATTACAGTACTACCTACGAAACGTGGTTGAAATTTGTATACATCGAAATGGGTGAACGTTACGTTTATTTTATTTCCTTTCGGTACCGTTATAGTCCACATGCAGTTTAGATTCGTAAGATAGCTGTCAGGAAAGCCTGGGCTCTCTATAACTCCGTGGCTTCCAGTTAAATTACTTTGACACACCGTATTATAGTCGAGCAAAAAGCCTTTAGCACCTATATAGAAGTCTGACCTAAATTTTATAAACGCATAATTCGACGATGTTTCTATATGACTCGATATCTGTGCCATATAACAGTATTTCCCTAAAACAGCACCATTTACGTTTTTGTCATCATATATTTCCACATAGTCATCTCTACATGTGCTGCTTACCTCAAGATCTAAATCTCTAAATCTCAATTGGATTTTTGATCCGGCACTAGTGACGATTTTATAAAAACATTCCGCGTTGTCGTGGTAGTTGGACGGATAATTGGGAGAACTTATTGAACCAGAAGGACTGGTTAATGTACCGCCACATCCTGTCGCCGTACTATCCCATTCGATTTTAAAACCGTTCCCACCTATGTAAGAGTCGGAGTGGAAATGAAGATATAATGTATTAGAGTGCGAAACTACTTTTTTCCATTGGAATGAGCCGCAGTAGGTCCCGATTATAGGTGATGTTTCAGTAGCGCCGTTACGTATCTGTAAATAGTCTCCAAAGTTACACTTATTCCTTATGGGTCTTTCTAAGTCAAATTGTGTTATGTTTAGCATAATTTGTTGACCTTTAGGTGCCATGATAGTCCATATACAATCACGGCTACTCTGGTAGTGTTTTGGCCAGCCTGGTGAGTATATGAAACCATGAGCTTTAGTATACATTCCACCACAGTGAGATCTATCATTCAAAAATGTGTACGAAACTGAGAATCCGGCATGGCGAGAACTACTATCCGATACAAACTTTATCATCAAATTATTCGAACTGGTTGTCCAAGCGGGAGGTGTATTAGTACCGCAATATTTACCAAGAGACCTACTTTCATTATTTTCATCCAATTCCAAAACTTCTAAATAATCGGCTCCACATGAGGGCATAATTTCAAGTTCAAACCTGTTCCATGTCAATTTAATATGCATACCTTCTGGGGCTATCAGCAGCCAAGTACAAGTCTGATCATTATTGTACATTGCCTGCTCCGACGGATGATTAATCAAACCGGTCGGTTCTCTATATATACCGCCGCACTCGGTATTAATCGTTGTATAATTTGCATAAAACCCCGTTCCAGAAACACTCATATCGGATGTGAATTTCAAATACATATAATTGTGTGTCGAAGTTTGAACTGGAGGGGTGTGTTCTGTTCCACCACAAAATCGGCCTAAAAGAGTAGCATTGCTGTTTACCCCGTCTCTAATTTCAAGACTGTCGTACTGACAATCGAAACGCCTATTGTCTTCGATATCAAAATCTTGGAATGTGAGTTGTATTGCCTTACCTATTGTAGTCCCAATGACGTATTCACACATTCTATTCTCTGGATAAGTAAATGGATACCCTGGCGATTTTATGACTCCACTATCTCCAATTATATTTTGTTGACACACTGTCTCGTAAGTTATCTTAAAGCCTTCAGCAGACAGGCTGTGATCCGATTTGAATACAATAAAAAGTTTATTAGTCGACGACGTAAAAGTTTTTGGGAATGTGTTACCACAGAATTTGCCCACGAGTCTTGACTCCGATGATGGACCGTCATAAATTTTGACATAATCAAAGTTGCACCTCAAAGATGTTTCCAGTTTGAAAGAAATAAAATTTATGCGAACTTTAGTGTCGGCACTTGTTTGTATTTTGTATTCACATAATAAATTGGTCATATATCTACCCTCATAAGATGGTGAAGTGATCTCACCTTTGCTAGCTGTGAAAAAGCCTCCACAGCCTGGTACGCCGTCTGTTGGAGCAAAGGCAATCTGAAAGCCATTTCCGCCGCCGTGTGCATCAGAATGAAAGTGTAACAATAATTCAGAACTAACAGACTCTACCGGTGCGGGATGGACAGATCCGCATAATCTACTCAATAGTGGATCTGTGACGTACTCCCCATCATGTATCGCTAGGTAGTCTGAGGAACAGTTTGCGTTACCTACTATATCAAATGCAAAGAAGTGCAGCTGTATTCTTTTACCCAAAGTAGTTCTCAAATGCCAATAACAGTCTCTATTAGGAGGATACTTTCCCGGAGAACCAGGCGAACTAATTCGACCATGAACGGTGGCGTTAATTTCACCTCCACAAATAGGATGTATGCTCGTCCAATGCAACGCAAAGCCGTCTTTAGCTACATTTTGATCCGACCTAAACCAGAAGTACAGGGTATTATGACTCGAAATAATGTTACCACCATTGGGAAACGTATTTCCACAAAATCTGCCTATATGTGGACTAGCTGTAGATCTACCATCATGAATTTGCAAGAAATCGTAACGACAATCAGGACTTTCTTCCAGATTAAACCTACTAAATGTTACATTTATTACTTTGTCTTCGTCGGTTTGTATAACCCAAGCGCATTTAGAATTATGACTATAAGTAGTATTAGTCAAAGGATACACAATGCTACCTTCTTCTTGTTGGAAAAGTCCACTACAACTTCTGACCATTACATGACATACGTCACCCGTATACTGTGCCGTACACTCACATCTAAATCCTCTCGCTCCACTCTCGTCCACTCTACAGGTTCCTCCGTTGAGACAAGGGCTGCTGGCGCAGTAGTTGCTTGGCGAATCGCAGAGAGCCCCGCTGTATCCTCTGTAGCAGATGCACGTGTAACCGTGGCGTAGTGGATGACATTGACCGTGAACTCCGCAAGGATTGCTGTCGCATCCGGTTGTTGAGTTAAAAGCTGAAACGTAGCATCCTTGAAGACCAACGCCGTCGCCATCCATTCCTTCTGGGCAAATGCATTGTCCCACTTGACCGTTAATACCGGAACTTTCAATACATTGAGCTGAAGGATGACATCCTCCGTGATTAATATTACAGGAACCTCTCCATGTACAGGTAATACCATCACCTTGGTAGCCAACAGGACATGCACCGCATATACGGGAGCCTATTGTATTGTGGCATGTAACCAATGGACTAGTGCTACATCCGCCATTGGGCGTGGTAGTCGATAAACATTCATTGATATCAGAACAAATATAACCATCGCCTTCATAACCAAATGGACAAGGGCCGCATCTAAATGATCCCGGTAAGTTGATGCAGTCAACTCTAGGACTAACTGAACAGCGAGGTCCTTGTGTTGACTCGCACTCATTTACATCATTAATGCAAGCGACACTTGTTCCGTTATTAGTCCAGCCTTGATCACACACGCATGTAATTCCTTCTCCAGTTGTAACGGGTATACAGGTTCCATGTCCACACATTTCGTGATTTCCTGCGCTACAATCTTTGAGTCTTCTGGTACAGTGAACTCCAAACCACCCTGGTATACATAGACACTCGTAAGTTCCTTGTCGATTCACACAAGTAGCTCCGTTTTGACAACCCAAATCGGTACCAGCGAAATTGCGGCATTCGTTTACATCCACGTCACAATTTGTACCTTCCCAATTGGATGGGCATAAGCAGTGATAATTGTTCACTATATTTAAACATGTGCCTCCGTTCTTACATGGATTAGATTGACATTTATCTGTAATGTCGTTGTTGAGACGCAATTGCAGATTTGTAACCCTATTCGTTAACCTATTTACTCTTCTCCAAAGAACCGATATATTCAGTAACAAACCATCTGGCATTACATTTCGAGTTTCCAGCCGCTCAAGTCTTTGTAAGATGTCGTTTGGTCCATTGAGATAACTATCCAATGCATGGTTAGAGGTCTCTCTTCCACCTGTGTCTGTAATATTCAAGTCCAATATATTTACGCCCGCGATGAAAACTTTTGATCGCGGCCCGTTTGGACGTATGTGAATGTTTTGATCATAAGCAGCCTCAATGAAAAGGTCACCATCTGCAGCTTTAATCTTAGGTTGGTCTTGATATACTTCACAATCTAAATTAACAAATAAAATTACTAGAACGCAACAATGAATCTGTAACTTATTGGACATTGTGATGCCCACGCGGTGTGCGCGTAACTTAGGACTATTCTACTCCAGCTCAGTCGTATTTATTTTTTAGGGGGCGTGTGATCCGCCCACATCATTATCAAAATTTCTGGTATCCATAAAATACAAACATATCTGCAACATAAAGGGGGCCTGTTATCACTAATTATTACACAGGTTGACCCATTTGCAGTATTCCAAAAATTTTTTAAGTTGTGAACGTCTTAATGACCCATTGAAAACCGTCTTTTTAAATAACTCAAGTCGAAATCTACTCCGCTAAATCAAATTGCATGGCATGCAACGAGCATTTTTGTGTTGTTCTTAGACTGTGTCGTTGTCAGACCCCTTGGTGATTTTTTGTTGAAATAAAAAAAAATCAGTTTTATAACGTGTGCGTTTTCGAGAGTATGCGTGTAAGCATACGTCATTGTGTGCGTGCGTGCATGCGTGCGTGGGTGAGACGTGAGTGCGTGCGTGGGTAAGGTTAGGAAAGAAAATGAAAGCGTGATTTTATATGTGACGGACGTGTGTTAAATCAATTTTTACGATAGTCGAAAACATGCGTAGTAGTGCATCCGATTGTTTATAGTTCCAAGATAACAAAAGCGCCTGGATCATTTTATTTCTCAACAACCATTCAAGTCACTAAGTAAAAAATCATTAAAAGGTCGGAAATAACGACGCAATCTAAAAATAAACACAAAAATGATGAATCATTGCTTGCTAGCTACATAGCCACACTATTTCTATACCAAATTTCATATGATTTAGTAGAATAATGTTGAAACTAAAGTGGTTCGGTCACTAGAGTAGAAAATTATCAAGAAAATACTAAAAAGTCATAACTTTTAAACAGTTTAATTGCTCGCAAGTAATGTTTCTTTTAAAATAATTATAACATAATCATAATCACGCACACTCATAGCCCCGCACTAGGGAAGTCCTGTATCGCGGGTGCTATATACACACAAATAGACAACCACAAATTACACTGAACTCAATAGAGAAATAATTGTACGCCATACAATTGGGATCGCACCCAGGACCTCTGCATGGCAGTCTATATAGTCGTATAGCCACGGAGGCAAAGTGATTTGTAATGACGTCCTCTACGTAAAAACATTGGACCTCGAGACTTGAACCACTCTGTATATTTATTACTGATAAATAGTTGTTGTCGAGCGTCTAAATTTTCATGTATTTGATGTCGCATCTGTATAGTTTCATTCAACTTATTAATCACTGCTAAATCAATCATGTTAAATAGGTGTATCTACTTTTTAAATTATGGTGAAACTTTTAATTGTTGGCACTTTTTAATAGCTTCATTGAAGCAGTTTTTTCAAAATAAGTTTGTAATTATAATACACAAAACTTAATTTCAAAATAAATTTTGTGTATTATCGAGCACGGTTTATCGGAGCTTACAACCGGAGACGCCACATGATTTAATTTCTATACAAAAAAGTATGTCACTTTTGATGAGGGACGAGGCATTCAGGCAATGCATACAAATAAAATTCTACTCTATTACAACTAATCGCTTATTCCATGTCATGTCCTTTTTTTTCTGTAAAGAAATGTAATAGATTAGTCCGATTTCTTTTTCATTTTGCAAACGCATTGTAAACATGATTGTTTTTTTTAATAAAAAATAAGTGCGCATTTGACCTCCATCTCACCTGATGGAAAGTGACGATGAGGTCGAGGATGTAGCATGCACACCTAAATAATGCCTATTCACTCATGATAATTAAAGTCACTCATTTATCGGTTTTTCAGAGATTATTTACGATTGTAAGTTGTAAGAAGTCACAAAAACATATCTCTCGGCAAAAGAGGTCGAGGTCGTAGACAGTGTCAAATGTGCACCTTCACATTAGACGCTTGTAGATGTGCTGCACGCATCGACATCATAACCTGCTGCACGGCTGCAGCGGCGCGTCCGTAGTACTGCAGCTGCTCAACTACTAATTTTCATACAATATCTAGTATGCAAAAGCGGAGCGCACCTACTTCCAGATGACTAAGAATTCTTGATATTAACTACGAAATATTCTAAAGTTGTTCGGTAGATGTTTCAAAAGAAAAGATGGAAACTTTGTTGTAGCTTTTATTCAAAGTTAGTAACTTAAGAAATATTATCTCTTCTATCCAGAGACTACAGAGCCACTTAGTGTTAGGAGTCAGGAACAAGAGTCCTAAGTAGGGTTTATCTGAACACCGATTTTAAGTATTGTTTTATGATATCAAGTGACGGGTCATGCACCTGGTGGTAAGCGACACGCCTATCCATAACAGTTATAATATATAATAATAATAATAATTTATTTATTTCCACATATGACAGAACCAAAAAATTACAAGAAAAGATTAAAAATAAAAGTAAAAATAACAAAAATTCTAATTATAAAATAGTTGACACTGTTTAATTGTGGATCACAGTATTTAGCAATTGACGACCCTGTCTCTTAAACTAGGTGAACCTGTATCTTAAGAGACAGTGATTCAATCTAATGAGGTATAATTTTTGAATTACAGCAAAATAGTGAACAGTGTAATACACAACATAAGTATAAAGAACAATTTTAAAATTTAAGTTAAGCCTTATAATCTAAGTGAATGAGAGTATGTGAGTGTGTGTGTGTGTTTGTGTGAGTGCGTGTGTTGGTTGATAGATAAATAGAAATATGCCTAGTAGGGGATTATAATCAAAAGAAAGATAATTAAATAAATAAAAAAGGTCTTAGGTTTACTGAACTGGCCGTAACAATTCTTCAGTTGCAGAGTAGTTAAGTCCTTGGAGCCAATTTGTCACAGATTTCTTACACTCGAATTTGTTCCTGTCGGCAATGTTTAACTTATAATTTATTTTGTTAAAGAGAAACCGACCAAGGAAGAAGTAGAATCTATGGCCAAATGATGTTCTACACATATTTAGTAGGGGGACAACATCCCGGCGGTTTGGCCGGAGAGAGTGAGATGGTCGCTCGTTACTAATTTCTGCCAGCTCTGAATGCTGTTTGAGAGTAATATTTAAAATGAATATTTGACGAACTGTCAACACTTCGCAGTACCTATATAGGTCTTCGGTGGGGTACCGGTATGGCTTAAAGGTACATACTTTTAAGACCATCCTCTGGGCCCTTTCCAGAGATAGCATATGAGCCGTCGAAGCGCCTCCCCATGCGACTATGCAATATGATATCAGGGACTGACACAAGGCATAATAAACCATTTTAATGACATCAGCTTTGGCAACATGTCGTAGTTTTTTAAAAGTAAATATTAACTTCCGGATTCTGTTACCAAGGATATGGACATGAGGTACGAAAGAGAGGTTATTATCTACCATCACTCCCAAATACTTAATGCTGTCAGTCCTTGACAACACAGGACAGTCACAACGACATGGTACATCGCAGAGGTGGTTGTGGACTCTAATAGAGTGGGGCTCGATGTGTTGTAAAATGGTATTTCTAATCGAAAAAACGATATATTTTGATTTTTCTACATTGAGAGTCAATACATTCTGCCTTAACCAGTCTAGAACCTTATTGAAGCCTTCCTGTGTACTTCTGTAAACCTCAATCCAGCTATCAGCAGAAAAGATAAGGGCGGTATCATCTGCAAAAGCAATCAATCGACCCCCTTCCAAACTCATGTTACACAAGTCGTTCATGTAGATGAGGAAAAGGGTGGGGCCAAGAACACTTCCCTGCGTTGCAGTGTCATTCAGAGGTTTATCTGAGGAGCACTGCTAATGCACCCGTCACCATAAGACATCATAAAGTTGACAAAGCCCTTGTGCCTATAATTTCACCAACACACATACGGTTCCAAACCGGAATGCAGTAATATTCACACTACTGCTTGGTGGCAGAAAGAGGTAAAGTGACAGGTACTGCCTTGGACAAATTTTTCACAAGGAACTCTGCTTCTACTAAAAAGTATTATTTAAAAGTATAAAAGGTGTATTTAAGGTGTTTATTTATCATAGACGTGCGGTGCAAAGTATGAATTGCATACAAACTCATAGAAAATAAAAACGTTTCCGTGACCATTCTCGCGGGGGTAAAAAGAGCCCGTGTGTTAACCGCGTAAATCTAAAATTACCTTGCATTTCAATTTATTCTTTTGACCATTTTAACTTACATGTTGTAGTATTTCTTAATACCTAATAAAATAAAAAACTTTTCAAGCACACTTGACAACCTCGGAGGATCCCAAATGTCTGTAATTTCACCAGCACCCTTACCCATCAAAACCCGAACGCAGTAATGCTGACATTAGTGCTTGGCGGTAGAAATAGTTAAGCCTTTCACAAGGAGCTCAACTGCTCCTCTTAAGAGGTTTTGTTTTTTAGTTATTTTTATTATGTTTTGTACAGGTGTATACTATTCCTGTGATTTTATAAGTAATTACTTAAGAAGAAGTTAAGTTTTTATTTATTTTTTATATTGCAGTTAATAATTTAAACTTTAATTGAGTGTCGATTCCGTCCAAACTTTTTTGTAATAGTCCTGTATAGATTCAACTAAATAGACTAAAGAACATTGTAAAAGATTTTTGATACCGGATTTAATAAAAATTTTTGCAATAATAATAAGTATTTGATGAATTCAAAGGTGCCCCAGGCGGGTTCACATCTGCCCCAGGTGTGAGCAGATTTGAATCCGCAGCTTTCAGCTGGTTAGCTTTTGAACATTTGAGTTCCTTCACAAAAATGAGAATTCAGACAGTATTATATAGACTTTTTGATCGTGCTTATTATAAATATTATAGCCAAATAATAAGTTTAACTACTGCAACAAACAAAACAAATAAATAATAATGATTTAGGATTTCACAACCAGAAATGTAAAAAATGTTCAAAGGTATATTTATCACGAAAGTATAGAATTGACCGAGTTGTAAGAAAAAATTGTAGCTTGTATAGGTATGTTACATAAACCACAAAGCATTCTGCAATGCGTACAATCTACTGATGTATTTTTGTGCTAATTATTTTTTAGATATTTAATTAGTTTCCTAAAACTGAAAGTCAGTGTGAGGCTTCCTTATAACTAGGTCTATCTTTAAAACTTCATGTTAATGTTAAGCCATTTCCATCGAACTGGAGCAGCCAAAATTGCAATAAGGATAAAAAACAGAATAGGTACACATGATCGGAGGAGATCATGCCTCATGCACTCACTGTAATTTTACTAAGTACGTATGTACTATGGAGTATGTACATACTCCAACCATTTTCGATTGCCCACATTTTTCTATCCTTAGAAAAACCTCATCGATAACCTTCTTCAACTCTAAACTCCTGAAAACATGATCTCCTGAAAAATCAAGAATATTATCAAGAATCCCGTTCTATTTCATTCATTTTGTAACAAGCACTATCGAAAACTTATAAAGTAATGTAACGAAAGAAATTACTCTGTCTTGGCTGTATGGCGCATTAATGCCTTTGCCTTTTACAATGGAAAAACAGTACAAAAAAGGAGAAAAAAAAACTGTCAGTGTCAATGTCAAAACGGTGCTTGGATTCGCTCTGGACTCTTGTATTTTTAGTTTGTGCTCTGGACCTTTTGGAGGGAAAAGTGTCGTTTTTATTTTGACTTTCAATTATTTTGTGAAATCTAGTTTAAAGTGGAATAGGATAGTGCTATTGTGCCTTAATCGACGATTAAAACGCGAAATTATACGAATCTCAAACTAGAATACCCGTGTCGGCCCGTTTTAAGGAATCCCGAGTCAATCCAAGCACGCCGCCTCAAATTGCCTATCCTCTTTGTGGCGGCCATATTATACAAAGTGAAACCAAAATGAAGAAAAGAAAATGAAGATAAGGCTGTATGACATTATGCCAAAGCTGTTAAAACTATACTTAAAAAAAAAACGGTGCTATCAAAAATCAGCCTAGAAATAATGATAAACGTGCCATGCAGTAATTTGTGATTTTTTTTTGCATACAAAACTGAAACTTCTGATTAAAAGATGGTGAAATCTGTAAAGTATTATAATAAATAAACAAAAGCTCTGGCTTTGCTGAAAAATGGACACGTTTTCAATTGTTTGTACTGTACTTTGGTATGGTGCGGTTACTGCAGTAGCAGCTTTGGTTTTGGTATGTAATAAGTTTTAATTTAAATCCGCCAGCAAAAAACTATTTTTGTGTTAAATGATACTATGACGAAAAGCTAAAGTACGTTTTTTTGCTACAAGGACAAACATGTGCAACAGATAAATTAAATTGTCATTTTAAATACATTTTACAATTTTAATTGTTAAGCTACTTTTCTACGAAGTTAACGTAAAATATTTTGAGACAACTATCCTACTAGGATTTTGGATGCAACATACTTTGGGATAAGTAAACGTCGGAACCCAGTGGGAATTTTAAAAACGGCATTTGTTCATAGCTATACATACACCATAATCGTCACACTCTAATCATTCTGTTTTGATACCTGTATCAATTGCAACATAACTAACTAGAGATGTAGACTAATAAATCACTAACAAATTATTCAATTCTCAAGGTAAATTAAAAATTGTATAAATTTGTGATGATGAACCTAAAATTAATCCAACAGATTAATTTTAGATTCATTTGTTTTACATTAACATAGACCAAACAATTAACATTTATAAAGTATAATAAAATAATATTGATGCCAACATGATAGTTAAAAATCAGTTCAAAAGCAAAGACACAAGAAATAGACAAACAAGCACAAAGTCAACTTTCGAAGATGGCTAAAGACTGCTCATATATGCATACCAAGTGTCACTAAATTGAAATCAGTATAGCCAGCTCAAAAACTTTGCAACTCTACATATTCAGCACTTTTAATTTTTGATATTAACAATTAAGTAAGGTAGTATGTGTAAATAGAAATAAATTGAGTCTGTGAAATCACATATCAATAAATACAGTAGAAGTGCTTAGTAGGCGTGAAACGTGAACCAACTGTTCAGCATACAAAACATACCAAGTTTGCTTTGTACGTATTGGTCACATCAATTATCTCATGCAAAACCTCGAAAATCATGGATGAAAATCATGAACCTTGTTTCGCTACTTTGGAGTGCAAACATGATAGTCATGTAATATTATCCATGGTGGTGTTTCGTATCATCGTTAAGTTGTATTTTATTTCATTTTAATCAATTTCCTATTTTATGTTTATTATAATAATATATTTTCTACAAATAAGGTTTGTTTTTGCGATCGGTAATAGGCGTTAATCGTTCGTCGTCTTACAGCCATTGCCACTAGATGGCAGCACATAGAACGAAATTTCAATAATATAAAATAAAAACATCGTAACTTGCAGTAATAAATAAGTATTGAACTATATGCCAACTGGGTAAAATTTAAATTATATAAACAGTCCAGAATTTCTTGCATCTTTTTAACTTAGACAACAAAATTAAAAACGATGATCAATCATTATCACAATTTCATAGTATTTACAATAAGATGATGTGAGTTCTTACGACAATCGTAATTGAGGCCTTTCCATTGTTTTTTTTCAACTTATTATAATTTAAAAAAATAGATTGAACATGTAACTGTTTTCCAGACATTTCATAGTAATTCAAAATTGCTTTTTACTTTGGAAAAGTAATACTTGAAATGTGTTCTGTCCTATAATATGTAAAAATGCAACAATAAATTTAATATCTTAAAATGCAATATGAATTTATTATTTTGTTGATTTCAAGCAAAGTTACATTCTATCTCTCTTTCCGAACTTTTAATTTAGTAATATTTCTTTTTTTGCAGTTATCAATAATCATTTACGCTACTACAAAACCGTACCCTATTGTAGAAAGGTACAAAGAAGAAGAAACCTTCAGAGATCCTGTTACAAAAAAAAGACTTAAATTTCCAAACATCAATGGACATCATGAAGTTTGTTTGAGCGTTGTTGTACCTGCTTATAATGAGGAAGAGCGATGTAAGTTTGCTACAGTAGCTATAACTACACACATCAAAAGTGTCTAGGGATCAAGTACGTTTAAGAGTATTGCTGCAATTAGGGTTAATTATATTAACTTTTTTGTATCGCTATTGATACTTTTTAGTGAGTTTTAACATTTAAATAAGGAATAATGTTTAAAATTCGATAATAAGAAGAAAATCGATTGTCAATGTGGTTTTGTATAAAAATGAGTTATAGCGTTTTGACAAAATCATTACAATATCTGCATCGGAACTGAAACAATTTACATTATTATGGAGAGACGACATCATTTAACCCGAGAAGTGATGATGCGAGTCGTCGGAATGTTGGAAGCTGGTTCCAGGCAACGTGCTGTGGCTTTCACTCTTAACACTACACAGAGCGTCATAAGTCGCCTCTGGACGCGCTATCGCATGACGGGCAGCGTGGCCGAGCGACATGGAGGATGATCTCGCATCACGACTCGCAGACAGTACCGGTATATCCAAAATACTGCTCGACGGAATCGTACCATGACCGCCATGATGTTGGTTACGAGGCTCCACAGCTCCTCAGGCTTGCTAATAAGCGATCAAACAATCCGAAATCGTTTACGTGAAGTGGGTCTGCGATCCCGAAGGCCGCTCAGAGTTCCACCTATTGCACCCTGCAGGACCCGTTTACGATGGGCTCGCGAACACAGAAACTGGGAGGAAGAAGACTGGCGCTATGTGTGCTTTTCGGATGAATCCCGCTTCGGTATGAGACCGGATACAAGACGTACTCGAGTTTGGAGAACATCTGGACGTCATGAACGTTTGAGATATTGTCAGGAAGTTCATCCATATGGTGGAGGAACAATAATGGTATGGGCCGGTATTTGGATTGGCGGAAGAACCGATCTCATTTGGATCAGGGGTAACCTCAATGCTCAAGTTTACGCAGAGAGGATTGTTTCAGATGTTATCATCCCTTTGCGAGGCCAGTTGGGTGATTCATTTCAACTAATGCATGACAACGCACATCCACACACGGCTAGAGTCGTAACACGCATTCTTGCCGAAGCTCGTATCAACGTTCTGCCGTGGCCTGCTCAATCGCCAGACCTCAATCCAATTGAGCACGCATGGGATATGCTTCAAAGAAGAGCTGTGCCGAGTATGCATACCGTACATACTCTACAACAATATTTTGACTTGTTACAAAACACATGGGCGGCCATTCCTCAAAGTGATTTTGATGAACTCATCTTAAGCATGCCAAATCGCTGTAATTGTGTGATTCGTGTTAGTGGTGGAAATACAGGTTATTAATTTTCTTATCTTTACAATAAAAATGAGCAAAATCATCATTTTCGCCATTTTTTTGTCATTTAATTGACGCCGTTAATTTGAGTTTTTTCCCACAATTTGCAAAAACATCAATTTTAGTTTATTTTTATTAAATATAGGGGTAAGCGGTTAAATAAAACATAAGCATTAAAGTAAGAAGTCGTCCTGGAAGATTGGATTTGGTAAATATTGCTTAAATAATTTTTATTTCAAAAATATTCACTTGATCCTTGATCCTTGATGTGTATAATAGACTACTGATATAGATGTAATAATGAGCATATTGTTATCAGCTGTAGTATAGATACAATAAATGAGCATAAACTTTTTTAATAATGTCTTTTATAAGAAGCATGGTTTCTCATGGTAGTTGGCGTGTTAGACAATACCTCCTAGCATTGGGCTGCCTTCATTCTTTCCCTGTAGTGGGGTATTTCTAGGTACCTATTCATGTAATTCTTCCATTTTTGTAAACCACAACGCATTAGCAATAGTTTTTATTACACAATTCTTAAATCGTTGTAGGATGGCAATATTAAAACAGTGCAGTGCAATGCGCGTTCGGAAACGGACGCTCCACTACGCAGTGAGTTAATTATTAATTATAACTCGAGTTTCGTGAGGCACACGCCGCTGCGCGTAATTGACAATGCCCAGCAACTCATTGCCAATGAGCTCCTAGCGTTTATTCAACACGCCATCGACACCATACGCGAAGTCAGTATTGTGCAGATCTGCAAATCGAATTTCAACGAGGATGAGATTTGCAGTGGCAAGATGCCTGTGGTGCCAGAGCCTCGGTAAAGGCGAACAGATACCTTCTCGCCGGAGGTATGGAGCTTTACACCTCCATCCCTCCGGTGTCTCCAGGATATCATCGCACTCCTGAAGGAGAATAACCTGGCGAAGGAGCTGCGCAAGCTACCCCCTGTCACGTTTGACCACGTCGATGTCACTAGACTGCTGAAGGACATTACGTCCCTGAAGTCAATATCAATTAGAGGCTTCAGGTAACACCATAAATGAGTTACGTGCCCAAGTTATTAATCAACGCTGCTTCGGTATTAGGTCACCAGAAGCCTGTAACGTAAACACGTCGTGAGACGCAAAATGCATACATCTGCTGCCACCGCGCGTGGGGCATCGCGCCCCACTGCCCGCCCCTCCGCCCCTGCGGAAACGTCACGCTTGTGCACGTCATCCCTTACGCCACTGTAGTCGCTTCAACTAGCCGACCCGCCTCTTCAAAACTCGAGCGGCGATAATCTGCTAAGGGAAAAAGCAATCCCCGTGTGCCTGTCTCTGATGTTGCAAAAGGCAGACGTACCGGTGCGACGAGGACGTCTTCATAAAGATGGAGAAGAGGAAGCTCACCAGCCGTAACCTGTGTGGCACAGCACCAACAGGACCGAGCTTTCTGCTGCTTCCGGCAGTACCGACGACGCTGCTGTATGTATCACGACTGCATTACTACACGAAGCCTGAGGAAATAGTGGAGTACATCAGATTAAATACACCTTGAGAGTCGAGCGGTTGGATTTATGTACTTGAGACTCTACTCTGGCCGCAGACAATCTTGGAAAACACATGCAAAAGAAGAGTGATGAGGTCAATAACAAGTTAACGATTATTCATTGTGAGTAAGTCAACCATCTACAAAACAGTCCTCAAACGAGTTGGAGTCAGGGGTTGAACTGTGGAGTACAATAAGTATATTATAAGTAGAGATGGGACGAGAGAATTTTCTCCGCGAGAGAATATTCTGGAATATTCTTTTTAACTGTGAATATTCTAAGATTGAGAATTTATAATTAGAGATTTTGTGAATGAAAATACCTACATAATAATTTTTTTATTTCAATATCTAGATTTAGCTACTTTTGATACGATGATACATTTTTGATGCTTATTACTTTTAAAACAAACACATTTTCTATTGAATTTACTTTTTATGAGCTTAGCGTGTAAATTTCAAAAGTTTTATTTCAATTTTGGAACCGCGCTTATTACCTTTATACCCCCTCCCCTCGCGTGACGTGTGATGACTCGTGCCGCCAACATCGCGCTCGCGTCCCTCCCACTTGTACACCTTTATTTATACCTGTCTGTCAGTCTCTTACTGTACGTTATCGTGATTATGTTCATTCTGTGCTAGTTTTGGAGGCGTCTATTTTACAATGAAACCAAAAGGGAAAGTGTACAATTACTTCAAACAGAAACCAGAGAATGGAAAAACCGTTTATATATGTGATTTTTGAGGACAACGTTATAAAAATTGTAATGCGACTAGAATGGCTAATCATTTAATTAAGAACTGTAATCGAGGCCCTGAAACAATAAAAACAATACTAGGAAAAAGAGAATCTTTGACAGATGTTATATATATAAGCAGATTATCTTCAGAAAGCTCTGAACGATTAATTCTTCAAGAACAATCGAATGGGAATGTGGTTAGAGAGCTACAAACGGATTTTAATGAGGTAAGTACGTACATAATATAGAACCTGTCTTTAAGGCCTGGTGCTCATTGACAGGACGGCACGGCAAGGAATTTTTAAGTGACGAATGGCAATATATTGCCTTAAGATAATGACATTATTGTTGCAATTTCAATGATACTGTTCGTAGCTGCAAAATAAAGCTACGGTATACTTAGGGATGCCGAGCCGGCAGCCTCCGTAAAACCCAGGCAACCTCCGGGATGCCTCGGCAGCATTGAGAATGCTTCAGCAGTCTATGCGGGTATGCGGGGCGAGGGGAGGCACGCACCTACGCTTCGCTATTTGCTTGTCGCCAGTTCGACATAAGTATTTATGACCATGACTTGTTTATGAAACATGGCAGAAAAACCTTATTAATTTAATTCATTTCGATATACATGAATGTTTGCATAACATAAGTTAGCGCTGCTACGCTAATACTACTAACTACACGATTTGACCAATAGAAATGGAATGTTTAATGAAGTTAATGTAAAATATACCAGTTCTGCAACAAAAAATCTTGGAAAATTATCGCGGACGAGAACAGTCCTGGGAATATCCTTGGATATTTTTCTCATTAATTTCATACGTTTGTTTTAAATTAGGATTTCCACGTAAAACAAAATACCTAAGTTATCGGTTTTAACAACTTTTATTCAAATTTACACTTTTATGTAAAACATAATACAAAAACAATCTCGATAACTGCTTTTATAATTTAGATAGCTTAGAAATTTAATATTTAAAAGGAACATTATAATCACAATTTCTTTGGAATACACTATACATTTTAATCAGTCTAAAATAAAGTATTAAATTAACTACATTATTTGTGCATTAACTCTCGTAACGGATTGACGTCCACAATATCTTGTTTGATGTGATCAGCGTCCATCAACATTTCTGATTCATCCTCTGCCTTTTCTCATGTACTTAGGGAATCTTCAGAATCAGTTTCTACATTGTACGTACCTGGATTTGGTTCATTAGTTTCTTGGTTCAGTGTTTTCGATTTGTTCATAATTTTCCAATTATGAGCGATCAGACAAATTTTTCCTGCTCTTTTTGTGTTCAATTTATTTCGTTTTTTAGTGTGAATGTTTGAAAATGAGGAAAAGGAGCGTTCCACAGGCGTAGAAGTAGCTGGAGCCGACAAAAATGTTTATTGCCAATGCTCCAAATTCCTTCTTTGGATACAAATTTTGCCACCATGCGACCGGAGTGACCTTTTTAGCTGTGTCCCAAATACAATCTGTGCTCCATAAACCTATACCTCACATATGATCAGACATTTCTTGAAATAGTTTGGGTACTGATATTTTTTGCCTTTCTGCCAAATCCATCTCAAATTCCTGACCATCTACAATTTCTTGAGGTGTCAGTACCTATTGTGCCACGATTTCGTGGGTCTAATAAAACAGCTGCGTAATGTATTGGTTTTAAAACAGTAATTTTCCTGTCGCTGAATTTTTTTCAAACCAGTGTGTTCTGCGTTGCTTAAAATATCAATTCCCGTAGACTTCTCCAATAACTTTTGTAATCCGAGGAATGCACTATGTATCAAATATATAGAACAGTAATCGCTTTCAAACTTTGTAATGTCTACGATTGGTTTCAATAACACTTTAATATTTTCAAATTTCGTCCACTCATACTTATTCAAAAATAGGTTAGGTAGGCAATAAAAATTTTGACGGGTCCAGCTACGTCTGATGAATCAGAAATGTCGGTGATCAACCAAGATGTTGTGGACATTAATTAATTATTAATGGACAAATAATGTGATTAATTTAATAATACTTTATTTTAGTGAAACAACGGAAGTGTCATAACAGAAACGAAAACAGGTGTCCATAGTAAATTTTAACGGAAATGGTAACGAAAGCGGATGCCGAAGCAGAAGTGTAAATAATAGTATTTATTATCACTTAACTGCTAAAACGCGCGCCCCATTGCCAAGCAATATGCTTGCGCGTCGGAAATCCACCGCGAACTTTATAACTTCAAATTAAAGTTCTGTTATAAAACTTGTGGAAGCAGACGCGGAAACAGGTGTGAAAAAGCGTACGAAACTTCTGCAGTTGCGGAAGCAGAAGCAGAGGTCTGTTGCATCACTACTTTATTTTTGACTGATTAAAGTGTGTATTCCAAAGAAATTGTGATTATCATGTTATTTTTAATTATTTAATTTCTTAGCTATCTAAATTACGAAGGCAGTTATTGAAATTGTTTTTTAAACATATTTTACATAAAAATGTACATTTGAATAAACGTTGCTAAAACTGGTCACTTAAGTACTTTGTTTTATGTGGAAATCCTAATTTAAAACAAACGTTTCAAATTAACAAGAATTTACTGAGAAAATATCCAAGAATATTCTCGTTCGCGAGATTTTACGTTGCAGAGCAAGTTATATTTTACATTCACTTCATTAAACGTTCGAATGTACTCAAATCTATTAGTCTCATTCAAAACCAAGCTAAGACAGTCACTCATTTTTTTAAATTCTCGTAAATTCTCATAAAAAAAAAAGTTCTCGAGAACTTAACAGCAGAGTTTTCGCGGTCAGAATATTCTCGAGAATATCCCATATCAGAAGAAATAAGAATATTAATTTCTACCAGAAGGCGATAGTCGTTCTACTTGTCGGATCACCTTTTCTTTTTAATATCAACCCAATAAAACCTCAGAGCCATACTACCTTTGTTATAGGCAGTTTTTATATCTCGCGTCTCGTGTATTACGCCAAATTCTTATAAGGTGTCTCTTTTTTCTAGAACTCTGCTGGGTTGCGATAGGAGTTCCACCAAAAGTTGTCTATGGCTGGCGTACTAAGCCACTTCTTGTATTAGTTTAGTGATGTATATAGCAGCAACTTCTATATTATCTTCCCCCGTTTTTAGTTTGATCTTCGGGTCATGTTGTCTTCTAAATACATTTTAAAAGAGTTCCAGTCCATAGGTACGTTGTTGTGGAGGCTAGGAGTTGGTGTATCAATAATATTTGCACTCACCATCACAAGAGTGTGATCTGATGACCCGTAGTTGATGAACATACAGTGTATAAATTGTAACATTCACTTACATGTACATATCACATATTTGTATACTGTTTCAGTGCCACCAATGCTTGATGAAGCTATCGAATTCCTAGAAAAAAGACTGAAAGAGTGTCCATCATATAAGTATGAGATTGTAGTGGTCAGTGACGGTAGCAAAGACAATACTGTCAAAGTCGCAGAGTCATACTCTGAGAAATTTGGATGTGACAAAGTCAGATGCCTGGAATTAATCAAGAATAGGGGAAAAGGTGGTGCTGTTAGATTGGTATGTTGGAAAAGTGAAACTCCTCTTTAAATTATTTTAAAAATCATTTGGAATTGTTGTATAGTCCGGTGAAAATCATTTGAGAAACGATAAAAACAACCATAATGTGCAGTTTTAGGAATCTCTCTATGTACCTATGGAACTAATGGGTATAAAGAAAAAAAACATAAAATTTATTCCCACTAGTTCAATGTATGGAACTTTTGTGTTTCAATTGTTCCACGTGGAACTGAACACATGGAACTAATGGGAATATAAGAGAATTTCAGCTCGCAAGAAAAGCCTTGAATATTTTTCTTCCTTAGTAGTTACTTTAGTTTTGCTCATTTTTAATTTGGTGACTTTAGGACCCGGGGATCCAGCGTAACTGACAAACATTTATTTATAAACATCATTCATTATACAAAAAGTAATGATGCTGCCTACACTTTTTGTCACGATTTACATAACATCAGTGTGTTAATTAATATTCACGATTTGCATAACATTTATATCCACTTTCATGTTTCTTTTATTCGGGAGTAAAATTTTGAAATTTTTAATATTTGGGTTAAAAGGCGACACAGGGTTTCCCTAGTGCGGTGCTCGTTGACTGTGTGGGTTAATATGATTATATTAAATTATAATACAGAATAATTCAATTGATTATGTAGGTACTTTGTACGAAATCACAATATTGTATGTAAGTACCAACTAAAACTCATCAATATTTTTTTATTAATAAATAATATTTTAGAACTTTGTTAGGGAAACGGAAAGATGATTATGAGATTATTGTACTTCCAATTATTGCCCTATACGTTAGAACCGCCAAGGTTGAAACTAATATAACCTGTACATAACAAAATTTGAATTTGGTGTTTTTTTTCTTACCTATTTTCATTTATTGTACGAAACATTGTACAGCAAGTAGAAATTTAGAGCAAACACACTTTTGTCACTAAATTTATTTAATAAAATTTAATAAATTTATTTATAACAAATTATTGACTGTAGGTGAAACTGTCCAAATTATCATTACAGTTGTAATTTGCAATGGTATTTCGGTAGGTCACATCCGATTTTCAAATAAGCATTACTTTTCACCAATCCCCAGGGTATACAAAACTGTAGAGGAGCAATTATTTTATTTGCTGATGCCGATGGAGCAACAAAGTTTGAAGACCTGAACAAACTTGAAACGGCATTGGCAGACTTAGTGGGACACAATGCTGTAACAGACCCAAATATTGTCAGTGAGGAAACAGCTGTAGTTATCGGCTCCAGAGCACATTTAGAAAAGGAGTCTTTGGCTACAAGGAGCGTCTTTAGGTATTTGCATTCCACTAAATATTTTATTCATCAGACTCACCCAAAATCGTCTCTAGGACTTGATCGCCCTAAACACGACCAGACTGCTTGAATTAAACGCTGGTTTGACTCAGACCGTGTTCGCTTGCTATGAGTTGATTATAAGCATCGAGTATATAACCAGAAATAGAGACGAAATGTTATTTAATTTGTTTGAAAAATATTCTACCAAATGATTACTGTGAGAACTGCGCTCCGATTGGCCAGCCCGAATTTGAAACTATTGATGGGTGTTCTCAATTGTTTCACTTCAAATTGACCAGTTTAACTAGAGATTTGCTATAATGGACGAAAATTGCAAAATTAATATTTAATTACCGATGGAATGTGATTCCGTTTCTTTTGTAATTAGATGTTTTGCTGTTTTTCTCACACCGAATGAAACAGCCTCCATTGTTAGAGATATTATCCTTATTACAATAAATATAGAATATTTTTGGAATATACGGAGACGTACACACAGGCCAGTTGTTGGCGCCGTACTATTTCAATTTTCTAATTTGTGATTTCAGCGCAAACGAGAGTTGATATGTATAATAACAATAATAATAACGCACTCACTGAACATAGCCCTGCACTAAGGAAACACTGTGTCGCGGGTGCTTTGGACACACACATAGACATAGACAACCACACATTACACCCAAACTCACGAGAGAAGTAAATGTAGGCCATACAAATATTTGTCCCGGCTCTGGAATCGAACCAGGGACCTCTGCGTGGCAGCCCGGCATGATAACCGCCCAGCCATGGAGGCAGCCATTTACCTGATGAGTTGGCAGGGATGGATGAATGGCCCTTACTTCGTCTCTGTTTCTGGTTATATACTCGATGATTATAAGTGTTGATAGCCCGGGCGTGGTAGGGCCAAGATCATCTCTCTTTCACGCCAGAAATTTTGGCACAAAGCTATTTCAATTGAAATGTAAATGTAAAAAGAACAATCTGATTCAGATAGTTTAAAAGACGTAAAAGGTTTGATGTGACCATCTTGGAGATCCTATAGCTATATTAACTGCCACTTGAGCTTAAGTCTGATAAACCTACAAATAACCGGGGATAATATAGTAAATCATCTACGTACAAATTATAAACGTATTGGTGTTCTATTACTTACATTGACCTACCAATAAATGGACGTCGGGTTCGCGCTAAAAAGTGTCCGCACCGATAGGGCACTAAAATCGCATACAGAGCATCAATCGCGCAACAGTCTTTGTTTGTTCGACTGACAGCGCGGTTGGCAATCATGCAGTACAATATAATAATAACTTGTAATAATACAGCAGTAAAGTGTAAAAACAGGATTTTGTATCATATTTTCACTAAACAAATATATTGTGTTATCATAGTTCTCATTTAAAAATGTTATTTTATACAGTTTTATACTATTTAATTTATTAAATTTATATATAAATGAATCCTAAATATAAATTACACAAGCTCACAAAATAGTCAAATAGCTCATTGTCCTTTTTCTACACATTGCATGCGCAAAAGATGGAAAGAGACCCATTACGTCAATTTCAAGAAGCTTATATAAACTTCTTGGTCATTTTCAATTGTTCGAACCACAAGCGATTGAAATATTTAGAACAAAGAAACTATAGAGTCGCTTAGATTTTCATCTTATTTATAAAATGATTTTTTATTAAACGTTAGCAATAACTAACAAAATATTGTTGTAGTCGTTTTTCGGCTTGGGATTACCTAAAAGAAGTAAAAAAATACATTTGTCCGAAATAGCGTTAGCTCGAATTTTCATAATGTCAAATGTATTTTTTAGGAAGATTACAAAACAAAAGCTAATGTTGTCTTTGTGAAAAGCATCAAAATTACTCGAAAGCGTAACGGTTTTATTATAAATCGGTCTTCGGAATTACGGATATTTGAGTTTAGTTTAGTTGGAATATCGGTACATTTCTTATAGTACACGCTTATTTTCACATTTGTAGTAATATTTGTATGTATGTATCTGCCCAACTCTTTATTAATTTTTTAAGTGAATTCGACATAATAATATAATATTAAAAACACCATATTCAGCTTCTACTGGAAATTTAACAAAATGCACCATATTTAGCTTCGACTGAAAATTACTTGAACACAAAAGTAATGGAGTAGCCTACATCGTAAATATTAATTAATTTTTATATAATATATAAAGAATAGCCTACATCGTAAATATTAATTAATTTTTATATAATATATAAATTTTATTTTTATATAATATTGTATATTAATAAAAATTAAAAAAAATTACGATGTAGGCTACTCCATTACTTTTGTGTTCAAGTAATTTTCAGTCGAAGCTAAATATGGTGCATTTTGTTAAATTTCCAGTAGAAGCCGAATATGGTGTTTTTTGGGGCCCTTAAATGGTTGCAAGCAAAATTAGACAGTACTGCAATGAAGTTACAATTTAAATTAAATGTTTTAGTTTTTTATATTTCGTTTATATAGGTTAACTTCGGACATTTTTTTCGTAGTTTTTTTTATTAGACCCGACGTCCATTTGTTTGACCGTCCATTTGTTTATTGACCTACCAATGATTACTTATGTATATTTTTTTTAGAAATATCTTAATGTACGGCTTTCACTTCCTGGTGTGGCTGTTCACTGTACGCGGTATCAAGGATACGCAATGCGGATTCAAACTATTTACTAGAAATGCTGCCAAGATTTGCTTCCAAAATCTACATGTTAATAGATGGTAAATAAATATTTATTATGAATGATTTTTAAAGACCTAAATAAATGGGTTTTGCGGGTCTAAAATAAACTGCAGCTGCAACCTTAAAGCTTTTGCAAATTGCCTTGTACAGGTTGGTTTTTAAATACTTAAATTAGGAATAGTAGATTTTGAAACCCATTCTCATATATTGTTATTCCATGTGCTAAACAGACTGATTTGCTGCTTAATTCTCTGGCCACACAGAGACCGCCGCGGAAGCGTTCCGGACGCGGGAATTTTTGTAATGTATACGAGTTTATATGAACCCTGCCACAGTGTTGGGCGTTAATCAATTAAATTTCAATCAGAAATTCAAGGTCGTATTCTAGAACTCTACTCAATACTCAAGTCAGGACATGAGTATTGCAGTGAGCGCTGAAAATCACACTCAAGTCCTTGCCATTAGGGTCGTATTTCCAGTGCTTCAAATCATACTCAAGTCTGCTCAAATCCTGACTTGAGCATTTAGTAGAGTTCTGGAATACGACCCCCAATCAGATTAAAAAATCAATTCAATTCAATTGAAAAAATCGACACGTCGCAATTGATTTAATTGCAATTGATTTCAATTGAATTTATTTTAATTGCAATTAATTTTTTTAGTTGTTCTAAAAAACAATTGAAACTAACAATTAAAACTGAAAGTACCGAATAAAAGTGTCATTACGAATTTTGGTTTAGGGGTGGGTTAGTGGTGTCCTAACACACCGGTCGGTTCGGTTGAGGGGTCCGTTGGGGGGTCGGTTGGGGTCCGGTTGGAGTCCGGTTGGGGGGCGGTCAGGGGTAAGTGACCCACCCCCTAACCCAAACCCACTCACCCACCCCCTAACCGACCACCTAACCTACCCTCTAACCCACCCCCATATGCCCTATAAATTTATCATAATTGTCAGTTTTAATTGTTAATTGTTAATCAAAAACATTGAAAAGATTGAAAATTGATTAATTGTTAATTGTAGATATACGCGATTAACGATTGATCAATTATAATACTATACTAATAATTGATCAATCGTTATTTGCTGTTTCGCAATTAATTGTCAATCTTTAATTAACAGAACAATTAAATTTTGCTCAACACTGCCCTGCCACAATGAAACGCGCCTCTGTGTAGCCCGAGCATAACGCTCAATTTATATTGCGGAGGAACGGAGTGGAAGCGGAATTTTTGTAAGATAGCATAATGAACTTTATGGTCAATTGTGTAAAGTACAAATTAAATACGAGCCAAAATCTTTCTTCTCAAAAAGATTTTGGCTCGTTTCGCCGCAATATAAATTGAGCCTAAGATAATTATTACAAATACTAAAAAATAAATTACAACAAAATTGAAATTGTTTATCTAACATTAATTGAGAAACTACTGCTTTAATTCCGGACGATGTAACATTTCAGGGCTTTTGATGTCGAATTATTGTACATATCTCAAAAACTGAACATTCCAATAACGGAGATTCCAGTAAGATGGACCGAGATCGAAGGGTCCAAGGTAACACCTGTTTTATCATGGATCCAGATGGGTTGCGACCTAGGACTCATCTGGTTGAAGTACACAATTGGAGCATGGAAGATTCGAAGTGAAAAATTAGAGTAAGCAAAGGTACATATATATTTCTATTTCCATATGCTTATGTACGTTAATTACGTTTTATATTAAAGACTATCGCTAATTTAGAGTCATTTCATTTTCAAATTGCCGACTTACTATGTAAAGTGCGTTAGCTAGTGAATTTATTCCAAATCTAAAAACGAAGACTGCAATATCCGCTCACCTCACAAATGGTGAACTTATGTGTTTATTAGATATTGCATAACTAAAGGTTAGGAAAAAACCATTATACTACTATTTGAGAATATTAAAAATAAAACAACATTTTCTTAAAAATATAAGATATTTATAAACAAAAAACATTGCTTAAATGTAGATAAAATATAAGTCTTTGACTTAATAAACTACAAACATAAGCTCAGTATGACATTATCAGAAAATGTACATTGATTTTAGCAAGTTTCACAACTGGGAATAGTCTAATTACTCTTTAAAAATGGCTGAAACGCACATTGAACCAATATCGAGACGAAACGAAAATCTCACTTTCAACAATTTTAACTTTTTTTCAGAAACATTAGTTCATTTTTCGTTTAATGACTATATTGGTTTCAAATTGCGATAATTGTCACTTATGTATCGTCGGTCTTTCAAAGAAAGGGCGAAGGCGCCATTTTGAAATATTTTTCATGGGAGCATGCTTCAGTTTTCACGACTGTTTCAAAATATTTACGTCCTGTTTTAAATTTAATTTACATCTTAAATTTAATTAAAACCAACATTTAAAAAACAGGACGTAAAACAAAATATACTCCCCTGAAAAATTTTTCAAGATGGCGCTTTCGGCCCTTCTGCAAAACCTCTGATGGTATGTAGTCTACGTACTGGTATATGCATTAAAAGTGTTTCCTTTATGCAATACATTCAATACATTTTAAAGTCAAATTATTTATGAACAACTTAAATGGTAACGCTAGGCGCATTAAATTAATCGTCGTAAAGTAAAATACGAAATTAGTTATATAAAAATTCCGCATAATGGCGAGAGTACATTAAAATTCAATTATTTAAAAATTTGGCCAAGAGACGTGAGCAATTTGTGAAGTGTTAACGCTAAGCAATGTGGTTTACATCAACTTATAAATCATATTAATTTGAAAAATTGTGCCGAGCTCAATAGTGCATACAAGATATAAACAGACAACATAATATTTTTGGATTTTGTGGAGTTACATTTCCACATGATTCCACGTAAATAGTAATGTACAAATCTGTGATTTATAGCACAATAATGCAATGAAATGAAGGGTTTTAGGAAGATGGTTCAAACGCGATGATCGTGTATTTGCGGCAGTTTAAAATTTATTTGCCCCACTAGACCATTAGTACTAGAATTATTTATGAAAATTTTCCGTAATTTGGCTTTTTAACCCCATGATATTCTACACTCACAACACTCACGACAATCTATTTGAATTTCCAATACCTCTTATTTTTTTATTGTGACTTCAACAATGTTTGGGCATAGATGATTTACTACTCGACAACATAATATTACAGTATTGAATACCCAGTTAATTACGAGAAGACTTTCATAATCGCCGAAATCAATACCTTACGCATAGGTGGAGGCAAATATCTTCAACGCATCAAAAGCCAATCTATGTTAACACGCGACAGCTTTGGATTCTTTTTTGTTCGGTCGATGCCTTAATTTTTGAGTACCAATCTAAGATTCCACAAGCTTTGTAAATGGATGGATGCTCTGATTGACATAAAATTAATAACAAATGTTATAATAAGCCTTGTTTGAATAAAAGGAAAAGATTATTTGATATGACAAACTTATTTGAGATTAAACTTATTTAATTATAGTATTCATATTTTAACATTATAATTAAATATAAAATTGTTTATTTACTATGGTAATCATGTACAGTGTGTATTCTACAAGTCTTAGGTTAAGCATTAGCTAGTTGATCGTTTTAAATGACTATTGTTACAAACAATGTTATAGCATAGTAATAATTATATTAATATTAAAGATAATATTAATTAGTCTATGTCAACCTCGATGGGAAAAGGGCGTGAAGTGTATGTATGTATCGTTAGAACATGATCTTATCGGTACTGTACAAATGTTAAATGTTGCCCGTTTAAAAAAATATTTTGATTATTAATACAGTCACCAAATATATCAATATCATCTAAACTATCATCTAAACGATCAACGTAACTGGGGGTCTACTCTCGATCTCCGTCCGACATCCGTCCGAAACAGTTACTGTCCAATAAGTAATATTCGACAAAATTAAAAGACAAGTATCCAGTATGAAGCTTCATTCGCATTACGCGTCTTTTCATTTGGTCAAGTATTGCTTATTTTGCAGTAATTGTTTCGGACGGATGTCGGACGGAGATCGAGAGTAGACCCCCTGAAACAAATCAATGAATATAAGGTATATTTTTGATTAAAACTGAAAATAGTCTCATGATCGAAAATAATTCACAGCAGCTAAAGGTCACTATAGCCTGTTCTTTTTAGTAGTCTTTTTATTTAATGTAGTTAGCTGTTAAAATACTGAACAACACTTGAAGCATACCAAAACAAGGCTGATGCTGCACGTGCTACCGACTGCATCATTGATATAAAACTATCTGTTGCCCCGAGAAATAACATATCGATATCAATTTGATTTGCAAGCGCGTCGACCTCGTACTAGCGATTATTTACGACATTATTATTATTTTATATAAGTACTATACTGCCGCCCGCTAAATAAAACGCGACAAAATAATTTTTAGAGATATAAAAAACCATAACCCAGTTTTAAAATATTGAAATTGTTTAATGATATATCAGCTATGCATCGTTAGGGTAAGTTCCGATAAGTGGAACACGTTAACTAATTACTGTTTTTAAAAGATAATTTTTTGCTCTATCTTTTGCTATTTAAAACGGATATTTGACCATTTGTCACTTAGCCTCGTTTTAGGTAGTGGACGGCGTAGTATACATTTATACTTAGGACCCGTAGTTGATCCTCTGCTTTAAAAAAACATGCAAGATATCGTATAACGTATATTACTCTTGAATTACAAACTTCTGCTAAACTGGTTTTAAACCATATCGAGTTCTTAGGTTTTCGCGATTGTTACACATAGGAAATGAAACTATTTTTCCGGATTTAAATCGCGTATATTTGTTTTTTCAAACAAACCGACGTTTCGGGCCCTTTACAGGTCCCATGGTCACGGTTGACTGAACACGGTTTGTTTGAAAAACCAAATATACGCGATTTAAATCCGGAAAAATAGTTTCATTTCCTATGGTTTTAAACCATTTAAATTTTTTGGTACAGATTTGACATGGAGAAAAATATACACACTTTTTTTTTAACAACTCCCATTGAAGAACTAAGGTTAATATCGTTATTCCGTTGACGGAACAATTTGTTTTGTTTTCCAAGACGGAGTTTAATGACAACTGAGAGGAGCTCAGTGAATTCTGTCGAAATTCACCAGTCAATTTTTGAGTAAAAACGTGTGTGTTCCTCAACTGGACGTTGGCGAAATCATCGACTACTTTGATGGGGCCATAACATTTAAAAGAAAAAGAAGACTATAATGACAGTTCATTGCACAAAAGTGTTGCCGCTTGCAAGCAGTCAATAGATTTTATATTGTTTACTTATACATTTTTTGATAGCAGATGATAAAATATATTCTATCGACTGAATACTGGTTACGCTTATGCAATAAATAACCGAACTTCTTTTATTTGTAGGTTTATACGTTATTACCAATATATAAATCCAATAATATTACCAATAGAATATCCCAATTGGTTTAAACTTCACCCAGATTCACGCTTTTATCTAAATACATTTGTGAAATAAATTAAACTATTTGATAATGTTACTTATTACAATAACATGAAAGCTGTGCTACACCAGAATATAAATTATCTATTATGGTTATAACTCAAATTTAATGGTACTACAATGAAAGGAATAAGATGCCTATTTAAGCATCCATGTATACATATCAAGATTGTAGACTTTTCCGTTGGTACTTGTACCTACCATAGTTTTTACACGGATGTTTTATTTGTGATTGTAGTCTGCATTTTCTCATTCTACGTTTCAAATGTCAACAATAACTAACTACATGACTATATAATTTTTTTCGAAACTGGCAATCCTGCAAATGCCATTTTTACTACTTTTTTTTTATTTATTGAGGCCTGGGCTAAGCCATTTTACTCCGTCTTGATTTACAAAGTGCTATTTTTCTGTTTAATTAGTTCTACTAGAATTCCTTGTCTTTGCTTCACTAGGCAAGTTAGTGGAACAAAGTGTAGTTCAACTTCATGAAATACAAATTATAAGTGTTTAATGCATCCAAATGTTTGGATGGCACTTTCCATTTTACATTAGGTGGAGTGAAGGCATCTGCCTGTCAAGTACAAAAAAAATGTATTTCTCGGTATTAAAGAAACAGTAATATGACGTATGTACCTTTATGACGCATGAGCATGGCAACAGCGGCGTTTCGGCTACGGCCAGCACTGGACGGAAGAGAAATTTTCCTGTTAGTGCTAACGCTTATTGTATATACATATAACATAATATAACTAGCGCAATATCGTTTGCTTAAAGGTAAAACCACATAAGTGAACCACAGAAGTTTCCACAAAAAATCTCGAAATTATGTACCAGTTGTAAAAAATTCACCATCGTTCTGCAGATAAAACTCTTATTAAGTTTATAGCTTTTTTGTCATTGAGCTTCACATGCAGAAAGATAGTGATTTTCTTACCATAGCTATATAAATTAAAGACTTTTTGTGGAAAATGTCACTTATGTGGTATTACATTTAAAGAGACAATATATAACATGTCTATCTGCAATAGAGCAAAATGTAACTTTAAAAAAACTACCTCAATCCGATTTCACAGTTTTACTATGCAATATCCCTGTAATTTTGATTGTTCAATAAATTATTATTACAATTTATTTTTCTTAATATTAATGGAATGCTGTTAAGCAATAACCATGTCAACCAACATGATCATAGTTTTGACAAAATGGTGCCTAGTGTGGATTTATGTCAACGGTTTTTACCATTACTATTTGGAGGTTTCAAATCACTTTGTTTATGTAACACTTACTTTTGTAAAATGTAGACAAGACGACAAACTACAATTTGGCATGAGTTTATGTGGATTAACACGTTACTGCTTGTCATTATCCCTATCTTTACTCCTTTTGCTTCCACAAGATAGTTTACATTTGCTCTATGTAAGATAACTACAACCAAATTCTTGTTTTACTACATAATCCGGCAGACTAAACTACCAGAAGCATCTACAGTAGGTACATACACTCTCTTAAAGGATTTAACATAATGCATAATTGGAAGACGAGTAGCAGAATAGATGTATATGTATATTAGTACATAACAATGTATGATACATGTTCATACATAAGCACCATATATTCATGAACGCACAATCATGCGCCAATATAATACGAGTAATTTGAGTACAAAATACGATTCGAAAAATTGCTTAGTCATCAATATTCATTTCTACCTACTATAATAACTTTCTTCCAGTAGAAAATTAGCATGCAATAAATTGGACAGTTAAGCGTATATGTAAAAAATCATGCGTAAATGTAGTCAAATTTAAAACTTTCGTTGTAACCATAGACTAATATATTTGCAAAATACTTTATGATTTCAAGAAAGACTAATTTAAAATTCGCTATACATTAATACATTTAACTTCACTTTAATTTCTACCACAAATATCTATTTACTAATAAATGAAAAAATGTTAAACAAGCTGTACACATGGACAAAAAATACCAACATAATAATAAAATCATATATACAATTTTCCTTTCAGGTAAATAATGTCTTTGTAAGTGTTCAACATTAAAATAAGACTCGGTAACTTGGTGCCTACTACAATGCGCGTTTAAAAACAGAGAACTTCCCAATTATTGGTAAATAAATAATGCTCCAATACTCATGACATACAATCTATAAAATATTCAAATTATTCTGTTGTTTGTATCGATCAATTAAGAAAAGTGATTAATGAAAAGTACCATCATGCAATACATAGAACTACACCTTTAAAGTTACCAAAGTATTACAGTACTACAAAATAGACTCAGTTATGAAATATAGCAACATTCGTAGGTAACGCATAAACATAAAAGAAATAAGTCTTGCATTCTGTCTGTTCACAAATTAGAATTAGACTTTTACCTTCAGCCCAAATACCATTTTGAGAAACTGCTCGTAATGAATCGTGATGACGCCGTCTTGATCGGTGTCGTACTGACGGAATGCCGAAGTTAGCATCTGGGAAATGTAATTTTGATATTATTATCCAGTTAATATTTTTTATTTTGGGGGCTATATATACATAAGTGAGTGTGACAATTAAAAAATCGAAAACATTTTGGCGGTGACAGTGTGTTTGTTACATTTGAAAGTTTAATTCTTGTTAGTTACTTCTATATAACTATATAACCATAAAGTAATTTTTGTATATCTTTTACAGTCACCCAAAAGATGCCAAAGGTTATTTAGTATTACTTCGGAAGTCTACAATTATCATAAAATATCCATAAACAAAATAATAATAAAATTAGAGGCACATGGGACTTGTCAACTTATATCTCATGATGACGGGCGCATTGGTAGTGCCTCTCAGATCTTTGCAATTTAAAGCTCTGAGTGGCACTAACAGTTATGGATGTTATGTTATGAATGTGTAGCTTACTATCAGGCGCAAGACTTGTACATCCCGTCTCTCGATGTTATAAAAAAAAGTCTTACAAGAAATTATTTTTTGTACTGTTTGTTGTTGCACAATTTAACTTGAGCAATTAAGTTGTTGTTGTTGTTGTTATTAAATTGTTTCTAATACGTTATAAATCCATAGACAAATCTCAAGCAAAATAAGTGTGAATAAAAACTCATTATTTTCTAATTTCCAAAACTAGTAATCAAAATCAAATCAAAATCAAAATAATCTTTATTTCATAGGTAAGCATTATTACACTTGAAATCGTCACAATGGTTAAACTCTACCGCTCATTCGTAAGGCAGATTCCCCTGAGAAGAATGAGCAAGAAACTCTAGGGGTTGCTCTTTGTAAATAACATTATTATATACAATATTTTTTTATTTGAAACATCAGATTGAGACTACCTCCATGAGCTAAACGGGTTACTACAACGGATTTTTGTCATCCAAGTACGCAGAAGTTGTATAATAACCTTTAGTATAAAGTTTTTGTTTCACTATAGTTTTAAACCTCGTGAAAGGCAAATTTTGTATATCAACCGGAATCTTGTTATAGAAGCGTATACATTGCCCCTTAAATGATTGTTTGACTTTGTGAAGACGACTATCAAGAAAAGCTAGTTTATTTTTATTCCTCGTATTAATGTTATGTCTGTCACTATTTTTCATAAAGAAATTACTATTCCTTTTAACATAAATTATATTTTCATAAATGTATTGTGAGGCTAGTGTAAGAATGTTAATTTCCTTAAACTTATCTCTCAAAGATACTTTGGGGCCCAGATTGTAAATTGCCCTAACTGCACGTTTCTGCAGGACAAAGATTCTATTGATATCGGCGGCATTACCCCAAAGCAAAATGCCGTATGTCATTAGACTGTGAAAGTAGCTGAAGTAAACCAATCTAGCGGTTTCGACGTCTGAAAGTTTCCTTATTTTTTTAATCGCGTACACTGCAGAGCTGAGCCGTTTTGACAACTTACTTATATGGGGACCCCATTGCAATTTAGCATCTAACGTTATACCTAGAAATACAACTGTATCCACAAGATTCAATTTTTCGTTTCTAACTACAATGTTTGTAACCGTCTCTCTAACATTGGGTAATGTAAATTTCACACAATTTGTTTTTTTCTCATTAAGAAGTAGGTTATTAACAGCAAACCAATCAACTACTTTAGATATAGCATTGTTCACATCGTCATAGGAACATTGGTGCCTTTTAACTTTAAATAATAAGGAAGTATCATCAGCAAACAATACTATCTCATGATTTATACCCTCCATAAGGCTAGGTAAATCATTAATATAAACTAAAAACAAAAATGGGCCTAGAATTGAACCTTGAGGGACACCCATGCTAATTACAGACCCTGACGATCTCGTACCGTTAACATCGACCCTCTGTACCCTACCACGCAAATACGATTTAAGAAGGTCGAGATCACGTCCCGCCACACCATAATGGCGAAGTTTCCTGACCAGTGTATCATGGTGCACACAATCAAAAGCCTTGGAAAGGTCACAGAATACACCAATAGCATCATGTGAGACTTCCCATGCATCAAATATATGATTAATCAACTCTACACCAGCGTCGGTTGTAGAGCGACCCCGAGTGAAACCAAATTGTTTAGGAGACATTAAATTATTACTATAAAAATGTGCACACATCTGATTTAGAATAATTTTTTCAAATATTTTACTGAGAGTTGGTAGTATTGATATAGGTCTGAAATTGGTGGGGTCAGAAATACTACCAGATTTGAAAAGTGGAATAACTTTACTTTGCTTCATGAGGTCAGGAAAGACACCATCATCAACACATTTATTAAAGACACAGGCTAAGTAAGGCGCAATACAATCAACTATAGAACTAATTACTCTGACTGAAAGACCATCAAGATCAGCAGTATTTTTTATATTTATAGACTTAAAGGCTTTAACAATATCGTTTGGAAATACATGACGGAACCTTAAATTAGTGCTACTAACTGCATTATTTTCTTTTAGTAAGGATTCAGCGGCCGTGGGAGATGAATTTAACGAATTAGTAGTCAAAATTGGAATGTTGGTAAAAAAATTTTCAAATATTTTAGCAACTTCTGCGTCTGTGTTTACAATTTTGTCATTAAATCTTAGTTGAAAATCTAAGTTACGAGGTTTGACCCTTCCAGTTTCGCTATTTATAATATTCCAAGTCGTTTTTACTACATTCGCGCTGCTTTTTATTTTATTATTAATAAACATTGCTTTGGCTGCCACACAAACACGTTTAAACATTTTCGAATATTTCCTAAAGTACAATTAAGTACATAAAAGGAACCAGTTTCAATATCGCTAGTTACTGCCGGGACTGGATAGTGTAATATTTTTTTACACCATTCAAAAAACTTCATTCAAGAGCACTGCCCATCATTTGTAGTTGTCAACCATTCCTTTGTAGTGTGCAATTACCACTATTCATTCAAGACACGTTACAAGTGAGCCAAATTGCAATGTACATTTAAACAAAAACATTGAGAGAAATAAGTTATGCACTCACATTGCATTATTTACTAGGAAGATGATGGAAATGTGAATTTTGACTTATACTAAGAAATATCTTTTATAAGTTTGTTTTATAATAGTTTAATTTTATTCAAATAAATAAATAAATGAATACTCACATACAAAGTGACACAGCACTGTATAAAATCATCAAAGAGAATAGTGCCACGACCAAATCTATCAAACTTCTGGACCATAATATGAACAACTTCATCTGACAGTCTGTATCCAAAAGCTGTTAGTGCACTCTTCAATTCATCTTTGTCAATATTCCCCGAATTATCACGATCAAACGACCGGAAACAGTTTTGCCAGTCACTGACATATTTCCATAGAGCTCCAAAATCTTCAAATGATATGACACCTCTATTCTGTTTATCAAACATGCCTGTAACAAGTGTTTCATGTTAAATGAATTTCATTGTGAAAGTAAAACTAACTTTTTTTAAATATGGCCAGGTTTTGTATTAATAGTGAAGTAATCTTATAAAAGTGTAGATCCTGTTTTGTTTATACATTCTTTGGCATATACCAAGAGTAAAAGAGAGTGTTTAAAAATAAAGGGCGTGGAGGGAGCGAAAAAAATGGGAAAAAAAGAAAGTTTAAAATCATAGTATCTGCTTATTGAGCCACAGATGTGATAGAATACTGTCATGGTAACATTCAGATACTACTAATGAAGCTAAAGGGTATTATTAATTTATTATTAGGGTGGCTTCATTCTGTGCTTCATTTCATTGAAACTGAGACCATTCTGATGCCACTCTAAAGGCTAAAGGGTAGGTTAGGTATTCATAGATAATAACAAAACTAAGAAATATATGGTTGTATAACATTACCAATCATAAGACGCACAGTTTCTGGATTGAATGCATTCCAGGTGCCATTGGAGAGAGCTTGCTGCAACTCATCTGCTGAGATATATCCACTCCTGTCTTTGTCTACTCTGAAGCATAAAAACAAATGTTATGAAAACTTAAGGCAACTTTACTGAGGCCATATCAAAGATGTAGATGGGCATGAGCGAGTGCCCATTACACTGAATTATGATTAATGTTAGGTATATTGCATGATACACCAAATTAATTTACAGCAGAACTGTTTGAAAATCACACAAATATCAATATTATATTTCTCCCTACTTATATGTTATCGACTATCAGTATCATGACATACTATATTTTTTATTGGTTTTATATGTATTTAGTAATTTATCACACTACAATGAGTCTTGTAAGGTAAAATGGTTTTTCTTGACAGAGCAATGAACTCTAATTAAAACTTCTTCAAAATTGAAGACTGTAAAATATTTATTAAAAACTATTAAAAGAACTACTACTACTAAAGACATTATAGACAAATAAATAGAGATCCATGGGACTTGTCAACTTATGTCACAGGGTGACAGGGACAGTAGAGCAGTGGAAGTAATATCTTTCTAATTTAAAGCTCTGAGAGGCACTGCACTGTCATGAATAGGCATGTTATTTACCACCAGGCGCATGATTTATTTGTACCGTCGCTTGGTACTATTAAAAAAAATATTTCTTTTTACAGAATGTTTATTACTTTATTGTTTATTTGTAAGTCAATGCTTTATTTGCAATTTTTTTTTAATGTGCAGACATAACTACCAAAATCAAAAAACATATTCTGACACTTACAAATGATTGTACACGGAATGATCTCTGATCAATACATGCAGATATACAAATTTTCCTATTAACCCTTTCATGGACAGTACCGGCGTTTATCGTAAAATGAATAATGCGAATATTGAAGACAGTACGAGCTATCCCATTTCGATATATGGATCTTATAAAAACTACTACGGGCTTTACCGTGCATATTCCAAGTGCTTTCTTTGTGGTTGCCGCCTACTGCTTCTCCATAGAGAAGCATCAACAATGTACTGACAAAATTGAATGATTTATTTGAGATACATTTGTCGATGTTACACAAACATATTTAATATGTGCACACCAAGACAGTACCACACATTTAACATGTGCACACCAGATTAATAATCAAAATCACCTTCTCTTACTACTTTTCAAACTGTGATTTAATTATTCAAATGGTAAATAAATAACCTTCATCACTGTTTAAATATAATCTAATTAGTAATTGTTTCTTTTGGAATTGATAGAACATAATAACTTTTATTCGTCTTCTTATACTGCAAGGGTTACTATTTTTTAATGTATAGGTTTTGGCTTTTTTTTTGCTGAAATAAATTAAATAAAATCACTGTAATACTGTCATAGCCGTACTTACTTATGCACAAGAAACATTTGCGAAAACAGTTTACAGTGCTGCTATGAATGTGACGGGATCAGCCGTCAGTGATAAAGCGTTAAAATTAAGCGTTTAAATTATGTTGAATCAATATGGTCACTACGGCATAAAGAAAAATAGTGACTTTTGGTGTGCGGTATTATTTCAGTACTGTCCATGAAGAGGTTAAAATTGTCAGAATGTTAATATGTGAATGTAAATATAAAAGAAACTTCTTCAACAGTAATATGTGTGTGACTCAGAACTGTCGTATTTAAGATAATTACATCAAGACAAACACATCCAAGCAATTAAAATGATTAAAAAAATATACTTTTGTTCACCCTTATGATTTATAGAGGCTTGGGAAGCACTCCTAACACTTAACACCAATCAATCCCAAAGTTCAAAAGGCAGGTTGGTGAACACGAGGGCTCTGTCATAAGTACCACCCCACGAAAAATAGACAGACACCCAAAAGTCAAATTGCGTACACCAGCCCACACCATATCATACCATACTTTAGTCTTCTTTAAAATTATAAGTACATAATATATACGTACCTCCTGAAAATATCCCATAGGAACTCCCTGCTAGGCATAGGTGATTGGAATGCAGCCATGGTTATCTTATCTGTTAATATGTATTTAAGAACAGCTGTTTATTGTTTTATTAAATGTTTGTTTACGACATGATAAACGCATTATACTCTTATACCAAAATCATTGATAATGACCGTCAAGAAGGTATTGGCCACCTGCTATTTGGATATTAGCGCAAATCTAATGGAAATTTCACAATGTTTAACGTTTACTTGATGACGCATAACTCCGCGTGTTCGTTGTGTTACAAGCGAGTTTCAATATTTATAGTTCCGGTATATGCGGTTATTAAAGTAGGCCTAAAAACTAATTTAGAAACAGTAGCTGTAAGATAATCAGTACGAAATTATCATTAAAACTTGTTTATATACAGGCGATAATTTGATCAACTTTTCAGTGACCCACATGTTTTATCTAAAGAAAGACTATGAATATATTTACCTGTGACACTTAGAGATCAATTCACACCTTGTAAAATGAATATTTGTTAGGTTTTATTAAGAAATTATAAAAACAAACCTAAATTATCTAGAAACGAAAGCGACAAGTGAGCGAGAGTTGAGAAGAACGTGAATCAAGAACGGGAATACACGAGTTTACACGACTGTACACGACCGACTGACTGCAACTGAAATGAATGACTGATTTGCCATACGTTTTGATATTGTAAATATGAAGAGTTACAGCTATAAAAATATATTAAAAACTGTTATAGTAGTAAACAATACGAATAGATAACTATTAGTATTGTTTGTATGTTTAAAATTTAAATTAAACTATTTAAGTTCTGCAATGAGTTATGAGAAAAGAAATCAAACATTTCTATTGGCGTTTAGTTACTTTGTCTCCAAATTGCTACTTGGAAATGACTGCGCGCCCCGCGCCGAGTGCCGACTTGAGTTGCTCGTATTAAAATGGCGGATGTCCAAAGCTCGGAACGTAAAGTAAAACTAAACAAAAGTGGAAAAGTTATAAAAAAACGTCAACGAAATCCAGAGGGTAAGTGTTAAATCTTCGTATTCGAACGATAAATATCACAGCTTTCATAGAATAACTTTTTCCGATACGTCCTCATAATGTTAACTGTACAATACTATGTTCAATCTTTGTCTCTTACTACATTTTGATACTTATGTAAAGATTTCAAATAGTTTTCTACAATTTTTTGTTGTTGTTTACAACTGTGGTAGATCAAAAATTGTTGTGGTTTCACGCTTTCAATAACAGTCCTGAGAATTTGGATTTATGCAAAGCCAACCTATCTATAAATAAAACCACGTACTTACCTATTATAGTTAATGTGGATACTATTATGGATTATTTAAAAAATACTATACTCATACTAGTAATTGACTTGACTGAGTTTAAACATTAATTGCTTTCGTTTTCAGAGTGGCACAAACAAAAACAAAAACGCTTAAGGATAGCTGGATTAGAGTATATCAATGCAAATGGAAAAACAGTACCTCCAAAACAACCAGGCCCTGACTGCAACTGTCGGAGAAAATGTTTCCAAAAAGTACCTGAAGATATTAGGCTTAAAACGTTTCAGGGCTTCTATACTATGAAAACGCATGATGAACAAAATGCTTACTTGTTTGGCCTCATGAGACAAGTGGATGTAAAAAGAAAAAGAGTAAAATCAAGCAGCCGACGAACATGCACCTTTGAATACTTTGTCAGGGTTAAGGGACGAGAAACACAAGTGTGCCAAACAGCCTTCAAAAACATCCATGCCATTACAGAAAGAAAAGTCAGAGTCCTTTGCAAGAAAATGGACGATGGCGTTATGTTCCCCAGTGACAATAGAGGCAAGAATAGTCATCGCCGAACTGGGGAAGTCCGTTTACCATCTGGAGTAGTTGACCAAATAAAAAATCACATTTATTCTGTAGTACACACTCACAGGCTAAAAGATTTCATCCGATTGGACAAGGTGGCAGGCTTGGAAATCAATATTTCTAAAATGTGGAAAGACTATATAAAAACTTATGATCCAGAGAATATTACAGCAACAATGCCCAAATCAAAAAGGAGTATCGAGGTGACATTGCCATCTGAAACTCTGCCACAGCCCCAACAACAGCAGCCACCACCTCCACCTCAAGACCCTTTTAATGCTACCAGCATCTACCCAGGCAGTGGACACCTTGTAAACATTGCTGAGAATTATTTCCAAAACCACTATCAAACCACAGCATTGACTGCCACTGGCACTCCAACGAACTTTTACCAAACCCAAAATGGAGGACAGAGCATGGGAATAATAGTGCAATCAACTGCAAGACCTGTGCAACCTACAGCATATATTGTGCTGCAGACTAAACAAGAACCCCAAAATTCATATACCCAGCAGCAGCCTACAGAAATTATGCAACAAGAAGATCCTGAGAAAGTAGAAAAAAAAATCAAAAAGGAGAGGAAAAGAGGTCCTCTAGTAAAACAATGGCGGTACACAAACATTTTTCATGATGAGATCAATGGAGCAGCTTTGGCAGCTATAAAAACAAGACTCAGCATGTATTATGCCGAGAGTGATGCTGCTAGAAAAAAGGCCAAGCAGGCTCGACCTCCTGAGGTGGTTCAAGTTCAAACTCAGACCCAACCAGATCAACAAATCAGACCTACTCATACAGTAACAATATACACCTAGAATTAAGATATAATTTACTACAATTTTTACAATTAGACTGATCTGCTATGATGTTTTATTGCTCGAATCAGCTAGAAGTGTATTAGAATTAAGTTTAATCAATCTTATATTATTCTTTAAATCATCAGTACATGCATGCCTTGATTACATTATGAATAATGATACATTAGGATAAAATTTTAGCACTTCATATTTCAGTTGGTACACAGATCTTGTTTTAGAGATAGTATTCTGTAAGCCAATGGTCTGTTTTAGAATTAGAAGAAGCTAATAAGAACCCAGTGTGTCATGTTTTTTAAAATAAAGCAATAATATAATGATAAATTATTTAAGAAATTGATTTGTCTATTGTATTTTTAAATCAAAATTGTATTGAAGTGTCATACATTCTCATACATTATTTACAATTATATTAAATTTAATGCTTTAATGCTAAGATTCGTTTTCTTTGTAAACATTGTAAATGGTGAACCGCGTGTTGCGTGCGCGACTGATGCTCACTAGCGCGATCTTTCCAGTTTCCTTCAAACGTCTACACGCGCGCTTTAACGCGTAAACGAATGCTGTATTACGCGTGATAGTGTTAAGTGTAAAGCCTGCTATTAGTTTTTGTTGAGTAGGCCAACTGGGCTTAGATTTGTATATCTCATTTGGTCCAGCCATCCTGATAAGACACCTTTTTACGATAGAAAATCTGATTATTGGTGTCAATTGTGCATTTGCAGCTTACTGTATCATTGAACAACAATTTATTAAGACCCATTTCTACAAAAACATAAATTGGCGTTGTTTTTTCCTCATCCCGAATATTATGTACTCAAAACAAACAATGTACAATTTCAATGAAAAAAATTCTAGTACAGTATTATTGCCTCTTGTCGTTGCAAAGGGCAAAATACGAAATTTCTCAAATGAAAATGAAATAAAAGGAATGTGTGATTTTTTTTATACTTTTATTGTATACTAAATTACGCGCTCAGGACGCAGACACCCCCAACATCCTTGATCTTCTTCTCTGCTGTCTTGGAGAAAAACTTGGCTTTCACTATGACAGGTTGTTTGGGAAGATTGCCTTTGCCTAACAGCTTGTAATAACCCTGTAACAACAAATAACTACAGTAAATATAACCATGAGAAAAATAAAACTTAAACACACATGCACAGAGAGGCAGCTCTCTATATTAATATTTATTTGTATCCACAATACATATTATTAGTAGTAGAACTCCTTGTGAAAGAGTCCAGGGAACTATTGCCATCTTACCTATTTCTGCTGCCAAGCTGCAATGTCAGCATTACTGTAGCAGCAATACTGTCTGGTTTTGAAAAGTAAGGGTGCTGGTGAAATTACAGGCACATGAGACTTGTCAACTTATGACTCAGGAGACAGGCACAGTGGCAGTGACCCTCAGATCTTTGCAACTTAAAGCTCTGAGTGGCAGTGCAACTGTTATGGACAGGCATGTAGCTTGTCATCAGGCGCACAACTTGTTCGTCCTGTCCCAAGATATTATAAAAAAGAAGAAATAAAAAACATTAACTTGTGATTATGATACCTTTATATTCACAAGAATGTAAGAAACTATATTAAAATGTAAAGAAAAAGTGAAATGTTATTGGATAATAATATTACAATACTTGATGAACAATTATATTAAATTATATTATATTATATTATATAATTATAATATAATTATATTATATAATAATATTACCTGGATTTTTCATATTATGCCCAGAGATAATATTCCACCCCCTGTAGGTTTTTAACCCCCAAAACAAAAAAGAGGGGAATTATAATGATCCCAATTACAATATTTCTGTTATGAGGATAACATAACAGAAATATTGTAATTGGGATCATTGAATAATTGTTTATTATTCTTTTTTTTTTTATTTGACAACATCACATATGTTGCTCTGATCCCAAAGTAAGTAACTAATGCACTTGTGTTATGGAAATCGGAAACAACGACGGTACCACAAACAACCAGACCCGAGACAATATAGAAAAATTAGTTTCTACATTGACCCAGCCAGGGATTGAACCCAGGACCTCAGAGATGGCGACACCATTAAAATCGGTGTGCAAGCTACTCGACCACGGAGGCTGTCAAAAAATAATTCTCTACAAGTAGTTGGAAAGTTAGGATCTGATGATGGAGATGGAGGTGGACTCAGGAACCAAGCTTTATTAAAAGCTGACCCATCAAGTTTATACTCGTTTAGATGAGGCCTTTCTAAAGTTCACTGTTTTGTATTGTGTGTATTTTAAATTTCATATAATATTTACTTTTATTGCAAATACTCACAGCCTTAACAATATTGATGACTGGAACCTTCCCATCTGTGGCATTAGCATACTTAAGGCGGGCCTGCTCTGACACCAGTGTCCACAGCTTGTCAAGGTTCAGCACTGGGCAGAAGATCTTATTTCGCCTCAAGTGGTAGTTCCTCATACCCAGCTGAAAATTAAAAAGATGTAATGATGTAAACAATAAGTAAAAATGGGTTTATCATAATTAAGTAAAGAAATAAGCAATCATAATTTTTTATTGATAATAATGCACATAATCATTAATAGGCCTAATGTCATATCTGTCTGCAAAGTGGATAGACAGCTACAGTGACCCATCAACTCCCATGTTCATGCATACATGAGTGCCGCAATAGCTGAAACCTGCAATTTTTGCAAAAATTGCTCAAACCTGCCATCCACTAACTAAAATATGGCTAAATGACAAAATATTTTTTTGAGATATCATTTAAAGCCATAACCCAATTTTAGAATATTGAATTTATTTAATGATATTTCAGTTATGCATCATTAGGGTAAGGTCCGATAAGTAGAACATGTTAACTGTTTTTAAAAGATACTTTTGTGCTCTACCTTTTGCTTTTTAACTTTTTGACTTAGCCACATTTTAGTTAGTGGACAGTAGAAGCCCTTGTTACATTGTGCCTCTTGCGATTAATTTCTGGGACTCCTTATTATGAAACTTCCTATGCTCCTTGCTGGCATCTGGTGACCAGGTTGTGGATATAATTAAATTGATTTTATTTTACCTTTAACTTATCTAGTTACAAGACCAAATTTTAAATTTTTTTCTTCAACCGTTTCCTTTATTAATATTGTGAAAATATAATGACTTTTTCAAGCAAACAAGATTACATATAAAATGTTATAAAAAAAGTTGTAAAGGAAATCACTGCAATTGAGTCTTGATTGAAAAGAACAATTTTTATAATTACAATACATGTATTACAGTAAATTCCAGGTAACAAGGATTGACAGGGGCATACAGTGAACAATAGATTTTGAAGTACTTCACATGAACAGAAGTTTGTAATTTAGCTACAAACTTACAATTGAATTATTTATTGAATTACAATTTAATTTTGGAGTAGTTTTCAATCATCAACTAGATTTTGCTCAACACTGCTTCTAATAATTCATGCTGAAAAGCAATTGTTACTAAGATAGTCAAGCGAGAATTTGTGGGAACACGCTAATTTTGCAGTTATTTAAACAATGGTAACTGTGTGAACAATAGACAACCAATTATATACATACTGTAACATGAACTTACCTTGCCAAAATATCCAGGATGGTATTTGTCCATGTTAATTCTGTGGTGATGCTCACCACCGGCGTTACCGCGACCACCAGGATGCTTACGGTGCTTGCCTGAAAGTCATTACAACATATATTAAAGTCTCATAATAAAGAAAACGTCAAACTCTCCTTCTATAGGTTAGAATTGTTGACATGCTTATTTTATTGCGAAAATACAGATTCCAATTGTAATTTGGCACAGAAACTTACCGATACGACCGTGACCATGGCTCACATGTCCTCTCAGCTTCCTGGTCTTCTTTTTGGATGTGGCCTGAGGGATGATAAATAATTTTATTGTTGGTTCCAAAATATGCCACCGAAAAATAATGTGGTAACAAACATCACAAGGACTTATTATCCGTAAAGCTCTAAAGAAATTAGCATTACAATTTAGGATTACACCTATAAAAACAGATAAATTCAAAAGAATTTAGCACTAACCATATTTTCGGCTTCCGTCAACTTTTACAAAAAGACAGAAAGAGACGGGACGTGCATACTGCTGTCAATGTCAAAGTTGTCAAACATACGTGGTGCCCACAAATTAGAAAGATGTGGTGCCGCATGCCTTGTTTTTATTCAGTTATGGTATCATAACCACAAACTACTAATGGTAACAAACTAGAGTATGGTATTATAACCACAAACTACTATTGGTAACAAACTGGAAAAAAATGTAACAATAATGGTGAATTAAAATAATTCACAATAATAATGTTCACAATGTGAATCCGTCTTAAATATTCACCCCGGAACATTTTTGCCTGTATTGACTTTTTTTATTAGGATTTTTGGCTTGGATACAAGTGCTTTGAGCCATGTCTCCATTTAGTTTTCGGGATCTTTAATAAATATATCCTATTATGTTTTAATTTACTTATAGAATGGCAAAAACTTTATTTTTTTAAATTTTTGGTTGTTTAAATAGTCTTATAAGCAGCGGGAGTCATTATTTATGTTTTCACTTTCATTTAATTAATTTAGTTCACATGCTAATAAATTAAAAGACGTTGATCTTTGAACACGGGTTAGTAGATATTTCTTTTTGTATGCTCCCACACCATTCACCTTTTATGTCTTGAACCTTTCTTCATGCTTCCTTCAGAAACTATTCTATAATGTCCATAATTGTCTTAATTGAAAATTTTAAATCTCATAGTCTTTTTTTTCCATCATCTAAGTAGTCCTTTCAATTCAAATTTCCGCCATTTGTTAGTAACTGCCAGTATTGTGTTTTAGTGATATGGATACAGTCGAGTCGTGAAAGTCCTTTTTGAAAAATTCATATTTGTCCATTGACTTACAAATAAATGGACGACGGGTCTAATACAAAAACCACGAAAAAAATGTCCCAAGTCAACCTATTCGAAATTTAAATTGTAATGTCATCGCAGTATCGCGCTGTCAGTCGAACAAATGAAGACTAAAGCGGAGTTTGGCGCTCTGTATACGATTTTAGCGCCTTACAAGTGCGGACACTTTTTAGCGCGGACCCGACGTCCATATAATTGTAAGTCAATGTATTTGTCCAAATATTTTTCCTATATTTTTCCATATTTGACCGTTGTCAAAAATTAAAAATACTCTAATGTATTCCGAACTCTACTCAATGTTCTAGTCACGACTTGAGTATGATTTAAAGCACTAAAAATTATACTCAAGTCCTTGCTATTGGGGTCGTATTTCCAGTGCTTGAAATCATACTCAAGTCCTGAATTGAGCATTGTGTAGAGTTCTGGAATACGACTCTAGACTTTTTCCATCCTCTATGAAGAAGATACTGAACGAAGTAGAGCCATTGTGAAATAAGATTTTTTTTTATCAAGGATTCTTTTTTTGCTGTTTCGTTGTTGCTGTATTTCGCCGTTCATGTTATAAGTATCTCGTTTTACTTTATCTTCCTGTAGCCCATTTTAACCATACAATTTTATTTTATAATTCACACTAAATAAAACTTCCAAAGATATATTATATGTAAACGTAGAACATGATATGAGCCTTCTAATAATATTTTTACAAATTTTCAGATGTTATTCCGGAATAATTTCCACTATTTGGAATTTTTCGGAAAATTGATATGGACGAACATTTTAATGAGTATAGGTCTTAGAGGATGGAAAAACATAAAGGACGTTATAGGTACTGATATTTTTTCAATATTTTTCCTCTAATATTCCACATTTAACGTTGACACCCAACAACAAGTGGTGTGGTGGGTTGATGGAGGTTTTTAATTCACGTTATAATAAAATTTCAAAACATTTATTTCAATTAAATGAGTCTTCTATATTACATTTTTAGGGAATTTTTCCGTGTATACCTAACAGTACCCAATAAGGAAACAAGTCAAAAACCTTGTAAGTGGCTGGAATTCTAACTGCGAAAAGCCAAGAAAAATAATCGAACACTCCCAGTACAACTCACTCTCCCGATTCATATTCATTTCATTCTATAAGTAAAAATCATTCAATTAATCGTTCAGTGTCGTTCTGGAAAATGGTTGGATTGTGTGTTGAAGCTATTTCTGACACGTATTTTGCTAAAAATCATAATTAATCTCTGAAAACTGTACAATGTCATTGTGTAAATAGCGTTATATTAATAGGGTCATCGCATATTTGTCAAAATGGAGTTCCGCGAGACGCTGCTAGCTGCTCAACGAAATCAACAACAGAAATCATCTGTGAGTTCATTTCTACTGGTTTATTTCTTTTTCTTATGGTTTTTCAAGTTCCTTTAAAACTTGGTCGGTTTTAGTATCATCTCGAAATTTGTCATTAGCATCTATAAAAATGAGGCAATTTCTTTGTTTGTAAATCTAGACTGAAAATTTCCACAGTACTTTTACTCTTGGCTCACCTTGTGCTCATGGCGATTATGTTTTAGGAAAATCAGTACTACAAGGCTAAGTTTGACCCTCCCAAAAAGGAGCAGAAGACCAAAGATAGGTTGTCTGCAAACATTCAGAAGTTTTTGGCTAAGAAAGATGAGGAGGAAAGACAGAAGAAAATGGAGGCCCAGCGCAAGAGGGAGGAACTCTTAGCTATGCGCGATCCGAAGGCCATGCGAAAGATCCAAAAGTCTTTGAAAGTAATAAAATCTGCTAACAAGTCTGTAATTGAAGATGCTGTGGATCGTGAACACACTGCCATCACACTTGCAGGGCCTGACCAACCTGACCAAGATGACTATGGTTATGAGTCGCAAGAAGCAGCTGCTCTCTATGCGAAAATGATGCAAAAGTACAGCAAATTACCTGATGAACCTAAATTCCCCACTGGACGTAAGTGTTATTTTTTATTAATCACTCCAGTCCATTTTTGTAACACCTGCGGAACATTACAACTTAATGGGAATAATACAAATAAATTCAACCAATGGGTTTTTGATATGAATACCAAACTGATAAGGATGGCACACCCATGGATTCTAAAAGTTAACAATTGTAAATGCAGCTTATACATATGTATATGGGAAGTGGTGTTTAACATGTTCACAGTTCATGACTCCATCTGGAGTTTCAGATTGGCTTCAACCGTAAGTCATTCACATTATATGGGGTCGCAACTACATACTACTTCAATGTCAAATATTTTGATTGCACTTAATTTTTTTAAACTTGTGAATTGGGTAGTCTTTTAAAGTGTAATTTTTCAAAAATAATAATATAATTTGGATATATAAATAATTATATAAAAAATACGTAATATATAAAAATATTAAATATATGAAAAAATTTTTGATAAATTTTATTAGTTTTTATGGAAAACTCGCCCTTGACCAAAAAATTGGCCATGACAAAATAGTTTTCACAAAAAAAGACTTAATGGTTCCTAAGATAGTTTCCTCGTATCTTCTATGGTTTCGGATTTCCCTATACCATCCTATTTAAAAAAAACACTGCATAATGTAGAGTAAAAGACAAAACTAACTCTATTTCAGACAAATTCCGGTGGACTTGCGGGGTTGATTTCGGCCTTTATGGCCCCAGTGTAAATGCGTGTGACAGTGTTAATAAAATAGAGATTAAATGAGCTATTGTGCACCACAAGTATTATAATTATAGCCCTCCCTCACACTCGTTCGTGACTCATCAGTCTTAATTGAGTTTATTGCTGTGTAACTTGAAACAGTTCTAGGTATCTTTTGGAAAAATATCCAGAATACAGATACAGATAACCTTGTAGATGTAGACAAATTAGTTAACAATAGTTTCAATATTTTTAGTGTGAAAAATAAATAATATAGGAAATTAACCTATTTTTCAGGATTTAAATCGCGTATATTTGTTTTTTTTGTTCATGTGTAACAATCGCGAAAACCTAAGAACTCGATAAATAAATAATAATAGGAAATGAAACTATTTATCCGGATTTAAATCGCGTATATTTGTTTTTTCAAACAATCCGACGTTTCCGAAATCCGGAAAAATAGTTACATTTCCTATGTGTAACAATCGCAAAAACCTATTCTATTCTAAATGTTTTGTCTCATACATGTTGGGACTGTTTGCCACTATATTGCCTACCTATTACGACCTATATGACCTATACTGTAAACAAAGCACACATTACATTTTCCTACATTAGGAGATAAAAAATAAAATGTATATTTCTCCATACAAAAAAAAAATTTTTCTTTCCCGAAACTATCAACTTTTCAAGAAATTATACAAGAATAAAAGTTGTTAGGAATGTTATTATCTATCATATAAAAAAAGTTGGCTCGATACTCCACAAGTTATTCCCATGTCCAAGAATTATCAATTTGGGCCCACTATGCCGCGTCTCACAGTAACTGCCACGCGATAGCATTCATACTTCTCAGTCGTACTCAAAACTGCTGACTCTAGCTTCACTCACACTTACAGGGTCCCTACATAATCCCACCACTAATCTATGTCCACTTTTAAAGGGTTCCTACATGTACATACAGTTGTGTTGTGTGTATATTAGATAATCATCTTTGGAACCCCTAAGGGTACAAGCACCAGTGATTAAGTAACTGGCTTAAAATATTAATTCAGTACCTTAAATATAACCACTGGCTAAACCTACACTCACTAGTAGGATGTAATTTGCGGATGACTGTGACTATAGTATGCCTTGTTTAAAAACTATTATGGTATGACAAGAAAAGAGCAAGTTTTATTAAATTTATGTGTGTTGGTGTTCATTTTTAACAAACAGTAGGCTATTCATGAAAACGTGTTATCTACTGCTTATGTTGATTTCATTAAAACAAAATAAACATTTTCAATTACTCAAACTATTTATTTGATTGATTACAGACAGCTCAGTAAAGAAAGATTTAAATGGCACTAGAGAGAGAGTAAAACACGCTCTGCAGCATGAAGAAGAACCTCAGCCTCATAAACGAAAGCGAAGGACTGATAATAATGGAGGTCAGTTTATTAACGTTCTGTAACAATTTGAAGTTTGTTATATTTAATGGTAGCTTATGCCATTATTATGTGAAGTCATAAATTACCGTAACACTTGTATCCAACCACACATTTTGATTTTCAAAAATTTCAATTTTTAGAGAGAGAAACTACACCTCCAATGAAATATGAACCAGAAAAGAAAAAAGAGGAAAAACCTAAGATCCGAAGACCAATGCCTCCGCCAATGGATTTCAATCAGCTTCTTAAGCTTGCTGAGCAAAAAAAGACAGAACCTGTTGAAGTTGCTCCAAAAAAACTGGTCACAGAATCGGCAGAACCAGAAAGGTTGATGACAAAGAAGCAAAAAAGAGAGTATGAGGAAGAGATGGCAAGGAGACAAAGACGTCAGGAAAGAATAGAGGCAGAAAAAGACGGAAGAAAAAGTAAGCCAAAGTCCAGAATTGTGGCCTAAAATTTTTTCAAGATGCTATAAAGCTTTTTTTTCAATTGGGTTTCTGTTCATGAGTTATGTTCAAGTTTTGTTTGATTTTGTGTGTATTCTTAATCTAATAAATGCATGACTTTTAATGTCTATTTCCTTTATTTTCAGTACAAAAAGACGATAGGCCACCTGAAAGGGAAAAAAAACCGGAGTCTGGTGGTTTTGGGAGAATTCCAAAAATTGGCGAGAAAACCAATGTCACCAGACATAGTAGTCCAAAAGCATATGATAAGGAGAGAGAAAGGGATAGGCACGAGAAAGAGAGAGCTGCAAGGCAGAAAGAGAAGGACAGAGCAATTAGAGAGAAGGAAAAAGAGATTTTAGACAGAGAACAAGCAGAACGCGAAAGAATCAAACTGGACAAAGAGAGGCTTGACAGGCTAAAAGCAGAAAGGGATAGAATAGACAGAGAAATGGAAAGGCTGAACAGGGACAGAGAAAAACTGGATAAGACGAAATCAAAATTAGATTCAAAAATATTGGACAGGAAACCAGTTGACAAAGTTGTAGATAAATCTAAGCTGAGTTCAAAAGACTCAGTGCGGCCAGAGTTGAAGAAGAGCATAGATTTGAAAAGTCAGAATACTTATAGGATAGATAAGAATTCCAATGAGAAGAAACTTCTCCCTGGTAAAAGTGATAATACTAGATACTTAAATGGTCATAGCTCTCAAGCAAAACCTGTGCCAAAACAAATACTACAAAAAGACGGAGCCTTATTGACGAAAAAGGTTAATTTATCTATGAAAATGAATGGGCATGTTAGACCAGAAAATGAGAAACGGCTTCCAGATATAAAAGGAGTGCCTGGTAAAAGACCTGATGACAGACGAATAGCACCCCAAGCAGGGCCGAGCAAGCCCAAGATCTCAAATAATTTTGACTTTGATAAACATGTAAGCTCTATAAAGAGCAAACAGTTTCCGCCTGAAGATGTAAAGAGAAAACAACAAATTCATGATAGGAAAAAAGCCAGACGTAAGTATTATTACATTCAGTCTGTTTGCCCTGAAGTTCTTCCTTTACTACATTTTGTGTAACCATTGCCTAAGTTTAATAGAGAGGAAAGCTCCACCTGTAACAGACAATTAAAACTAAGATAATGAGATCACCCCAAACATGCAACTATTTTAATTTTTACCAGTAAGGATAGCTTAGATACGTAAAACAGCGTCAAAATTATCTGAAAATTCCTCTCCTGCTCTGTTTATCTTGACGTTAACTGCACAAGTCCAATATTTCAGGTCCTACTTGAACATATTTTAAAGATAATTTTGTTCCCAGGGCGCTTGGAGTCTGATGACGAGTATGACTCAGAGATGGACGACTTCATAGATGACGGTGACGAGAACATGGATTACTCCAGACACATCAAAGAGATATTCGGTTATGACAAATCCAAGTAAGTGACGTTTTAATGTTAATCTGTTGGATTAATCAAATTCGTACTGACTTTCGGCGTTACAATCTTTATCGCCCTTCTATTTCTTTCTTTTGTCAAGGACGTTAGGTTCAAATTAAATGTATAGAGTCAATTTCAATGGTACAGTGTATGGTTTTGTACACAGTATAATAAGATACGACGCCGTACAAACGTAGCAGCGCGGCTTGTATGTATTCACGCCCACCGCGCCTTATATCGTGGTGCAAGGCGCACGCGCCTTTTATTATAAAATTGAAACGTTTACGCGGTGACAAAAATAAAATAAAATGTAGTAGACATTGATTATTGTTGTATTTATGGTTGTATGAACAAGAGTGCCCAATTTCAGAATAGTACAGCATTTAATTTTTATTTCATAATCATACTCTCACAATCGAGATTCTATTCCGCGATCCTGGTATAAAAATATCAATATGCAAGTGCTGCATTGTACAAAGGTTATTTCAATAAAGCACGACAATACTGTGATGAATACCAACAATTTTTCAAATATATTTACAACTACAATAATATTGTGACAACCCTACCCTCCAAGCGACATGTATACACATTGACGCGCCGAGTTGGACCACTTGTCTTATTAATATGATACTATGGTATTACTGTACAGCAGGTGTACTCCACAACGATTTTGTCAGAATAATAAGGAGTGCAGTGCCTCTACCACGAGTTTACCATGACAGTTGTCGCTAGCGACTGCGTAAAATACTTTTATATGGCAAATTGTACAGCGCCCCTAGAGGTCACAAAAAGAAACAATATTTCTATTCTATTTTTGCGTTTCTGGCTTCTCTTGAAGAATTTTGCCAATGTCAAGTCAGTCATGGGAGTTTACCTTATATTATGGAAACCAAAGGACATGTTATATTGACTTATATAAATCAGACGTTATATGATGCATTTATACGTTGAAAATATAAGCATTTTATTGTCTTTGTTTAACTACTGCGTGCCGTCATAAGCCAAAAGAGAGCAGTACATTGATTTATGTCAAACCCGCGAATCAAAAGTACGTAACATCATCCTAAATGCCAACTGTCCTCATTTTATCATTTTTGGAGTACCCTTTGACATCCGTGTCCTGTTGTCAAAGGGAAGTACATGAAATGTTAAAACCAATGTTTGGCCAAATGTTTTATTGAATTATTCGCATGAATTCTAATAAATTTGGACAAAAATATTGACAGTGAGAACAATTAGTATTGATTAAAATGCGTCGCTGCGGCATTAAGGGGTGCGGCAGTAGAAAGGGCGGAAATCAACCGAATGTGGTTTTTTTGTCTATAAATCATACAAAATAGCCCAAATATCTCATGTAATTAGACTTATTTAAGTAGTTTATTCAAAAGTCTTGCCGAATTTTGCTTTGGTTACTTTATATTGCCTGTTTGTTAGTATATTTTGAAGATTGTTGATAACGATTATTTTGAGAGTTCTTGTAAGCAGACATATTATCGATATTCTGTTATTAAAACAATTCATTACGAGGCGTAATGTAAATATATAATAATAAAAATAGGATTGCCGAACATAAGCATTGGATCAAGTATCACTTTCGTTTGTTCGCTCCATTTTGAAGAGTCAAATTTTAATAGATCTTTGAATGTAACTAGATTATTGTCGTTTTTATTGGTAAATAATTTTATATTTAATTTTGAGTAAACAAGAGACATTGCTAGGCATTCTCAGTTCCTTAAGGCTCAACTCACACTGGCGCAGCGTCAAAGCGTCGCGTCCTGTTTTTCAATTACAACGCTTGGCGAAGCCGCACGGCAGCATCCGTCGACGCCAGTTTCCATATTTGCATAACACAAATTAGTATCTTAATTATGGGGTAAATAGAGATGAATATACTATAGGCGAAAAACATGACGCGTCGCGACGCTTCGACTCTGCGCCAGTGTAAGTTGAGCCTAAAACCATCCACTCGTTTTCAATTTTTTCCCCGCTGACAACTCTAACATTATATAACGAGTATTAGATGCATTGACGTCATAATTATTGGCGCCCAATAATAAATAGCAGCAACTGCAATAACTTGTTCTTCATCCATATAGTTTCAATGTAAATGATAACTGACGGCGACCAACGTGTGGGCAGCTACACAAAACTCATCTACAATGGCCGTTTGTAATGCTCTTTTTCAAACTTGTCGAGCGTGTAGACAGCAGCACTAGCTGTATATCAATTTGCTGTATGTCTTGCAGCAAACCGTGTCAGAAGCTATGCCAACTAAGCCACGGAACGAACTAGCGGACCTTATGAATTTTCCTCACTTTATGAGTGAAGAAATAGATTTCTGACAGGTGGCGCTACGGCAAAAAAGTATGAAAAACTAAAAACAAAGATCTGCAACAAGCACTTAGAAAAATTCGTAAGGTCCACTAGTTCGTTCCGTGGCTTAGTTGGCATAGTGTCTGTCACGGTTGACTGGAAGACGTTGGTTCGAATCCAGCCGGATCGTAGCAATTTTTTGTAACTGTTCGATCTTTAAGAAACTAGTGGAGTAATTTCACAAAAATAATTGAATATCATGGTGAACATCGTCACATTCAATCGTAACTTAAAAATTACAGACAAAGTAATTTAAAAATGTGTGTTAATATGTATAATAAAATGCCGCTCAAGATTAAACTATTAGACTCGTGATTGTTTATAACGAAGTTATGTAAGTGATTAAATAATAATATTTTTTATGACAGGAAAGAAGATGTAAAATTTTATGTTGATTTTAATAATTCTTGGCAAATTTAATTTGTAACTTGTGACATTTTTATTGTTGTGGTAGTTTAATATATGGTTATGTAATATAACATGTTTGTACTGAATCTGTCTCGTGCGTTGTGCTACATCTTCTGTTATACCATGTTTTAGGCAAATGAACTTACCTATTATTAATATTATATCTGACTTTATAATTATCGATAATGTTATTACAATTATATAAGTAATTTTATTTATTTCAAAAATTAAATGGAAGTGTTAGACTCACCTAAATCAAAATCACTGATATTAATTATATACCCATATATAAATACAAAACAGCTTAAACTATTTCGTAATTTGTGAGCATTTATAAATGCAAAATAATAAATTCAAAATCTCATATCTATCATCCCGGATATTCCCATATGACAATGAATATTGATCTACTTTGATTAAACATTTTAATCATGCTTTGATTACAGTAAACTAAACAAATTACAAATAAAACAAAAAAGAAACAGTTTCAACATTCAAGCCATACATTTGCATGTCGGTATTGACACTTCTCGATGATTATGGTACAACACTAAAGAAATCCGCCATTTGTGGTGGACTTTTTTTTGGTTTAGTTAGGGACGTTTATTCTGTACATAGGGCAGCTCCTTTCCTTTATTTTTATCCATCCAGTAAGGAGTTTACACAACAACATTTTGTACACAAATATTTTACGCAGTCACTAGCGATAATTGTCACTGTCAAAAGTCAACGAATCATTTATTCCATAGCTACTTGAGTGTCCTTAAACTCGCCAATGTGGGTGACAAAGCAGCTACACAGTTATGGCACACAGGACACATAACAAGCATTTGGGGGAAAACAAGCGCTTACGACCAACGGAAACGGAGTGGCCAATTGTACAAGTTTGATAGAAAATGGGAAAGGAATGCCAGAAAAAAAAGAGCAAGTTGGAAACTTGTCCAGTCGTACTACAGGCGGATTATTTTAGAAAAATATTACTTCAATTACACTATGTCACTACAACTACAATTTATGGATGCACGTAAGAGGCCTCTCCGCACAACGCACCTTACATCACGCAAATCCTATCACCACGATGGCGAGCATTATAGTTTATGCCATCGATATGATAAGAATACGCAATTCATTGCTCCATATAAAAGTATTATTGATTTAATAGTGTAAAACGCTAGAATTTTTAGTTAGAATTTCTTTATTTCGGTGTTTTTGTGTTTAGCATCTTCTGAAGACTAACACCTTTTGTACTCTAAAAATTGATACCTACGTGTTGAGTAAATACTTTGCAGATATCGGGACTTGGATGATGAGGACGATCCGAGGATGGAGTCCAGTTTCGTGCAGCAACAACGCGAAGAATTTATTAGCAAGAAAATTGGTATGTTATTTTATTTTGTAAAATATTTTCCACACCAATTTTTTTTTTATTATGTATACTTAATACTGTGGTGCTTACGTAAAGCAGTGGTTAAATATTAATTTATTCTTTCACGTTTGTAAACAAGTTCTAACAAAACTTTGCGATATTTATTCAGTTGGTGATCATACTCATGATGACAAACACGTTTCTCATTACGAAATAGAATATTGGCTCCCCGTACAAATATTGGGTAGGCGGCGCAAACTTTATGTGGAAAACAATATGTGGTGTGTTTATAATAGTTTATATACATAAGTCTAAATAAATATGGTACTATTGAAATCTTTTTTAAACGATGTATGAATTAAATTAAAAATACTTATCATTTGAAATGGCAGTGATTTCTGGTAAACTAGAAGCCTTTTAACACCGTAACAATTTAATTACAGGTATAATGGAGGATCTAGAGGACATGAGGCTAGAGGCTCTGGAGAAGAAAAAGAAGAAAAAACGTAGACTTAGCGACGACTGATCAACAGCCGGCAACCTTCGCATCACTGTGGACCAAGATTATTTACAAATTGTGGATTATGTAACAGACCATTGTTTATTTGTCTGACAGTTCATCTAACCCTGACAATGATTTATGCTGTATTTTATATTTGCGGCGTTTGGTTAATTTGACATGAATAGCAATCTTAAGTAATCTTTATGACACTAATGAAAACTCTAACTGGTAATGTGGCTAACAAGTAGTAAGCGTAAAAATAATGTGCAGTACTTCTCCTAGAGCGTTTAAATATTATTAATAAAATGGACAAAATCATAAATATTATTATATTTGGGTATAGAAAAAACAGGAAGATTTTCAAATTTATTATAGACAAAAAATAGATAATTGAAAAAGAAACAATAAAAAATGCTATTGCAGACCTGGTAAAGGGCGCCTTCAAATTCGACGCTTATAGAAGCACCACTGTGACGCTGCAGCCGCGCCACACCACTAATATTTAGTAGCGCCGTCGTGACACGTGGGCGTCACTTTTGCATTAAGTGAACTATACATTACTGACTACATACATCCATACGCGCCACTGCAGCGCTTTTACAAGCGTCTGATTTAAAGGCACCCTACGATAATTTTGCAGGCTATTACTTGTACGTCATGTAATTTCAGTTTAAATATGTTCTTCGTTTAACGTGTATGAGGTATGATTCAATTCTTTTCTTGTTGTATCGCCTAGTCTGCCTATAGATTTAGAGGTCTTCAACAGCAGTTAGTGCGACGTACATGGTTAAACCAACCATTATACTTTTGTATTCCAATTTATTGTAACAAGTACGGGGATGTATTAAATCATAGCTAACATTTTTGTTTACATATTTTGTTGTAATACTATTTGTGATTGTATTATAGTAGAATAGATTGAAACAAGTAGAAGACGGTGAGATAATGAAAGCAATGGAAGTTTGACAACTGTCCATTAAAATTTTGGATGGTAGTATTGGGTATGAATAACTTGATGTCAAATATTTAATTCGTATTTTTTTGGTCAATTTGGAAGACGGATTGTAGGCAGATAATTTGTTACCTGTATATTTCTTACTCGTTTATCAGTTTACATAGTTACTTGTTTAATTATTATATAGTGTTTGATACCTTAGGATTGAACCGTACATAGCAGAACGTAGTACTTCAGACTCTCATTCTAAAATCGGGTTACATAAAACTGCTCCCAAGAAACTGGTTTTGTATGGCACCCTACCAAACGTACTTAAACTGGTTCAATTCTTAATTGGTTGGTTAATAGGAACAAAAGGTTTGATAGTTTATTGATTGTTAAATGGTCTAGCATTAAATTAGTCTATTTTTAGTTTAGTTGCCCCAAAAACTCGCTAACTAACTTCTCTGTTTTTGGAATACATTGGATAAATCTAGGGCATATAAAGTAACTTCTACGAATCTTACCCTAACCGGTTTTGTTGTAATTGGATAAATTTAAATATATTGTTTAAATAATCAAATGTTTTCATAGTTAAAAAATAAATAGTTTAATAGACAATAGCAAATACACACGATTCTTTCATTCATTTTATGTAAAGTACTTATGAATGAATGTTTTTTTAAGGTAATAAAAACATATGTAAGAGCATTGTATCGCACATATGTCTAAACTATTCTGACATAATAGTGTCAATTTGAAAACTTTGTGGTCATTATTTACTCTTTAAGAGCAACTTCATACCCGATCGATGTTATAACTTCTAACGCATCGAGTATATGGCCAGAAATAGAGACGAAATAAGGGCGATCCATCCCTGGCATCTCATCAGGCAAATGGGCCTTATATCACTTCTAAATATCAAGTCTCGTTTGCGCTGAAATCACAAATTAGAAAGCTGAAATACTACAGCGCCAACTGACCTGTGTATGTTACCGTATATTCCAAAAATATTCTGTATTTATTGTAATAAAGATACTATCTCTGTGTGGGAAAAAACAGCAAAACATCTGATTATAAAACAAACGGAATCACATTTCATTGGTAATTAAATATACAATTTTTCAATTTTCGTCCATTATAGCAAAGCTCAAGTGAAACTGATCGATTTGAAGTGAAACAATTGACGACACCGTCAATTGTTTCCAATTCGGGCTGGCCAATCGGAGGACAGTTATCACCGCAATGATTTGGCAGAATAGTTTTTAAACAAATTTAATGTCATGTCGTCTCTATTCTTGGTTATATACTCGAAGCTTTTGCGTAACACAATTAAACCATAGGCACTAATTGAATACTAAGCCTTTGCACTTGAGTATGTCCAGGGTTTATTGGTTGCCTTTATGAGTAGTACAATGAAAAATGTAAATGTAATACAGTTATATGTTCCATTCACACCTGATGGAGCATGTCGTGTATGCAATAACTACTTAATTGCCGCCGTGGCCAAACGGTTACGTTAAAAAAATAAAGAAAATTTCAATGCCAAATGATTTTTCCTAGAATGTTCGTGAAAGCTCGCCTATTTATGAATTTGGCCAAATTGATCAAATTGATCAAAGAACGCTCGGAGGTACACACATGTACATCCCAGTATGCGCTGTCCGTCAGACAAAAATCCTTGCTCCACCGATGTGAATTGTACTTTTCGATACTGAAGTTTTACTGTATGATAACCACTCAATAGTATTATGTTACATGATTTTCCGATAGCATAAAAATTTTGCTATATAAATTTATAGCAAAACTTTTTATTTTGTATTAAATTTAGAAGTTCCATCTTTTTACAATTTCAATGACTAAGTGCTTTATTAATACAGTGGCAGACGGTTTAACCAGAACTTAAAAATATGTATGTATATTTAATAGGTAAATATATCAGAAATATAAAATATCATTTACTTCTGACAAATATTAAATTGGTTAGTTATTAATTAACACTTATATTAACAAACAGTGATATAGACCATTAAATGTAAGGATTTTTTTTTATGGTTTTGCCTTGTTTTTACTCTCTTTGACAGTGAGCATTTATCAAGTATAATATCATTGCTTTTTGAGATATAGATAAATGGTATCTATCTAAATGCTATTGTTTGTTCAATATTTTTTTATTCTAATAAGTAAATGCTAAACCTTGTACTTATCGACACCAACGTGACGCTGACATGAAGCATGCTTCACAGGTGCGTACCGCGGAGGTACCCATGGTTATTTTTACAAGCACGTAGTACTTTAGGGCTATGTTTAAGCCTACTGACGTGTTGTAATATGAATTTTGTTTTATTTAACTCTATATTTACGCGGTATTTGCAGTTGTCGTAGGAAGGCGCTGAAAGTGCTATCGCGCCATTTATTTTTTTATAACAAATATCGATTTTTGAAGCCTAGAATATTCGATTGACAGCAACATTAAACTTTCTGTTCTAATTTTAGACTTAGCTGGTAATCATTTATACGCATATTTAGCATGTCTGAAGTAATGTTTTGGACCCCGTACAAAATACACTGATTAATTTTATCTTTACTCTGTCATCTTTTATGTTCAATACATAATCATCACAATAACATAAAATACGGACTGACTTCCCTGTGTTCAAACATTCCTACAGTTTCTAAGCGCTTTGAAAGAAACCATATTATTAGGTACCTATACTTTAAGCGTTGTCTATAAATTATGCGTTGTTGAATTATAATCCTCTGCTCTATGGAGCTGGGGAAAAAGACAAAAAAAATGTACATTTGTAGTTAAATAAATAATATAATTTTTCAGCAGAATAGTTGTTTATTTTGTTTCATGTTAGTGTAGTTAAGGATTCTTGTCGGCACCCTTACACTATTCCATCCTATAAGTCCGCACCCATACGCATTTTGATGGATGATTATGATTATTCATAACTATTATTTATTTATTAAGCATTGGCTACCGCGTTATCAGCTTAAAAAGGGAACAAATAATTAAGGAACTTAAATCGTTATATACTTAAAATAAAAATTAATTCGTGTAAAAACTGTAAGTACCTAACTAAATAAACCCGCAATTTTTTCTGAATGTTCTAATTTATGTTTCGTTTCTTTTGCAAATGTATGACACAATCTTAGAGCTTAAAGGACCACATTATTCAATGTTTCAACTAGAGTTTAATCGATGTGACGATCAAGTGTTGTTTACCCATATGAACTAGAGATTTAGATGAGTAAGTTAGAATTGGAAACGTTTCAAATTTCAAAATAATTTAAATCGATAAATTTGAGTATGTGCCTGACGGGACAAGCCTGTTACAAAATCTGAATATTTTTATGAATAATCTCATTTAATTGAAAATTTAAGGACCGTCACACGCAAAAGGTTCAAGATTTCATAAAAATATTGCATGACGTTATTTAAATCGCGCATTCTTAATACCACGGCTTGGAAGGCCTATTCCGCTAGCCTCTATCAGCTGACCCCCTGGTAAAGACAAGTGGATTTTTTTTCCACTCTTCCCTACTACGCCGTCACTGGTTGGGTTTGTAGAATTTCATTTCCACTTATCCCTATCAATAAAATCTCTTGACATGAACTACACTTTCGACAAAAATATCTATTATAATTAAATATTTAGGGTAAAGAGTTATAGCTGGTGGGTATAAGATCTCTTTATTGTCTAAGATACGATAAAATAATGAAGAAACATGTAACAGTCAATATGAACCAGAAGACTTTTGGCGACTTCGCCATTTTTTATGTATGTCGTTGATGTTGTTCGTCCCGTTGCTTGACATAATAAAAATATTTAACTACTGGGAATAAACGATAATATAACGTAAATTTTCCAAAAATAGCCCAACATTAATGTACCCGTTCGTTAGCTGCATTTGTATATCTTGTACGACTTTGTCCCGGGATTGTTTTTATTTTATTTTATTTATTTATTCGTGGAAAACCAACAGCTTAACATTAAATTAAAAACATCAACAAATACATTACAGCCAATTAAAGGTTTTCGCTTATAATAGCATAATGACTAAACAATGAGCACTTAGAAAGTAATCAATGCAAATAAAATTATTATGTAACAAATACACTTAATATAGACATATACATATATACACACATATACAGCGTGTCCCAAAATTCAACGATAAGCGGGCGCTGGAGGGTGGACCTGCGCATAACTACTTGAGGAAAAATAAGAAAAAAAATGTATCTCATTTTTTTTTCAATTACGATGAAAAAATTGTTATTCTTCGAAAATTTACTCCCTTAATGATATTTTGAATCACCACGACCACATTTTTTCAGATATTTCTGATGTTTTAATTTTAACGGCCACCTAAGTAGTACTGCTGTCTACCACAACTCTTAAAAACCCTAGAATGCCTGCAGTTTTACACAAAAATCCATCAAAATATTTTTTTTCCTTAAAATTTTGAAATATTTTTACCTTCAGTCGACTTTCACTCATCGTTTTGTAAAAAAAAAGTATGGACACCACTGCGGCAAGTTTTTTTAAAAATTGACGCAACTAACCAAGATTCCAAAATGGTATAATACTTTAATAAAACTAGGCGCCAAAAATATTGGTACCATTTTTAAGAAAGATTAAAATTCTTGATTATTGTTCTTGTTCATAATAATCACTTTTACTATGTGCCGAAAAAAGGTTATGTGTTGCAATTTCTTGGAATTTCAATGGCACGTGTGCGTAGTCGATACAATTTAGAAATTAGAGAGAGAGAGAAATACCGAGAGATATACGTTAGAAAGAGATAGATAGATGTCCTTTATTGAATAGCAATAACGCAGGTAGAGAAGTTCCGGTGCTCAGCAAGTCAGTACGCTCTGCACCTTTGTTTACTGCGCACCTTTCCGTAATCAATTGACGTAGCTCTCGTACTAACGACTTTTGGCTTGGCTTATTGGACTGGATTTAAGTGATCTGCAAACTAAATTGACCTGGCATCACTTTGGACTGTGAATTGGAGTTTTGGCGTATTTTGAACTGATTATCGTTTATCATGCCGCTACCATACACACCGGTGGAATACGCTAACATGCACCTCATTTATGGAGAATGTCGGTGCAATGCTAACGCTGCCAGCAGATTGTATCGAGAAAGGTACCCAAACACTGAAAGATACCCGGATTATCGAGTATTTTTGAATGTGCATCGAGCGTTTTCGGAGGGTCATTTTCCATCTGCCAGAAGAAACGCTGGAAGACCGAATCGGAATGCGATGAAGAAGTTCTCAATGAAATAAACATTGATGCAACTACCTCAGTACGTGCCATAGAAGCAGCTACGGGAATCCCAAAAAGTACGGCACATCGAATTCTGAAACGTCACAAGCTCCACCCATATCACTATAGGCGAGTGCAGACGTTATTGCCTCGGGACTATCCACTACGGATCGCATTTTGCCGTGTGATGCTGCAAAAACACCGGGAAGATCCCCAGTTCCTAGACAAAGTTCTATGGTCGGACGAAACAACCTGCAAGAAAGATGGCTATTTAAATCTTCACAATTTACATAGTTGGAGCAATGAAAATCCGCACCTGATGAGACAAGACAAATCCCAATATCAATTCAAGGTTAACCTGTGGACAGGCATATTAAATGGAAAAGTGATTGGGCCCTTTGAGTATTTTTGTTTTTCTAATATGCATTCATTACGATCTCCAGTGAGGAATATCGTATTAATGCATTCGTTGATTATAATAATCTTTGGGCATGCAGGTAATCGTTCAGCCAAAGAGGTCGCTTTTGCTGTGCACAAATTAGAAAGATATTTGCTGTGTAAAATAACTCACATAGGCATGCCTATGAATGCGGTTCCGAACACAATTCCGAAGTGTAAGGGACGATGTTAATCTTGAGCTGTGAGACCTTAGGAGTTCTATTCATAAAGAAAATTAACGGTTTAATAATTTTTTTTATGTCGAATCGGACTATCATCCTTTCTGCATCGTGATTATGGTCTCAAAATGAGATTTTGTAATGTAAAATTTATTTAAGTTTTAACGACTAAAAAAACCTATTATAACAATAAATTTAACACGTCAATTTATGATGCATTTTAAATGATTTACATAATTTCATTCCAAGAGTTCCCGATTCTTTATTAAATTGTTAGACATATTTCATTTTTAATCTGTGTTTTTTGTGTCAAACGCTTGTCAAACTCCATGGGCCTGTGACGTCCAATTAAATAAGACCTCCATACCCAGTACGTAAGTTTGATATTTAGGTTCTGAATAAAATGGATGATGAGGATAATCTTCTATGGTCGGCTCAAATACTAGAGTGTTTCCTTAGCGTACATTGTATCGTTGTTCGCATCGCGTATCGCACGAATGTGAGAACGCGGCAAGAACGCGGCTTATAAGTCTATTAATCTATATATTCTTTTAAAACTGGCGCTGACACATGCCTAGTGGCCACCGAAAACAATAATGTTTTGTAAAACCGCGCTGTCATTTTGGTTTCTGTTATTGGCTGCCCATTAACAGGCTTCGAAATAACGGGTTGGCATTTATTTGACGCGAATTTTCGGTTTGAACCGATTTTGTTCGCATTTAATTGGGCAATTTTCCGAAAAATTTCAAATACGTACTTAGTGGTAAGTTTTCCTGAAAAATTTCGCAACAATTGGAAATATGTAATTCTAATGCTCATATTATGTTCTACTTTTAGAAATATCTTTTGAAGTCTCATTTAAATATAAAATTGAATTTAGTATAAAATTGTTTATATAAAGGGAAATTATAGAAACACGAGATTTAAAATGATTGAACAATAGCGAAGAAATAATCCTTAGTAAAAAAATCTATAAAATGGCTATGGTGTTCGTTTAGTATCTTCAAATTTTGATAGGTGTTGACTGTCAAATGGAAAAATGCAGGAAAATATTGGAAAAAAATATTTTAAACACAGATCACACACACAATATTCAACATATCGACTAACAAAAATAAAAGTGATGTTACTTAGTTTAACATGCTCGATGGTTTAACACGACAATGTGACATGATAATGTGATTTCAAGGATTTAGTGACACTTTATGTATGTACTTTTCCGCATTTAATATGTAATAATGTTGTTGGTGTCTCGAATTTTGCATAAAGGATTTTTATAATTACTACTGTGAGTTCGATAACTTAAAAAAAAACTGATCGTTATGTTTACGTCACTACAAATCTTTTGATATATAATTATATATTTTCTTGTTATTTCTAATATTGGAAGATGCGCTGAAAAAGACGCCACTAGAATTTAAGTTGCAAATTAAAGTAAAAATTAATTAGACTTTGTGTTTAGTCGGTAGATGTATTACTATAAACGAATGATGTTGGTTTTTGACTTATGTGCTTTAATCTGCCGAGCGACCTTTTGTTTAATAACTGTGTTTTGTTATCATTAATTAATTGTTAGATTCAAAAGATGTGTTGCTGGGAGTTTCTTTCGCCGTTTCTTCTCCCATGCGTTAACACCTTTACGAAACGGTAGTAGCTTTCGTTATTAATAAACAGATATAACTGAAAATACAGTATTTTATTTTAAACCACAAAACATTAGCATTATGAAAAAGTAACTAGGACCGATGAAACCGTAATTTTTACCGTAAAAGTGCGATACAGGACATCACTAATAGTAACCGATCCATAAAGGTTTGAGGCGCGTCACTATCCGGTGCACTAGCGCCACCAGCGTGCTGTCACGGGTCACGGAACTACCTCTACGAACGTTCCGTTATAGGGCCTGTTTCCTATCTGTTCCTACTATATCTTTCTAATTTGTGGATTTCGTCGATATGGGCTGGTTAAAATCGGTCGCGAATTATTGACCATATCCATGGGCTCTATATAACATGGTCGCTTATTATTGATTCCGAAGTGCAATCTTATTTCTTCTGCACCAATTGCACCATAGATACTACAATGTTCTGCATCACAAATCAGAAAAATTTGTTCTTTGAAAGGCGCACAGACTATTAGATGCGAAGGGTGTATGAAATTTTTGTTAATTAGATCATTTCTCTTTAGATTTTTCATTTTTATAAAGTCATAGCTAGGCATAGAGTACAAGGCTAAAATAAAGCAATAATACCGTTTTTGCAGTGGTTTATAATAAGGTAAGTTGCCTATGTCTCCTTTTATTTTTCTTTGATTTTTGTTGTAATTTGTACAGAGTGTATTCAGAAAATAATGTTGTATTATATACCGCAAATATTTGGCTGGTTGTGTTAGGTACGCCTTTTCTAAAGACACAAAAGTATAAGGCTCGCATCGTACACTTCGCACGTTACAAAATTTACCAATGATTAATTTACAAAGGTAGTATAGGTTCGAAAGTACAGACGTTTTCGTGTGTAATTTTTCATCAGTATTACTTTCTATTTTAATAAGGATCGAAATACCACTCTGCACATCCACCATAGAGCTTTAAATTGTACAATGTTATCTTAGGTTAATTTTTCAGCAATGAAGCTTGTACAAAGTTCTGGGGAAATTCCTGAACTTAAGAAATCTAATGTTCACATAAAAAATGAAAAAGAGCTGATTCAGAAAGTGAATAAGATAATTAATGATGGTAATAAAAAGCTACAGATTGTGACCGACTTTGACCACACTCTTACAAGACACACTATGGATGATGGCAGCATGGTTCTCACAAGTTTTGGTAAGCAAACTGTAAAACAACATTTTAATAATGAAGTAACAGAAAATGCCTAAGAGAATATAATTTTTACCATTATAGAAAACAAGTAAAAATATAAATTAGTAAAAAAACATGTTAACAAATAAAAAAGTTACCTACTAACATTTTGATGATCTCAATGGCCCAGCGGTTAATACTGGGGACTCTGTAAGGAGTTCCCGTTTTCTGTTCGATTTTAATAGTCATTCAGTTACATTTTCTCTTAGGGAGACAATGAATTTAATGATTTTTTTGCATAGTGTTAAATTTTATTGTTTTTTTTTTTTTACTAATGAGTATAGTAAAACACTGATCCTATAGTTGAAATCTAGACTTTGCTATGTAAACTTACAGAATTTAATCAATTCAGGCACAGTATTTAAATGTAAGGCACACGAAAATGTCAGCATTTAGTGCTATATGTACTGCTTACATTGATTCAATATAGTATGTTTATTGTAAATCACTGAATTTTGTCAGTAACTTGTTGATACTTCTCTATGGAGATGCAGGATGTGGCAATTATATACACAGAAAGCACTTGGAAACCGCTCTGTAATGCTTGTAGTTGGTTATTTGAGATCCATATAGCAAAAGGGGGTACTAATACTGATATTTAATTTTACAGTTCCTCTCCAATTTGCTTTTGACTATTTGGTGAACAGTTGGCTAACAGTTTTCCAAATCCTGGAATGTGTTGACATAATGTCCAATTAGTGACACTACCTCCACATCCAGCAGCCACAGTGCAAACAGTTTGGGGGACCAAGCATCTACATACATAATAGTTATAAAAAAGGGAAACACTGCCAGAATTTGGGCATCTAAATGCGGGAACCCAACTAAAAAAATACTCAAATAGGATCTATATTTTTTTTGTAAAAAAGTAACAATAAAACTGACACAGGTGATGATTGCCACAAATTAGATAGAGATATGATGGCCATATCTTACTAATACTATTCTTTTAAAATTGGAGCTGGCACACGCTTAGTGGCCGGCTCAAATTATAATGTTTTGTAAAAAGTCATGGAACAAAAGTTGTTGTTTATGATGATGTTAGTAATATAGACCTGCAAGGTTGTTAGTATTTTAAAAATAACTCTGTATATATTGATAATTTAAAAAACATTAAAAGCACTCATTGATTGCTAAATTTCTTAAACTCAGGTATGTTTAGAGAATGTCCATCAATACCTCAGGAATATAAAGATGAAGACGTCCGCCTATGGGCTCAGTACAAGCCGATTGAGGATGACCCCAATATGACCATTAAAGAAAAAACCCAGCACATGATTGAATGGTACATTGCTTCTAATAATATGCTTAAGTAAGTATAAGTAATTAAGTACATATTTGAAGGAGACCTGAAATTTATTTTTTGTTTTATTTGAAAAAAAAAAAAACAATGTGCTCTAGATAAAATTAAACTTTTTGTATATTGCATTGAAGTAACATTCAGCAATCACATAAGAAATAAAAAACATATAAAAACAGCAACATATTATTGGGCTTTTTTTGCCTAGGTATAAGCGCTGTGGTAGCTACAGGTAGCACAGCGTCTAGCACGGTAAGCTAGAAGACGTCGGTTCGAATCCGGCCGGATCGAAGGAATTTTTTCTGCGTGTTCGATCTTTGTATTATGATATAATTTTAACAAACTAGTGGAGTAATTTCACAAAAAATAATTGAATATCAATTCAATAAAAACTTAAAATAGCGACATCTCTCGCTAGGACTGGTAGCTGTAAAGGTACTAGCTGGGTGGTAAATCTTTCATAGATGTCTCAGATGGCTCTACGACTAAAAAGTCGTTGAAAAACCAAATACAAAGACTCGTGTCAACAAGCACATAGAAAAATTCGTGAGGTCCGCTGGTTCGTTCCGTGGCTTAGTTGGTATAGCGTCTGGCACGGTAAGCTAGAAGACGTCGGTTCGATTCCGGCCGGATCGAAGGAATTTTTACTGAGGGTTCTACCTTTGTATTAATAATTAAAACTTTAGTTTATAAAGTTCTAGTGTGTGTGGCTGTTGGCGCAGGCGTCATGGCCTCGGTCTTAAACGACGATTTTATTTTATGCACTAGAGCATAAAATCCTATTTTATGCAGCCTACACCCAGCATTAATATGAACTTTAAGAGCATGAGAAGTGAAAAAACATTTTGTAAAGTTATTGCCGGTGCGAAAGTTGAAATGCTATATCACGGATTATTGTGGTTTTATATTATAATCATTATATTTGCGTACCTTATTATTGAATAATAACTGAAGATAAAATTAATGCAGCTTGTATTACCTCCGAACAAAATTCGGTATTTTTCGTAGATTTGTTACTTTTTACATATCTGTCTACACACTTCTATACAATTAGTACTGTATTATTCTTATCTATCCTAAATGACTATCTATTGATAACTGTTGTGGTGAAACAATTACAATATTGCAATTATGGTTGCTACACGTCATTGGAATATCACCAATACCGATACTAGATAAAAGGTATGAAACCTTAATGGTTGGTTTATTTAGATAGAAGAAGAAAAATCCTGGCTACTAACACAAATAAAAGCAAAATATAAAAAATTTGATGATCTGAGGTTCGAACTCCAGACATTCAGTATTCATACTTTGGACAAAGAAAACTCTAGACCATGCCATGTGTGTCTAAGTTTCGAGCGAAAAATACATATTTTTATCTAATTGAAAGATTGTACGTGAAAAGTTGTAATTATATCCTTCCGCATAAAATTAATAAAATAAATAGTACAAGCGCAACTACAGTCAGTAATTTTATGTGGAGGGTGGGTTGATAAAATTAACTGCATGAAAAAATCAACACAAGCGATATTTTGCACGATTTAACCTTCACTGGGTTTGCGGAGTAGCAAATTAATTTACTTCCGTTTTTATTAACATGGACTTCCGCAAATTAACGCCTGAATCTATTAATCAATTATTGTGTATTTTTGATTATGATATAATTATCATTTTTGTTTGACGATCTCAATATAATTTATTCTACTTTGACATGTGCAATTTATACTGTAATATTATATTTGAGAAATAAACGAATCTGGGGGGCTACTCTCGATCTCCGTCCGACATCCGTCCGAAACAATTCCTATCAAATAAGTAATATTCGACAAAATTAAAAGACAAGTATCCAGTATGAAGCTTCATTCGCATCACGTCTTTTCTTTTGGTCAAGTATTGCTTATTTAGACCCCCTGAATCTGAATTCTGTTGTTAGGATGAACGTAGGTTATAGAGTGAAATATGTTGGTTTACAGACACAAACATGTTTATTGTTTTATCTTCAGAATGTATGAATGTCGCAAACTCAAATAAATTAAAATGTGAACTTATTTGCTAACAAAACTAACTATGTTCCATTCACCATAACGACCGGTATTGCGTTGCTTATTTAGTAGCAGTAGAACTCCTAGTGAATGAGTTTTTGAAGGGTAAAGGTGCTGGTAAAATTACAGGCACATGGTACTTTTCAACTTTGTCTCAGAGTGACGGGTGCAGTGGCAGTGCCCCTCAGATCATCCAGCAACCTTCTCCAGGTCATTAGTACCTTGTTGTCTTACCCACACCGCGTGTTACCACTCGAGAACTATCTGACTCCAGCGCAAGATCGGACATTGTGGTGATTTTTAAGGGAGACCTAAGTCGTCATTCAGCTGAAATGGTGATGATGCTTCATTATATATCGCGGTTACCAAGGAAATAATAACGGAGCTATGTCGATGTGGCAGAAAGAGGTTTAATAATAAATAACTTCTTCTTTATTAGCTAGCTAGCAATCGAAAATTAGTATGTAGACAAATAATAAATAAAATTTATATTTAATCGGGCACAAAGTAACTACAGTTCTAATGTCTTTATTAGCTAGCAATCGAAAATTATAGTAGACAAAGCCTTAGATATTTATAGTTTATGAGTGCTATCATGCTGAAATACTTCCAAAATATTGATTGTATATGTTTTGGTGAAGAAAATAATAAATATAATGTACAATCTGTTACTGCCTCCTTGGCCGAAAGTTTACCATGCTGGACCGCCACGCAGAGGTCCTGGGTTCGTTTCCCAGGCTGGGAGAAATATTTGTATGGCCTACAATTATTTCTCTCATGAGTGTAATTTGTGGTTGTCTATGTGGATGTCCATGGCACCCGCGATACAGGTTATCCTTAGTACGGGGCTATGAATGTGTGCGTTATTATTATTATTAAGAACAAGAGCACGACAAGCGTGAGACTTAAGATTTAAATTCAATGCTCCACAATGTCAAGCTTGATGTGCTCTGGGCTGTACGTTATTCACCAAAGTGGGAAAGAGAATGTGACAATCGACAGTTTTTGTTATTTTAACTTCTAAAATACTAATTCTTGGCCGGCTAAACATTATATTGTCAGCATCCGTACAGTTACTCACTGGAGCTTGAATTTACCCGTTCCACGCCCTTGGCGTGAGTGGTCCCTTTGTCCTTGCATAGCAGAGACGCGTAATGGCTTGCACCGTTTACTCGCTGTGGAAGTCCACACATAAGATTTTGTGCTGCCAGGCTGTTTCGGCGATAGGCTTTCAGCGCAATTAATAGAGATATTCATAAATAAGATTAATCATAAGTAAATAATTACAATTTATATTGAAGGAGGCACATACTATCATAAATTAAATCAACTCCCTGTATACTAGTAAAAACGAATTTTTCTTTTCTTCTAGAGACGTCGTTTTCCCTCGAAATGAATTGACGGATGTTGGCAAAACTATGGTCGATTGCTTTAGGTGAGTATATTTGTCCGTGCATTGATCATAAAAACAACTGTAATGTGACGACAATGTTATTACTTATTAGTAATTACAACACGTTCTAATCGGTACAATGTACTGATAGCATAGTAGAATAAAACAAGTAGGGCAACTCCGTATCAAATAACAGAGCGGTTTGTGTGTGTGCGGTACCGTCTCGCGACATGTACAGACAAGCAGTGTTGTGCAACGGTAGAGCTAGGCTATCCAAATGTGTGCGTCCGTATAAGGCGCGCACACGCACCAGTCGCGCTGCTACGGTTGTGCGGAGTTACCGTACTTGTTCTTATTCTGCTACGCTAGTCCTATTGTCATTGTCTCAGTTTTTAACGCGGATCATGTACTCGGAAATCGGACGGTGTGACCCTAAAAAGATCTAGCATGTTATGTAGCATATTATTTTACATGATATATGTAACTTATGCAGATCGATTTTTATTCAGAATTACTATTTATTATTATTAAACCGGCAATTTGTAGAGAAAGTCATACAGTCTTATTATATAGTATTGATTATAGCGCCCCTCCCTATCAATTCTGGGTTATACGGGAAGAGCACTATTAGGTAGTGTGCAAGCAAACCCGCACAGGGACCTTATCAGTGGTCCAACACAGATTTTATCTGGTGCTCAAAAGGCTATGTTGGCGAGACGCTTGCCTTAGCAGTTTTAAGAAGAAGGCGAAGGGCAAAATAATTAAAGTATCCCTCGGAATATTAGGGACGTATGACAAATGAGTATCAAAAACAAGTCAAAAGGAATGCAAATTTGAAAGGAATGAATACTATATAATCTCAGTACGAAGTCCAAAAAAACCGACTTCAAAAGTCATTCATCCAGCCGAACATACAGTCGAATTGAGAACCTCCACCTTTTTTTAAAGTCGGTTAAAAACGTATCAAAATGTGTGTGCTCGCTCTACTTGCCTCCCATTATGCACTACACAACTAATAGTTGCCACCGCTACTCCGTTGAATCTAAATTCAACTACCTTTCCGTTTTAGAGCCAGAGCTGTTGCTCACCTCCCGACGCTCCGATGCGTCTCTCTAATTTTCAAAATTCCTAAGTAGCCGGAGAGGGCGGAGAATATCTTGCTTATACTCTACTAGTTGTCCGGACTAGTACCGGATATGTCAGTCGCAGTGTCGATAGAATAATAGGCCCTCGTAGCTGCGCACGGGATAGACGCCCCGGCAACAAGCTTGATACTTTGGACTCTTCTTATCGCAAGTGGCATAGGGTTCAATTTAAATCTGAAGTGTCGGCTCAAACTCTATTATTATTCAACAGGTAATTTGTAGAGAAAGTCATGCAGTTGATATTTAATTACAATCAAAAGCACAAGCTTTATTAAACTTTACGTACGTGCTCTTGACGTACTTAGCGATGGTGGAATGAACTCATTTTTATACTTGATTTATTTTATGAGAAATTTATTTCTTTCTGTTATCTTTTTTGCTACAAGGAAAGGAGTGAAGGACATGATAACTTGGAGTGAGACACAGCAAGTGCCTGTCTTGGTGTTCTCGGCGGGACTAGGGGAGTCTGTGCTCGCTGCTATGAAGGCTGCCAACTTCCTTCTGCCACATGTCAAGGTATACCTTTTAGCAGCGTTATATTAGTTTGTAATTTCACTACGATTTGCTCTTTTTAATCTTCTCAATATGATTACGGCAATTTCTGCCACGCAGAGATCCTGGGTTCAACTCCTGGGCCGGGACACATTTTTGTATAGCCAACATTTATTTCTCTCTTGAGTTTGGGTGTAATTTGTAATTATTTATGTCTGTACAATTGCACCTGCGATATACGGTTTCCCTAGTGCGGGGTTACGAGTGTGTGCGTTATTATTATTATTATTATCAATCCTGCTTATTGGCTTTATTTATTTGTGTGTATTTGTGTGGTCGAGTGTATGTGCATATGTATACGTGTGTGTTGAAAATCGTGTTGAATACGTTGGTTCTTTGTTTAAAAAAAAACTATATTTTGCTTTGTCTAAAAGGTGGTCTCCAATTTTCTGGATACAGACAGCCATGACAAGATCACGGGCATAAAGGGCGAGGTAATACATTGTTACAACAAAAACGAGACTGTAATAAAACACACGGAATACTACGAAATGGTCAAAGACAGAAACAACGTGATCCTTATGGGCGATAATTTAGGTAACGTTATTTTTTTTTTCATTTTTGGTTCGGTTCCAAAAATAGGCAAGCAACTTTTAAAAGCCATTTAATTCACTATTATTATTTACTTTTAAAAATAAAATTATGTCTCCGTGAAGCACATTTTTTATCATCATAGTATTTTAAGTACTAAATTTAAGTACGAAACCATGCTCAAATTGATAAAGCACTCTTAAAACAATGTATTAATAGTTTATTTTGCATTGCAAGCATTGGATTAAGATAATGAACATTAGAGATCGCCGGTCAAGATTGCTTGTTGTTATTTAAAGTGAAACTAAAAGTTCATATTTCCTCGTAATATGGTCCATTTGTCCATCCTCGAACACATTCCGCCTTACTATGATGATAAATAAATTATGTCTATCTATAATATTTAAAGCACTTTTCCACCGTGTCTCATAGCCTGACGGGTGCAGTGGCAGTGCCCCTCAGGTCTATCCGATTTAAAGCTCTGAGTAGCACTGCAACTGTTATCGACAGGCGTATGTATAGCTTACCATCAGGCACACGACGCGTTCGTCCCGTCACTTGCTATTATAAAAAAAAACGCCCTGTATACATTAACTCGTTCATGGCCAGTACTTGAATAGTACCGCACACAAAATGTCACTATTTTTCTTTATGCCGTAGTGTTTATATATTGATTGAACAATGTAAATAATTGAATTTGTCAGTACGTTGGCGATATTTCTCCATGGAGAAGCAGTAGGCGGGAACTACATTTGTGTGTAATGCTTTAGCATTTGGAAATTGATCTGTAAAACCCGTAGCTGGTTTTCTGAGATCCGTTTGGCGAAACGGGGTAGCCTGTACTATCGTATGTCCCTGTCTACTGACCTGAGAGATATGGAGTTCCGGGCAGACTACGGGCTCTCCGGTAAGACCAGGGTACGTTGGGTATCCGGGCCACGCCCTCCGCCAGTGATACGGTTTCACGGGCATCTCTGGTGGACTCGGACGTGGGTATGGACTCGCCGAGGATTTTTTTTTATCGGTTTACAAATTTATTTATTTAGTTTGTACAACTTACACTCACAGTACTTATAACTAAACATGTAAGTCATAGTCACAAAAAAGGTTGAGTCGATCACCTGCCAAAGATAAGATGCGGAATTTGGACCACAGAGCTTTGGGCGGTGACGCCTCCAAATAGTAGTAACCAGCGGATGTTAGAAATTTTGATTCAGTGTTGCTGAACACGTCAGTATCACTTGTTTTGCTTAACGATTCAATTACGGCCAATGCTTCGAAGAATGGTGTCCGTCTTAGTGTCACTGTGCGGGTTAAATGAAAGTTGAATAAAGGGTATTTGCGCTGACGAAAGACGTAGCGAGAGATTAGCGGGATAGAAAAAGGAATTTGAGCCAATAGAGGAGGGTTAATTATACATCCTCTTATTAGGTTAAAAATATATTTTAGTAGCGCCAGTTTTCGCTTGATCTCAAGCGATCTGTACGATACCATGCCCAAAATAAAGGGTGTAGGGTACATAAGGATAGTACCCATAAACTTTACTATACAAATACCTCAAAAATTATTTCTGGATTCGTTCTAACATTGCTATATAGAGTTTATTGTGGGGATTCCACACTGCGCACGTAGCTTCCAATTTACTTCGAACCAAGGCATTATAGAAAGGACAAATTGCCTGTTGATGGTCAAAAAACTTAGATTGCCGCTTGATGAAGCCAAGACTTTTCCAAGCACTATTACATATATCGATAATATGATCGTTAAATTTGAGTTCAGAATCGAATCTTACTCACAAATCACGAACAGACTTCACACGGTTCAAGGTCGTGCCCCCGAGGTTTTCATTGAGGAGCTCATTGAGGATTGGATCTCTCCGGGAATAAGACATCACTGAACACTTTCCAACATTCATCTCCAAGCTGTTGTCCCGGCTCCAAGCGAAAATGCTCTTAATATCAGCTTGTAGTTGATCAAAGACCGCGGTGCACTTCACCGGCAAAGCGAGTTTGACATCGTCAGCAAACATAAGGCAGACAGAAGATTTTACAGATGTAGGAAGGTCATTTACAAGCAGTAAAAAAAAGAGAGGGCCGAGACTGCTACCTTGCCCTATACCAGAAGCACCTGTAGAAGGGGAAGATTTAAAGTTTTCAACCCGCGCGCTAGCGCGTCTTAGTAGCGGCCTAGACGACGGCTTAAGGACAGAAGACGCATGGAGCGCGTGAGTTGCCCTTTAAGTTGAAAGCTTTGTCTGGACATTGTCGCAGGAAACTGCGACCGGCATTTCCTGTAATAGCCCGTAGAGCGGGTAGAAGATGAGCTACATTCTTCCGGTCCTTCCAGGCGCGCAGGTTTCTTTGGTACTGGAGAGACGCGTCAAATCGGAGCGGAGATTTGCAGTTTGATTTTGATTGCCTCTCCCGATTGGAAACTGCGTCTCTTCCGAGTCGAGGCGCATAATTGCGATTCACTACTGGCCGATCGGAAACTTTTGACATTTCTAATCGGAACTAGAGTTGATTTAACTCACAAATTAGAAAGACATAGTAGGAATCAGGTTCATCTTCTCGCTCAGAAACCCATCTGATTTTGACACTATTTAGATATATAGTTTCCGATTTGAATCAAAATCAGGACGTGGATACCAAAGTGGACTTTAGAGCTCACGGCTCAGCGGTGACAACCGTTAGTTGTGCAATGCGCAACGGGAAGTTAGCGTGCCGGTATTTCACTACAGTTCCGATATTTATCTGGAAAATAGCAGCAGCGGGGCAGTTCTTCAGCCTTTTGAGAACCGGATGAAGCCTGTGCGAACAGGCCGATTTGGGGTCAGGACCTGACTAAAAAGGTCCCTGTGCCTGCCCAGGGTATAGTGCCCTTCTCGTATACTCTTAAGAGCGCTTGCGCACTACGTCCGATTCGTACCAGTTCTGAATCCGAGAAATGACGGTCCGAAATGTCACAGGGACCATTTTATCTCTAGTTACACAAGCGATATTTGTATTCGTTCGTATTTTCTCGGATTGGAATAGGACTTAGCGCACAAGCGACACTTGAAGTCGGTCCAAGTTTTCTAGATTTGTATAAACATGGCTTCGGGTCGAATACGAGTTTAAGCTTCGGGTCGGTAGGGAGGGTCACTATAATCAAAACTTACACAAAAAAAAAACGCGGGGTGTATTATCTATCATATTGTGATGTATAATTTTACGGCAAACGATACTGTCCATGAACGGGTTAAAGTACTATTTACTGAAGTCCAAGCTTTGTTGCTGAAGTATTTTATTGTAATGACATCTAACATTTTATAATATCGGTAAATTGTCGAATGTTTGTTAACTAGCATTCATTTAATGTTGTAGGTGACGCGGGCATGGCCGAGGGCATGGAACACTGCGATGTAGTTATTAAGGTGGGATTCCTAGGAGACAACGTCGAGGGAAACCTAAACAACTACCTCAACACTTTTGATATAGTACTAGTACGTGAACCTTCAGTGGATGTAGTTAATGCCATATTGAAATTAGTGCTGTGATTTTTATTAGTCGTGATTTAATTGTATTGCACCTGTCAGTGTACTTTACACTGTTTTTATTTTTGTACAAAATGTAAGCGTCATTTAATGCATCGCGGACTGCAGCACACTGGTTGCACTAGCAGTTGCCAATTGTGATACAATTGCGCCAACTGCATTCCAACGGGTATTTTGCAGTTGAAATGCAACAAGTATGATTACACCCTTATGTTTACGTTATGTAAACAAACGGGTAAACGTCATAATGGCTATTTTATCGTTTTAACATGACACTGTTGGATTATTTTTCTTTTAAATGTTATTTGTTCTAAAACTATTATATTATTTATTATTATATTATGTTAAATATTAGTGATTCTTTTCCGTCTGAGAGATATATTATGGTATTAGTAAATTTTTATAGGGAACATTCATAAACTGTTTTACGTCTTCTACTAATGCTAATCTGTTTGTAACGAAGACAAGAACTCTTGAGAGATGATGTGCTAAGTACGTTATTTTAACGCATTCACTGCCGGCAACGCACATAATTCGTTCACCTGACTTACACCTACTGCCTTGCTACGTGCCTTGAACGCTACTGTGAGTTCATACATTTCGAAAACTTCGCCCAGTGCCGTCAATGTATGTACATACGAGTCATACGTTACGTTTTCATCCGTTTAATTTTGCAAGGGTTTGCATAACTGAAAATATATTCAAACGTAAACATAACTATATAAAACTAAAACATTCATTTACAGGTTTATAATTTATTTTTATTACGAACAAGTAAATAAAAATTATGGAATCCCTCTTTTTAGGGTATATAGGCCGTCGGAGTAAGCTTATTCTAGCGTGGACAGTAAAACACCTTAACTTCAAAACGGCGTAACGACTAAATCTAGATTTTTTTGCGACTAGAACCGACTATCACTTTTTTCTGGCTAGTCAAATTTCAAAAACTCGACACCCGTTTGAGGCACTTGGCGAAAGTTCGAGAAACGATGCTGGCAGTTGCAGCTGTAAGTCGCACAAAGCGCATAGTAATGTTTATTTTGGAATAATAAGGAGAAATAAAACAAAGTGATAAAGAAATTAAATATCTTGTTATTATTATAAAACAACACATATTTGTATGTATTTTCTAGTCATTAATGAGTTTGCAGCGCGGGCACCGAGTAGACGACAATTTTGTTTATTGCGAACACTATCACAACATGGAAATGTACGTGGAACTAGGAAAAGGCATTTTTTCTACTAACAACTTAATTAACAACTCGTCATTGCAATGATTCAATTAAAACTTCACTCGTTACCGTAACAGGCCACAAAACTTCTATAAAAAACAAAATGTAATCAAAGAATAGTTCGGTGCTGATAGATTCGATTTTAGTCGGACTTGTTTGTGTGACTGATTACAATCATGCTATATTCTACTTGTTTGTTTATGAACGCAAACTTGTAATGCGTCTCTTGTTTTTTTTAAATACGAAAACTATATTCGTCTAAGATAGTGCAATTACGCGTAACTAGCATTGGATTAGGAGTTTCCATTTCGAAAAATCAAATCCGCGTAAATGTCGCGGCAACCACCTTGCGTGATTTATGGGAATCTATTATGAGTCCGTAGACAATATAAATTAATGCTTACTGTGCAAAAATGAAAGTCGTAGCCATTGAAATAACAAAGTAATAACGTTAATTCCCTCCCCTGTAAAAGTTGGTTTACTGCAGATACGCGCCTTTTACCATCCATAACCAAAGCAAAACTCATAACATCTCTATGGAAGATCGTTGAAGACAATAAGCATAAGTATATAACGATATAAAAATGCTCTGCAAATTCTAACTTTCGTTGAACAAAGACTAGTAATAATTAATTTACCCTAATTGCCTTTTAACAGAATGGTGATAAAAATAAACTATAGCTAAAGGGTCACAGAGTTATCTTTAAAGACTTATCGAATATTCGATGATTTCATAACTTTTTCGTGACGTTAGTACGATAATTAAAGAAAGAAATATACTTGTAGAATTTAGAGTCAGCTTATGCATAAACTTGTACTAACACATATTTGTTATAAACTAAATTCAATGATTTACATTATGGCAAGAAGTACCTTCAAACGACGTATTCGAGGCAGATATCTCCGTAAAAATGACTGGAAAATACATCTTTCATCACGATACCCTATTAGTTTAAACGATGTGAACAAATTAAAAGCTCTAAAATAAACAACAGTCTTAGAACATACAAGTTATTTACACAAAGATTGTTTTATATAAAAATATCCTACTGTACATATAACAAACATCGTTCATGTAGAAATATATAATTTGTTTTTATGTACACAACTAGAAACAATATTAAAATAGACAAATCTTGTTAGGAATCGTTCTAATAGAGCGAGGGTGCGTGAAATACACTCGTGTAGCAAGTAGTAAAAAGGCACTTGTTTTCAGGTATATTATAAAGTTCTATAAAGGGTCTAAGAACACATTATAGTATTGGTCCTGTGTTATTTGACAATAAGAACTGGATCGGTACATCACAAAAGAACGATTTAATGGAATGTTGCTTGTGTATTTGTGTATGTATTTTAAGGAAATGGTTTAATTAGTAGTATACGCTACTTGACCATAAGATGGTCATTCTCGGACTAGTAAGTAATTTAGTAGTGAACACACTACCAAATTTTCCTGGCAATTTTTATTATTTAAGTATTACACTTTTTTATCGTGCAATATTAATTAATATTCGAGTATTGTATCGTGAAATATTATTTAATATTTACTCGATAATTATACTTGAGTATTCAAATATTTAAATAATAAAAATTGCCACGGATATTAGGTAGTGAGCACTAGTTCGTGAATGATCGGAGAATAACATTATAAATGTGACATAATAGATGAATTTATTACTCAATTGTGTCGTAACAGATTTGGGTGAAATTTTGTGATAGGATAAGGGCAAAGGTCCTTTTAATTTCTGGACAGAAAAAGGTGATTAAAAGTAAAGTTCTCTACTGTGTTTCCATAGCACGAACACTTAAGATAAACTGTTGAAACAGTTAAGAAACAGAAAAACAGACACAAATATTATAAGAGTATTAAGATTATTTCAAACCAGTATTATGTAAGTTTGCAAGCAATTGACGGGTGTATTTCTTGCGAAATATTAAAAGGTACGTCCCAATAGTGAGACAGTCTCGGGCAAGGCAGCGATTGTCGCTAGATATATAGAATACACTCTACGGGGAAGCCAACCAACATCACAACTATTCACCTAGAAAAATATGACTCTTCACCGAACGGTGTTTCATAATTTCATCATAAATATTTTTTTATTTTTAACATCAACGCGTCTAGTTTAACGTTATAGACTGGAAAAGTTTGTTGCGTGTGTTGAACTTTTGTTAAGATTTAACTTGCACTGGAGCAGATATGAATACAATTCGAACTAGGGGGTCTACTCTCGTTCTCCGTCCGAAACAATTACAATCAAATATTACTTTACGACGAAATTAAAAGACAAGTATCAAGTATGAGCTTCATTCGCATTATGCTTCTTTGAATTTGGTCGAGTATTATTTATTTGACAGTAATTGTTTCGGAAAGAGAGTACAGGGCTTGAGACAGACAGCAAACAGTTAATTGCCAGCCAAATCTGTTAATCAAGGATACTTTCAAACAGCCTAGCAATTAAAGTTAGACGCATTGGCGTATCATTCAACAGTCATATATGAACACTTTAATTTATAACAAGGGCCAACTCTACCCGGTTTGAAGTACTAAATGGCAAGTTTATCTCTAAAATGGAACACATTTTTGCCTCATTTACTGGCGTAAAATAATAGAACACTTCAAGACGTTAGAAATAGGATTTTGCAGATTTTTAAAATTAAATGTTATCGCAGATAAATCGTAAGAGAATGAAAGGGAGGTTTCAAATTAGACGCTTATAGCAGCGTCTAAGTAGTTTTCAGTTCACACGCGTGTCACGACAGTGGCGCCGCAACTGAGCTTCTTAATATTGTAGACAATTAGTGGTGCCGCGGCCGCAGTGCCACAGTGGCGCCACTGCAGTGCTTCTATAAGCGTCAAATTTAAAAAGAATTGAAATTTATTTGAAGTGTTCCAATTACGTCAATCTTAATATAAAATACCCGATTTTAGCGTCCTCTAGTTATTAAACAATTTGCATTCAAAAGCAGATTAGATAAGTACATAGACATAGTGCTCGGTCAAGTTCGAAAGCATATTTATACAATAGATGCACAAAACTGATTTAAAATAACACACCATTATTATAGTTTTTTCAGAATTGGCAGATCTATCAGTACGCTCCTTGTGTGGGCTTCGAAAGACTAAAGATTATGATTTGCAAGAAAATAAAGTATGGTAACTATGAGTTCAGATCAACAACAAAGTCAAGATAACATAATACATATTTTATTCCCTTACTAATATTGTTAATGCAGTCGTTTGTTACTTAATCGCATCCAGATTGTTCACCGCACTTTAATGAAATTTTATATTTTGGTATATAACATGGTTGTCAAGTGTTAACTCATCCATTTAGACAAGAAATTAGATTCTGTACGTACTGTAAACGTGTAAGGTTTCATCTGGACTTTTTTGTTATTTTAAAATTAATTTAGAGCATCATCAAAGGTACAACTTCACTTAAAATGGTATATAAATGCCCAAATAATAAGTACATGTTTTCCAATGATAAATTCTTTTTTACATTTTATTGATTTTATCGTTGATTTCTTTGCGCGTTTCACTAATAACTTGACGATTTTAAGATTCTACTATCCTTTTCTATACATACTAATTGAAAAAGAACATCGCTACTTTGTAAAATAATATTAAGGCTGATTTCAGATAAATAAATATACTATAGGTACAACTATGTATGTAAATTATAATCACGCTAAAACGCTGCGCAAACGACGCGTTCTTTTTTATGTATGGAGCTGTCAAAACTTACTGTAATCGAATACTGACTTTTATTGCTTCATGCGTATAAAAGAACGACGTCTGTGGAGAAATCTTATAAGCCCACGTTTGCCGTTGTATAACTTACTAGGCCACCTTCAAATTAGACGCTTGTATAAGCGAATAGTTTTCATTTAATATCTAGTCTGCGCTGCAGCTGCGCCACAAGAGCACCACTGTACCGCTTTTATAAGCGTCTAATATAAAGGCGCCCTTAGACGATTATTACCCGTGTGGTTTTGAAACCAGACTTAGCATTAATAAAACACGCGACATACTGTTATATTATTCAGTTTAGTTCTTATCTCTTTAACAGTCCCGATTCTTAATACATGAAATTATAATACAGAATTGATTCGGCCAGCCCAGCACGCGCTGACGCCTCCTTCAACTTGCGCTTGACGCTTGGTCCCGCTTTTCCGTACAAAAGCACATTATTACTACACTATAATACAGTTCTAATGACAGATCACAGCCTAAGTTTAAATTAAATGGTTCGAGGTAATCGGCCTGTGACCGATTCATTGGGACGTAGCCGTGGAAACTTAGTTTTATTTCAGTTATCATTTATAGATATAAACACAATACTACACGGTTCTAACGTACTATTACTTCTAGTCTTCATATATTTGATATAATATTCAACTGATATTCGAAATCACATTTTGTTCGGCTTCTAAATAACCGATTTTCATAAGTCCTTCGTTATAACATATATTCTCTATTTTCGAAGAATACAGGCATGTATAACATGACGTTAATTGTTAAGAGTTTCATGAAGATATGAACTCGAGGCTACGTCCCATCGGCCACTATGCAAGCACCAATGAGAAGAGAACCGCGACACGTTGTCACTGTCACGTTATCGCTGTTACGTCGGAAGTTTGCTTCGCAAGTCCGTCTTCGTCAGTCGATCTGTGAGAAAAAAATATTATCACGATATTTGAACATTTTAATCGTGGGCAAATTTACTGGCAGAATGATGAAATGAAGAACGATAAAGAGTTTAATTAAATTTTTATTGAATTGATATTCAATTCTTTTTTGTGAAATTACTCCACTAGTTTGTTATAATTATTAATACAAAGATCGAACACTCAGAAAAAATCCTTCGATCCGGTCGGATTCGAACCGACGTCTTCTTGCATACCGTGCCAGACGCTATACCAACAAAGCCACGGAACGAACCAACGGACCTCACGAATTTTTCTATGTGCTTGAGTCGTGTCTTTGTATTTGGTTTTTCAACGACTTTTTAGTCGTAGCGCCATCTATGAGAAATATATGAAAGATTTATCACCCAGTTAGTACCTTTACAGCTACCAGTCCTGGCGAGAGATGTGTTTATTGAATTGATATTCAATTCTTTTTTGTGAAATTACTTCGATGGATCGAAGGAATTTTTTCTGAGTGTTCGATCTTTGTATTAATAATTATGATAAAGAGTTTATTTAAGTATTATTTTATTACATATATTTTAAGTAATACTTCGCACCCTACGCGTAACAAGGCCACATCAGCAAAATGTTAACCTTTCAAGGGTGTTGTTTAAAAATTCTACTAACTTTTTATGTTTAAATATGAAATTTATAAAATTTCAAATATACATACTACATAATTTGTTTTATGTCGTTCATATTATTTTTATGATTTCCATGTGATAAAAGTACTTTTGATGAACTATCATAGTGGCTTTATAATACCAAATGTACGACTAGAATTTGTAATGAACAAACAACCATTAGAATTAAATTTAATAGTAGTAATGACCTAGTTTGGGGGACTCTGGTCTTCTATGTTCGAAGTCCCGTTTTTATAGTTATTTTCCAATAATGTTAGTAGCTTACTTTTGTGATTGCCATTTGATTTAACGAATAAGGAAAACATATTTTTCAAATCATTTCTAAATAGACTTATGGAATTATAGTTACAGTGTTCCTATTGAATTCTGCCGTGATGCCATTTACAGGGCTACCGCTTAACTGAGTCTGTTCCTGAGGTAGCTTCGCGGTGCGGGAAGAGTGACAGTTTACGTAATAGTTATGTCGTGCATACGGGATAATTTCAACAAGACTTTTCTGACGATATTCAATAGCAAGTTGATTGAAAAAAGTGCCTACCGAATTAGTCAATTGTTGTTATGTGAAACGATAATTCGAAAAAACTTTTTATTGATAATTGAAATGAATAGTCAAGCCATTTTGTCGCCTTACTTTCTCAAACTCGTATCTTGAAGCACAAAGTTACTGAAAAGTAAAAAAAGGATTGTATATTACAAATTTTGCAGTCTGATTTCACATCACATTTCCTTCATATTCATATACTGGCTTTTACGTTTTCTTAAAGTAATGCATCTAAATTAACACCCTTGATAAGAAATTTAAGATAAATAGAAAGTTTTGCTATCTCCTGAATAATCACTCTTCTTATGATACGACTTTGAGAAAGTAACGCATCGAATTGCCATTTTTTTCAATCACCTTGTTATTTTAAATCGTCAGAAAAATCTTGTTGAAATTATTTCGTGTGCAGTGCGACATACCTGTTACGTAAACTGATACTCCTCCCGCGCAGCTACCTCAGGAACAGACTCAGTGTAACGGTAGGCTAGGCGTTTTATAGAACGGCGGATTGTGATATCGTCTGCGACATATCGTGCTTGTTCACGTACCGATAGACGTGCGCAGAGGAGGTGGTGGTGTGGTAGTGTGCGGCATACGGCAGGCGGCGCGGCGAACGACGGCGCGTCATTACGGCGCGCCTCAGCGCAGACGGCCGTATCGAGTTGCGGATTGCGTGCATAGCCATCCTAGACACATTATACACGTTTACGTAACATATATAATACATTAACTGCCTCCATGGCGGAACTGTTACCATGCCGGACTGCCACGCAGAGGTCCCAGGTTCGATTCCCGGGCCGGGAGAAATATGTGTCCGTCAGGTCAGATAAACTGTCTTTTTAGAAGATACCTTTTGCAAAGGCGTTTTTTTTTAATAATTTTTTAAAGAAGCTTCCTAAAATAGTGAAAAAAAATTATGTTTAGGTAGAAATTAGGTAGTAAATAGTTATATGAAAAAAGCAAATTATATAATATAAAGTGGTCCACCCAACCTGACATCAGAGTGGCTGGCCACTTTATTTCTTTAATATTTCCGCTAGCGCAAAGGTATCAAATATGCCAATAACTAACTACTAAATAGTCGAAAATAGGTAGTAAACAATGAGCACAGTTTGATTTGTATATCTCGTTTGATCCAGCCATCCTTTTTTTTTTTTCCTGACGGACACGAAATATTTGTATGGCCTACATTTATTTCTCTTGTGAGTTTAGGTGTAATTTGTGGTTGTCTATGTGTGTGTCCATGGCACCCGCGACACAGGGTTTTCCTAGTGCGGGGCTATGTTGAGTGTGTGCGTTATTATTATTTGTCTAGTACAGCTTCAAATTACCCCCTACTCCATACTTTGACAGAAAAAAAAACGATTATTCAGCCTATTAGGACTTGAAACGGATCCAATTCAGCATAGTATATGTCACAGCTCGACTGCTGTAACGTTGGTTTTCAGTTGGAGCCCTTTTTATCAGGATCAGATAACGCAAAAGTACTGATGTAGATTAAAACTAAAATTATAACTTATTAAGTGACAAATTACTAACAATAGGAATTATTACATGAATTGTCTATATGAAATACTGCAAACCTTATTTGGCTTATTTTTCTGCTGTCCATTATCACCTAAGTGAGAAATGGTCAAATATGCGTTTTAAATAGCAAAAGATAGAGCACAAAATCCTCTTTTAAAAACAGTTAAAATTAGTTAACATGTTCGACTTATCGGAATTTACCCTAACGATGCATAGCTGAAATATCATTAAACAATTTTAATATTGAAAAACTGCGTTATGGTTTTTTATGTTATTTCAAAAAATTAATTTGTCACTTAGTCGCGTTTATTTATAATTTTTCTTTGTTTAAAACATTTTCAAAAGCAATTATGGTTTTATTTACCTGGGCACAAGGGCAGTGACGGCGGTTAGCGTTACGATGAGCCAGTAGAAAGGGTTAGCCGCGACATGAAAGATGACGTAGTAGGTGGATGGCAGGTTCCAGCAGTGGATGCACAGCGACTGCCACAGTATCGTCATCGTAAAGTACGCCATTAGGGACCCCGCCAAAGCGATCATGTGGATTACCGTCTGCCGAGCATTTTGTCAATTTTACTTTTTATTATGGCTAGTTTAAACCTATTAAGTGACGCAGAAATTAACTACGCTTTAACTTATGTGTGTAAAGAATCCCTTAACAGCTGTTAAGTAATAATCGATTGAGTGGATAAGTAGATTAGAATTAAACCTATTTTTCGCGACCCTGCCGCACCTCGCGCAATCCCCGGTAGGCGTGGCTTTTGTAAATTGAACTTTAGCAAATCTCTCCTGTAAAATTTGATCTCGTGAAGATAAAATACCTTTTACCAACGCTACATACGCGCCTTTGCACTATCCCCAACGAAGTGGCTTTACAACAATGTAGTTAGAAATACATAACGAGTTGTTAGGTTTTAGCAATTGTTACACATAGGAAATGAAACTAGTTTACGGGTACCATGGTCACGACTGACTCAGTTGGTTTGTTTCACAACATGAATATACGCGATTTAGACCCGAAAAAATAGAAATATATAGTTTGAAAGCCTTTTAAAGTTCTGTATTGCAATTTCAACATATTGTCCTTCGTTTGTGAAACGAATATAAGTGTATTTATAGTTTCATTAGAACACGAGAAAACACTAGATTACTTAAAATTCAGTTAAAATCAAGTTAAAGCGTTAATTACTGCGTCACACTATTAAATAATCTGTGGTATTACTTAATAAAGTTCAAATTAGCCATTACGTATCAACAATTTAGGTTGTTGGCTTTCAGTAGCTTTAACATAGTATGCCAAATGTTAACTGGATAGACAATATACACTATTAGGAATCTTATCGCCAACGTGAGCGTGAGTATTATATATATATATATATATACATATATATATCTATATGTATATATATATATATAATACTTACTTTTTTAACGATATATTTATATCACTTCCGAACACAACCGACAAACGAGCCAAAACAATAAATCGATATTATGTAATTACACGAGTCTACGCAATCACTTGCGCAGGCGGTAAGAGCGACTTAGAAATCATTCTTAAAGGCTGTATAAATGTAGGAAATATTTTATTTCAAAATTTTGCACACTATAAAATGTGACAAAACAATGAATTGCCAGACATTAAGATGACATGAAAGTAAAAAAAAATGTAAACAATTTACATGCAATTTCCAGTACAAAAAACAATTCCACAAGGTGCAATCAAACTCATTCATCAATTACAGTAACGTGTTAGTCACAACATAAAGAAACGGTGCTGTGTTCAAAGCACACAATTCAATCGAATAAATCCACGCTTACAACCACTTACAAGGAAACGAGAGAAGCGCTGCATGAAACATTTATTAACATTGGATGATGCCATTATTCAGATTTTATGAAAATTATATTATCACAATATGAAGGCTGATAAGTAATTTGGACTTTACAACGTTGGCATTAAGACAGACTCTGCCACCTATACTCGTAAATTTACAATAAAGAAGAAATTGAAGATGGCGAGGGATTAAAAAAATTCTTGTCATTCATGCGATTTAAAAAATAATTTTTAGTAAAAATAAATAAATAAATCGTTTACAACGAATAAATACATTAAACGGATGATATGACTTACCCAACTTCTAGTCTCGACAGCAACGAACAACAGCATAATAATGAGGCAGCACGTCATGTTATAAATGCCGAAAGCATACATGTCAATGTCGGTGTCCCAAAATGTGCACGCGTTCACGAAGTAGATCACTACGCTGATGTATAACGATTCGGCTAATACGGCCCAGTATGAATAGTTCTGGTACGTGAGGCCGCGCCGTGAGGCACTGTACAGGCCCGGCCGCTCCGTCAGCAGAGCAGCGGGCGCGCAACGGTCGTATACGCCTGGAAAGAATATATTAATCTATCAACATTTTATTGGGTGAAATTAATTAAAGTTGCAACGAATATTCGGTATTCGGCCTCGTTTTTGTTATTCGACCGAATACCTAAAAATAGGAGGAAGAAATAAGAAAAAAACACAACAAATTGTCATGTATTAAAGCTGAACATACATTGTAAATCCACGGAAGCGCAATTTTTCGCTTCTTTATCTAAAAGATGTAAGGAAATGTAACACTAAGTTATTTTTCTAAGAGATCAAAACAGGTAACATATCAAATGAAAACTATTTACTTAGTTTACTCATATCAGTCATGAGTAAATCCGGCTATTCTTGTTAAAAGTATATGAATAAAAATTGAAATCGATACTAATAGACCGATTGTCAAAATAATAATAAAGAAGGCAATAACGCAATTAGTAATTATTAGAACGTCGTAACATTCGCAATTCAATCATTTTTGGCAAAATTTTATCTTCTTTCACAATCTATCGTCAAAACTATCGACAACTACATAACTATCTAAAATTTTATGAAAACTGGCAACCCTACAAATGTCATTTTACTTCGTCTTCAAAAAAGTCAGACTATGCTTTGTTATTCCGCGATTCGCGTTTCTTAGGCCCAGTGTCGAACAACCGACAACTCCATAAGGGTGCCTCGTAGAGTGGCCAAACACGTGACGGCAAAATTTTTGGTGGTGGTGTTTGTGATTGACTGTTGTTGTGCTTGTGTTAGTTAATGTGTTAATTAATTTTGAAATGACAATTATGACAAAAAAAACTTCACACAAGCGCAACTACTATGCAGGATTTAACCTTCACTGAGTTTGTAGAATAGCAAAGTAATTTACTTGCGTTTTTGTTAATAAGGGTTTCCGTAACGTCTGAATCTATTAATTTAATGTAATTTTTATATAATAAAATATATTGATTTTTTATGTTATTTGAATGAAAAAATTTAAGGAAAGAACATCCGAAAACTTACCAATGACAAGTGGCGGAAACGCGGTGAACATGAGATTATAGAGCATCCAGTGCATCTGGTCGAACATTACGGTCGTCGCGAAGCCGCAGTACAGCTGGTACCAGAAAACGAGGAAAACAAACGTCTGCAAATTAATTAAAAAACTCTATTGTAGTAACGTTTTCTTTTGTATGTACGAAGGGTCATACGGTTATATAAACTGTCAAAGTTTCTATCGAAAACAAGTGAGCTGTGTTCATAAAGAATTAAAATAAACCTTTGAAAACCGTCTAAAATGTCCTACTGCAAGTTTATTTTACAATTATGACAGTTATACATAATATATCGAATAGTTATAATTTTTATACCTGATGACTTTTCAATATGTTTTCCAACTTTTTACGTTCTTTTTTAATTAGCCATAGTTGATCCTAAGCACAGTTCATCATTTTTCTCAACTCCATTGTTTGTGGAACAATCATGCAAACTGTCTAAGGCCATTCCACTTCAGACTTTCTCAGTATTACATACATGACAAAAAGAAAAAGTTAACAATAACCGTAATGTTGTGGATGCGTCTTATCTATGGCTTAACACTTACGGCATTTTTAAGGAAGAAGTAAAGGATCATCCTGGCCAGCCTGTCGTAAGACCAATGGCCGTGCACAAGTAGTAACCGTTCGATGTATTTGAACCGCGACAGTGCGAAGTCCGAAGCCATCACGGCTTGTCTGCCTTCTTGCCCTGATAACCCTGTTGGCAAAATTTTATACACTACTATTAGAGATGTTATGACTAATAACAACAGACAGTGGACGTAACTATTAGACCGTTTTACATGAAAAGTAAACAAACAGGTCATTGACTCGACCATAGGCAGTTTAGTGATGTACTGCCAACTATAAATCAATTAATTAATTGAATGATTGATTTGTTTAATTGAATCATTTGAAATAACAGTTCTTTTTACGATTTCGCTGCTGATTACTAACAGAAAACAATATGTGATTCGATACTGAGTGATGATATTTTGATCCACAGAATTAGAAAATTGTAATCTGGGGTCTACACGCGATCTCCGTCCGACATCCGTCCGAAACAATTACTGCCAAATAAGTAATACTTGACCAAATGAAAAAACGCGTGATGCGAATGAAGCTTCATACTGGATACTTGTCTTTTAATTTTGTCGAATATTACTTATTTGACAGTAATTGTTTCGGACGGACGTCGGACGGAGATCGAGAGTAGCCCCCCTGTACGGGTTGTAGTGAACTTTGCACCTTGACCGTCGTGAAGATAACTAGTTGGGTGGAGTTCATAAAAAAAGTTTAATGGATGTGAAAAATAATTCTTGAAAAATTAAGATCAGTTAAAGACTGTCAATTCTTCTTCTTGGTTAATAATAGTTACATTGTTGCAAGGAAACTACATCAAAATAATAATAAGTTAAGTTATGATATATATACATACATACGCGCTGTGACTTTAAGACCTATTTGAAATCTTTATACTTAGATATTTATTCGATAGTGACTGAAATTTTACATTTACTTATTGTTTGTTATAGTTTTTGTTAATGATCACATGTTTTTTTTCGTACAGCACTGTGTAACCATAGACTGTTCAGTGTTATTTATTCAATTTATTAAGTCATTGCTTAAGAATTTTAACCAAACTGGTTTGTTTACCTTTCATCTAGAATGGATTTTTTTTTACACTTAACATTGAAACAAAGTAAACTTTTATTTTTTTTAACGTATACATTTTACAAAGGTCTAACTGGAAACAGTTCCATACACGCTCTAACACAAATAATAAACAGCGCGGAGGCACTTCTCGTGTAAGTCAGAGTACTCAATTGTCGATAATGGCTGCCGTATAAGCGTTTTTTGTTTTTGTTTCGAAACTAAGATAAAAAGCGAGGTTTCAGCAGAGCACGAAGCACCTGCCCGTACCCGACCTTAGAAAAGCATACAACTCACCTACGCCAACGTCCGCAGTTTGGATCATGGACACATCGTTGGCACCATCCCCCATCGCCAATGTCGTTACTCTAAGCTCTTCTTTGACGGCCTGAAATAGAGAACAATATATTAGTGAAATGCTCCAACACTCCTTGTTAAATTGTCGGGCTTCAATGTTTTAGTTATCCATCTTAACTTTTGCAATTTGGACATTTTGCGATAACGAAATGACATTTTGTGCGAGTGTGAAATTTTGCGTCTAATGCATACGGCTTAAGATAGAAATATATTTATTTGTAAGAATGCACGGTAAATACAGTTTACATATTTATAGTCTTAAAGTCTAGCATGTTGTGTTAACAAACATTAATGTATGTAATGTTCCCATTGACTTATAAATGAATGTTCCTATTAATTTATCATGTCATATTATTATAAATTTAATTATACAATTAAAAAAAAGAATAAAATATAATAAAAATAGCAACGGCATCAGTGGCGGAAAGTCATTGTGCTAGTCTTCTACGAAGAGGTCCATGGTTCGATTCTCTCGTGAGTTTGAGTCTAATATGTGTTTGTCTATGTGTGTTTTTATAACATCCGCGATACAGGGTTTCCCTAGAGCGGAGCTATGAGTGTGTGCGTTATTATTATAATTGTCAATAATAATAAAAAATAGATAAGAGGGTCACATGCTTCAAAATGTGAAAAACTCATGTACAGTGAAAAACAATTCGAATAGTACTTTCTTAAATCTAGGTGTAGGTATCACTTTCATGTCGTCAGGTAGTACATTATACAATTTTATGCACATGTCTTATAGTAATGTGCATATCTCGGGTAAAACAGTAGGGATATCGAGTTCAAAAAAAGGAACACTTTTGTGAGTAAATAATGTTTTTTGACAAAAATACACATCTCAAATATATATAAAAGAAGAAAGGAACAATATTTTCAGTTTTCTGTTTTTTTTTATTATATACCTTAAAGACTAATATATATATAAATAGCGCTTTATTATAAGTACACTATTTATACCAAAAAGCTTTTTTCAACAAGCGTTAATAATTATACAATGACGTTTGTTCCGTGCTAAATATGAGGAATAATTGATATACCTTGACAATGTAAGCCTTCTGCAGCGGCGTGGCGCGGCAGCACAGCACGGCGGAGCACCGTCTGGCCAAAGACAGGAAGGGCGCCACCAGCCCCGAGCGCCGGTCTAGGATGTACGTGAGCGTGCGTCCGTCCACGACCAGCGCCCGCCCCCCGGTCAGGTTCTCGGACGCGTCGCCGCTTTCCAAGTACGACTTTATCGTCGACTCGCAGTGGTCCTGTGCGATCATTTTCGATAAGTCACGGCACATTTAGTAATTATTATTATTATTATTATTATTATAAATCTAAGTATTTAATAATTAATTTAATGCAGATCGCGAGCCTAAAATGGAGATGGGCAGGACACGTTGTTAGGCGGGACAACGACGGATGGACCAAAGCGGTCACCGATATCAAAGGCGGTACCCGGTAGAAGCGAGACGTCCTCGAGGCTGACCACCTGCTGGATGGTCGGACGATATCGTCGGGGTGGCCGGAAGATTGAGGATGAGATTCGCACAGGACCGATTGAGCTTGCGTTCTAAAGAGGAGGCCTATACCCAGCAGTGGGTGTCAACAGGCTGAGATGAATGAATGAGAAAATTTAATAATTACAACTTTTTCATGAAAAAAAAAACCGACTTCAAAAGTTTGTGGAATTACATCTGTTTGTCAAGTTTCATTTAAATTGGTTACCGGAAAGCGCGCGAAACCGGATTCATCCCCTTATTTCAATCGAAATCGGTTCACAAATCTAATAAGAGTAATCACGTAACATACACACAAAAAAAATACAGTCGAATTGAGAACCTACTCCTTTTGAAAAAAATTGGTTAAAAAGAATTAGTATACAAAAAATCAATAACAATTGAAACTAAAATAAATTATCATACAAAAAAAAAAGTATTAGAATATGCCAACCTTGTCTTTAGACATTAAATACAGCAACCGATCGCCCTGCGAGAAGAGAGCGGCGGAATAAGCGATGTTGATTGCGGTCTCAGGCTTATCCCCAGTTAACACCCACACGATGATACCAGCGTCTAATAATGCCCTTATAGTTCGTGGAACATCCTCTTGCAGTCGATCTTCGACGCCTGTTGCTCCGACCAATGTTAACGCGCTTTCCAAACGGGCTAGCGACTCGCGTACTCTTCTTTCGCGACCTATAATCATATTTAACATTAATAACTTAATATGTATTCCGAAGGCATTTACTTATTTTTTCTTAAGGCATTCAAAAATCATCATGTAATTGGACATAGTTATGTAAACTAGATCCAACCTACAAAATGTCACTTTCGAGATAATTAGATTTTTGTAAAAACAGTGTGAAGAAATAAATTGGTAAATTATTTGAGACAGAAAACGTGAGTTATGTGTAGCATTGAGAATGATATAGGGAAACTATTATATTATGCAGCAACAAATAGAAAACATTATGTATCTTTTTATTTCGTTAACCAGAACCATGTTCTAGTTTTCGTAATGAAAACGCTAAAGTACTACAGTACTTCAGTACATGTGACATGGATCTATTTAGCAGGTTCTTTTTAGCTATTAAAAAGTTACTTATTTAGGGTTGGCACCTTGTAGAACTTTTATTTTCTACGTTTTGGCTTGGTAAATTGTCAGGATCTTTTGTGAGGGGGTAAAGGACACGTCGGCTGTTCTACCTAAACACATAACTCAATTTCACTTGTAGTGTGGGTTGGTGCTTGTTTGCATAACTATGTCCAATTAATCAAGTGCAACTCACCTTCACCAATTTCCGAGGCCTTATTGTGGCCGGCCAGCCACTCTTCCCATTGCGCGGGCTGCATCGTCCGCTTTGCCATAACCAGTGTACGCAAACCCGCGCGGGAATACTCTGATAAGAGCGCGCGGGTTCTTTCGTAGGCGGCCTGTTCGGCCGAGTTTGTTCGCATCGTTGCCAAAGCACCGAAGACTGTACTGTCCGCTCCTTTCACATACAAGATCACCTGGAACAATCCATTCAATCCATTATACAAAAAATGTAAACAAGCAGGTCATTGACCCGACCATAGACAATTTAGTGATGGGAAAAAAATCAATTATTTGATTTCATTAAATGATTTGATTTGTTTAATTGAATCATTTGGAATAACAGTTCTTTTTGCGATTTCGCTGCTGATTGCTAACTAAAAGCATGTAACACTGAGTTATGATATTTATACACAGGATTAGGAAATTGCAATCTTTAGGGGTTGTAGTGAACTCGAGTAATAGACCGTCGTGAATATAAGTAGTAAATAGAAGGTGGAGTGCATAAAGAAAGTTTTGTGGATATGAAAAGTTAAGATCAGCCAAAGACAGAAAATTATTAAAGGTAAAATCCATTTCCCCTCTCGGTTGACTATATATTTACAAGTAGTAGTAATAGTTGACTATATTGTTACAAGCATACTGTATCAAAATAATACCATAACTTGTACGTTTTTCTAATACTAGATCTCGATTTCGAAACAAAAATCTAGATATATTAATCTGACCTGTCCATTAGGTGCCCGTATTGCAATAGACATGCATTTCCTAGAAGTGTCGAACTCCTGTACTCTCAACACCTTTAGCTTTGTTAGCTCCCCGCGTATTCCCAGTTCAACTTCATCGGGCGTCCGACTTCGTAGCTCGTAACTGTACGCCAACGCCGCTTCGGCCAGCGCTAAATCGTCGGGGCTTTCAGCTTCGAATCGTGCGATCTAAAATGTATAATAAGACCAATATTCAATTAAAGAATACCAAGTTAATAACTAATAATAATTATATCATTTAAATATAATAACAATTATTATTATTACATCTATTTTAGACTCTCGTCTCTCCCAAGGCCTAAAAGATTATTTTGAAAAAAATAAATTAAAATAAATTAAAAAAATATATTATTATTAAAGAATACCGGATTAAAAACTGTTTGTCGTTGTATTTTCTAAGGCTATTCTAAGCGAGTAATACTATTTTGTTTTTTTTATATAATATTAAGTGACGAGACGAACAAGTCGTGTTCCTAGAGGTAAGCTACACGCCTGTCCATAACGTTGCAGTGCCACTCAGAGCTTTAAATCGCAAAGATCTCAGGGGCACTGCCACTGCCCCCGTCACCCTGAGACATAAGTTGACGAGCCCCATGTGCCTTTAATTTCACCGGAACGCAGTAATGCTCACATTACTGTTTGGCCGCAGAAATAGGTAAGGTGGCAGTACTTCCCTGGCCGAACTCTTTCACAAGAAGCTCTAATGCTACTAAATATTTAATCACTGACATGGAACACGTAATCTAGTATTGTAGATAGTAAACATTAATTGGAAAACCATACCGATTGAATTGTTAGAGCTGTTACACACAGTGATTTTTAGCAGCGATACAAACGACTGCGACAGCGACGAAACGCGCGATTGCATCGATATTATTTCGCGTTTATATCGCGATCGTATCACTGCTTAAGTCGATTTTATGTATTATGCGCAGGCCTAACTTAATTTAGCTTCGTTTGCGGTGTGCAAACGAAGCTAAATTAAGTTAGGTTGGCTCACGTAGCCGGGGCATCTTTTCATACTTCGGTTCAGATCGCGAAAAAAGTTAAGTAAACTAACCCAACGATCCCGCTAGCTATGTAAAATATGTCGCCCTTCTGCCGCCCTTCACCTCCGTTACGTATGCATAGTCACTACTTACAACGTATTTTCTTAGCTAAGCTTTGCATGCAACTACGTGGGCTAAGCTAACTTAGCTAGCGTTCGCGGTGTGCCCTGCGCGTTAAGGTAAACGATTAGCAATTGCATCGCGACTGAGTTACTGCAGACACGATAGTAAAAGTCACCGTGTGTATCCGCTCCTATAAAGAATTTCTTATTCTTGTGACGTACATTCAAACAATTTTGTGACATAATTTAAAATTTTAATTGTAACAATTCCATTGCACTTCCAAGGAAAACCATTTGCTTAGTAAACTGCTTTGTGTAGTAAGCAAAGTTTCCTTATAACAAAGCAACTGTATGAATGTTTGCGTGCGCACTTGATTAAGAGGGAGCAGAGGAAAAATTTACACTTTAAAGTTAAAAATAAAATATTGTACGAGTAACTACACGATGTATTCCAGCACAGACGTTAATCAGAAACATAAAACAATAAAGTTTCCTCGATAGATAAAAATCACGAAATGACATCTAATTTTTAAATGTTTTCGATTTATTTTCGAAATGCTACGGGTTAGTAGGACCAAAATTAGATAATTAATGATATTTATGCTTGATCGACTACTGTCGTTACGGATTTTTTTAAATCCCTTTAGTTTTAGAGTTATTCCGCTAAAACGAATTTGGCACTTACGACAATTTTAATGCGCAAAAGACAACATCTCCTATCGCTTGTCACAGGAACTTCAAGCATATAATTGTTTCACAAACGTTGCCTTTTGCGCATTAAAATATTGTAAGTGCTAAATTCGTTTTAGCGGAGTAACTCAAAAACTAAAGGGATTAAAAAAATCCGTAACGACAATAGTCCATCATATATAAATATCATTAATTATCTAATTTTTGTACTAATAACCTGTAGCATTTCGAGAATAAATCGAAAAAATTTGAAATTAGAGGTCATTTCGCAACACTTGATTTCAAAAATAAGGGGAGTAAGGGGACGGTGTATACTGTAGGGGTATCCCTACAGTGTGTTTTTTTAATTGGGACAGTATGAGGTCGGTCTGGGCCGGTCTGGGTATTTGCGCAGCAGTCTGCCTTTGGGAATATACCAAGTGTATGTATTTATTATGCATTTTCAATAACTATATTATTATCTTTATGTTCCTAACTTCGTCGTTTTATATTATAAACAATAAGCATTATGGTTTTTAGGCACTTATAGTCACCGGTGAGGGTGACTAAGACAAAGAAAATATCTGTCCAGAAACGAATTCAAGAAGTTTTGGATATAATGAAATGGCGCTGATGCAGAAAATCGACAAATTCATTATAGTTCTGTGTACATAACTATAATGAATTTTTCCCACAAAGGTTCCCACAGTCTTGATATCGACCAATCCGAAGTTTTTTTGCGCGTAGGGGAAGGGAGGGAAAATACCGGTGAACTTAGAGAAAATTTCGATCATGTACAAAGTTCTTTAATAAAGTCGCATGATAGAAATTGAATTGTGGTCCTTCTAATCTTCGTCGCAAAAAGTATGACTTTAATGTTGGTGATATTGTTCGGCGAAAAACTTATTATCAGAGTGACAAGGGAAAACGTTTCTCTAAAAAACTACCTCCTAAGCATATGAAACGTTGCATTAAAGGTAAATTATCACCTTTAATATATAAATTTGTCCATATGCATGGCATTTTAAATTGTAGTAAAGTAAATTGTAGAACATATTTTCTCTTCCTTTTCTTCAATGTACATTGAACCTGGTCTATTTTAATATGCTAATAGGTTGACATTTTTTGCATGGCTTCTATCAATTTGTATTTTAATTGAAAACGACAACAAAATGAATTGTTTCAGCCTTGTCGTTTGGCTTCCCAAGAAAAATAAAAAAAACTAAAAACTATCAAAAAAAGACAACTCTTGCAGAAATTTGTCAGATATTTACATAGACATACACATATATACACATACACCTTCACATATGTAGACACACAAATGCGCATACTCTACTATAGTCCATTTGTTTATTATATTATAAGTCGCATCATTTAAGAAATATAGTAATAAAAATTAATGTCAAAATCTATGAATACAACGGAATTCAGTTATAATATGTCATCAATATATATTTCAATTTGTTACATTGTTTTTTGATAAACAATATTTTAAGTCGCTTCGTTCTGGCATCGAATTAGTTTTTATGTAACGTAAAAAAATAAATTTTAATCTGACAAACTTTGTAATTGGCTATGTAAGTAGGTTATTCTGAATTGTAAACCAAATTTAAAAGTTGTAAAATTTCCAAACAAATAAATAAATAAACTTAAAATTTAGCGGTGTATTAACTCATTTTATTCAAATTGTACTTTAGAATTAGGGTTAGATATTTAAATACGTAATACGTTTATTTGAATAAAGAAGAGTAATAAAAATTTTAAGTAGTCGAATACGACTCTATGGATTCAATGTTTACGGGACAATGATAAGCGCGCGAAAATTACTTTTGATCGGTTTGCGCTGCGACGTACGGGAGCGGGCGGCGAATGATAGGTGCGGGTAGCGGGGAGTGTGTGTGGAGCCAACGTCAAAACTTTTTCAGCACGAGGGCTCTTAAGTTACAAACTAAAAATGTAAAAAAACTAAGTTACTTTTTTATTAAAAAAATTGACTTGAAACGTTGTGGAATTACATCTATTTGACAAGTTTTATTGAAACTCAGCGGAAAATGAGTGAAATCCAATAAACCCAATTCATCCCCTAATTTGCCACCGTTAGTGTAATGTTTTTTTTAAAAAAAGCAAATTTTAACGCACACACTCCTAACCCTGCACTAGGGAAACCCCGTATCATGGGTGCCATAGATAAATACATAGACAACCACAAATTACACCCAAGCTCATGATATAAATAAATGTAGGCCATACAATTATTTCTCCCGATCCGGGAATCGAACCCGGGACCTCTGCATGGCTATCCACTATGGTAACCGTTCGGCCATAGCTCCTTTCCGACAAAAAAAGAAACGTCGAAACCGGTTCACAAATGTTGTAATAATACGCATACAACATACAGAAAAAAAACACAGTCGATATGAAAATCTCCTTATTTGAAGTTGGTTAAAAATACGCAACAAAAGAGATATGATTACAATTTAGTGCACAGCAATTAGCAATAAACTATAACCATTTAAGTTACTGGACACGTCAGTAAGTTGGCCCATTGACTGGAACCCGTAACCAACTTATTTACTCAGTAGATAATCTCTCGACGAAATGTTCACACGAGAACGACAGCGGGTAGTGACGAAAGGAATGCAACGTAGAAAATTGCAATTGTTTTTATAATTTCGTCGCGCTCGCACTGCAAATAACCGCAAATAATCGCAATCACGCATCAGTAATCTCTGTCTTACGACGTGGTGGACTACCTTGGTATGCTACGCATCGTAAAAAACACTTTATGTGTGTTTTTGTGAACTTTTATGTATCCATATTGAATGGAACCACAAGTACACTAAAGCGTATAACACCCAAAAAGCGGGTGCGGGTGGGACGCGTGTCGGGTGTAATTCCGTGTATTTATATGTGAACGACAACACAAAACGCGCGGGCAGTACGCGCGTCCTGCGGCCCGTTGTCACCACGCTAATGGAGCTAAATTCGCGTGACAGGAATAAGGATTTACTACGCAGGTATGCAGGTACAAACCTGAACTCCCTCGCTATTTCCGGCATCGATTACGTCCTGTGTATCTTTAATCGCAAACGGAAACTTAGGCAGACGGACTTTGAGGTGGGACGTCGTCAACGGCGGCGGGGACGGAGTTGTTGATCGAGACTCCGCTAGTCTCGAGTACCTATAAAAACAAAATGTTTTAACAATACACTATTTACAAAATAATGAAGCTGTAATTATTTCAATAACATGCACACAACCATAGCCCCGCACTAGGGAAACCCTGTATCACATGAGTCATTTTCTTTAATCATGTGCCTGTATCGCGGTTGTCATGGACACACACTGATAATTTTTGACACAATTGTTTAAAACAATTTAACTATATTTTTATTTCTTTTCTATCTTTGTTTTCTATAATGTTGTCGTTGTTTTTTATTTGGCATTCTATAATCGTGTCTAATGTATTTTGCTGGGAATGCTTTAATGGGAATCGAACCCGGGACCTCTGCGTGGAAGACCAGCACAGTAATCGTTCGGCCACGGAGGTAGTTAGAACTATAACAAAGGCAGACGAAAAGTAATATTTGAGTTTTTATAAATATTTGTTTATATTTTTAAACGCCAACCTTGATAAGAAAGAATTTATTATCATTTTTAGCAAAAAAAAATGTCTTTACCATTCGGGTGTTATATGAATTATAATTAACAGCTCATATGTCTAAGAAGGCTTACTATAGTACAAGTCATAGTTAGCCACAGATTTTTATTTTCATAACAATTACTAAAAGGAATAGGGTTCCATAGTTCTATCATTATGAGCGCGATAGCGAGAACTGATACCAATTGTGCGGTGGACATCCCATAAAAAAAGTCATAAAACATTACATCAGACAAGGAATAGTTTCGAAATTCGGCGAGAAGGTCAACAGAGTGTAAATGTTTGTTTTTTTTTTGTTTTTTTTTGTAAAAACGATTATTCCATTGCAGGAGGTCAATTTCTCTACAGATTGAAGTTTGGAACATTGGTTAATATTATGTCTTTTCTCGGCCAGTTTCGGCTGGTTTCAACTGCAAATGCATTCTGATGTGTGTAAGAGTTTATTTCGTCTTCTTCCACCTGCATGAACTTTCTGACGATTGATTATGATACATTTAAAACTGCAACCTTTTATTTTTAAATTATTAATATGTATTTGTTTCTGTGGTTACTAAGAATGGTTACCCACGACGAATTTTAGCAGCGATGCAAACGTGCTTTCGTGAAACGCGCGATTGCATCGCTACACTTGCGATTTATAAGCGATTGCATCCATGCATACGCGCGACTGCATGGATACAAACGCGCGATTGCATCGCTGCACTTGGGATTTATAGGTGATTGTATAGCGATGCAATCTTGCGTTTGTATCGCTGCTTAAAACCGCGCGCGTGTGCAAAGGTAGACGATTAGCGCTGCATCGCTACTGCATCGTGTTTGCATCGCTTCTAAAAGTCGCCGTGTGTAACGGTTCTAAAAAGTATTGTGTTTTTTACTGACTTATCATTAGATCTCAGAGTGCCGTTGGAGCGGGCGGGAGTCAGGCGTTTGTCTACCCCCGAGCCGGATACTTGCAACTTGTCCACGTGGGGCTGGCTCACCATCACCGTGTTGCATACTGCTAAGATTAACAGGAACTCGCGGACCTGTTGGCGTTAAATGTGTTACGTGCACGGTCCTCCTCTGAAACATTAGAGGCTCTCAAGTGTTTCACATGACGAGCGCTATAAAATACAGTCCCGTTCTTAAGAATTGAAGTTGTTGAATGCAACAAGTACACTTATGTCAATAGACAAAAGTAAGTGTGATTTTAGTGACGAAGAAATAATTGTGACGATGATTTAGTTATAAACAAACAAACACCTTAAAATTACCACGTAATCATGACCCTAAAATAATACCGCGTCTTTCTCGCAACGTAGCATACTGCTGAAATTACATATATAAGTAGTATTTGTTCGTATTACCATGTATTATGTTATCGACGTCACGATACCCTTAGATGCTCCGACGTCAGGAGCAGATAACAAATAATTGACTCAGCGGGCGACACGCCGACAGGCGACTCTACCCACGCGCCATTAGGGATGCGATCCCGACGTCATTCCAGATTTCATGACGTCATGCGGTCAGCGTAAATATCTTAACACCATATGTGAGACCAGGAAAAGCAGTTCTAACTAAAATAGCATAGAGCGTAATAAACCAACAAATAGTAGTCCGCTGGTTCAATACTTCACCACATTTGCGTTGCCAAGATAACAACGATTAAAACAATCCCGTTAGATTACTAGTAGTACTTCACCGTTGTCAAAGCCCATCCATACTTTTATGCATCACGTAAAGATTTGTTCGTCATTGATCAGAACGTACCGATTTTGTTCCAACGACAGAACGAAAACTAATATGTAAAGCAAATATTGAAATTGGAAATTACCTTTTGTGTGTGTTGAGCGTCGTTGTTGTCGAGCATGTGTTGCAACATTCTTCGATTGGGTGACACTTGTGTTATGGGAGTGACAATGGGAGGCAGTAGATCCGAGGGTATCGCAGGAGGGCCCGGCGGATGATCGTAGTCCACGCCGCCTACGGCGCACCGTCTGAACACCATTTTGTTTTCCGTCAACGTGCCCGTTTTATCCGTAAACAGATAATTGATTTGGCCTAATTCTTCTGTTATATTTAATGCTCGACATTCAGTCCTCGAGTTAGTGATTGGATCGTACATTTCGATGTCGTTGTGAATATGATAAACTTGCAGCAATTTGGTCATTTCTATAGTAACGTATAAGGAGACCGGTATCATAACTTGTAGAATTATGATGTACGTCCAAAATATTAAGAGCCCCTCCTTAGCAGATGAATAGGCTTGAGGTATAAACGGTGGAAGATTGTGAAGGTTGTACTGGTCCATCCACACTTTGCAGCCGATGGCACCGGCGCAACACAGAAAAAGCAGAACGAGGACGCACCATATAACATCTGTATTCATTCTCCTTTCTAATTTGGAAGCTTTGTACCTCGGACCGCCATTATTCAGCATAGCCTTCGTCTCGTGCCCCGCGTATACAACTATGCCTTCAACAAAGTCAGTATTTTTGACTGTGCAATCCCTCAATAACAAATGCTCTGAATTGAGAGATACCCGCTCCCCATTAGGATGTGCCATCGTGCCGTTGAATCTGTATATTTTCGTGGAGGGTCGTTCTACTTCTATCGTACTTCGGAATTTTATTGGATTATAGTCTAAATGCTGAAACAAAAGAATTTGGTGTCACTTATTACATGTTTAGCATGCAAATTGCCAAAATATCAGAGAAAGTACCCCACGCTCTGGTTGGTCGAGGGAATCTAAAAACGAGATTTCAGAGTAACGTTATTTACGCTAATGGCGATCCGCTAAGAACCCAGCAGATTACGAAAGTAGTGTCATGGTTTAGTAAACGAGGTTAAATATTTAGTTTAACTGACACAATCGTGGGGAATTTTTTTGTTGATATATGATTACTATAGTCGTAAATTGGATAGGGCATTACAATATTGATGGCTGTGACCTGTACGAACATGTATAAAGGTAAGGCGATAGTTTATGTCAATACGCTTTATTGACATATGCGCCCCGCTGATCTCAGTGTCCTAATTTTGTTTATTCGGACGAGTCGCTTTTTCCTATTTCAGTTGGCCTAGTAACGGCCAAGGTTTTGGCGGCCGGTAGTAATTTCTCTCCACCGTCGCTGTAAGTTATGTCTTTTCTTGCATTTTCATTATGTGGAAATATATTAAACCGAAAAGCGTATTAGCGAAAAACATATTAGCGTATAATATAATATAGACTTGGTAATGACAAAAAGTGAGAATAATATTTTTTTTACTAAAATATCGACCATGTTGTGTAACATGTTTCCTTATTAATAGTGCACTGGCATAACATGCCAAGACGAAACGATTGATTAGATAATGACTTTGCGAAACGCGTCATGCCCAAAAAGTGCAATGGGAACTGCCAGCCTCTGGTACTGAAAGACCCAGAACAAGGCTGTGCTCTGTAACTGGTATATAGGCTGATAACTTTAAGTTGATACATACCTTCTCCCTAAAACCAGGAGCAACAATACGTTGCTTTAAATTAGTCTCCCCATCCAGGTTGCACGTATCCAGATAGCATATGCCCGTCGGATTGGAGCAGTGCAGCAGTACCATGTCTGCTGGCACCGCCTCGTTGTTGGACAGGTGCACCAAGTCCCCGACCCTCACGTCCCGCCATTTGATTTGGACGTAACGTTCAGTTGAACTGTGGAAAAAATAAAATTTGTTATTCGTTTTTGTTATAATGATCACATTTCACAGTTTACAAAGGTTTAGACTTCGCAAGGATTTAGTATCCCATATAAGGCATTTTGAAATAAGAAGGATACAGGAGTATCCTTCTAATTCTTCTTCTAATCCTTCTAATTAATAGGAATTAAATATACCAGGCTGCACGTCTGTGGTAGGCATTTCGTATTTCAGTGTTCAATGGTAGATGTTTAGAATAAATTCTAAATATAAGGTAATAATTATTTATTTAGGGAAATTTTTCGGAACGTAAAAATAATATATTATTATTATGCAAAATTAACATGCAAAGCCCCTGGGGCTTTGTAAGGTTAAAAATGAGGATTTTTCAGTGTGAGTAATTTTTAATGGCAACCGATAAATCAGGACACTCGACACTAGTTTCTCAATCGTGTTAACTCAATGCCGCTGAATTTGATAAATTCATATTCAAATGTTATGGATACGGGTTGGTTCCCGCAATTCGATTTCGAGCTCCTCCAAGAATCTTAGCCTCGTTTTGTTTGGGTTCGCTGAAAACTTCAGAGGGAAATTTCGGCATGTCGAAGTAGTATCCAAAACTGTTTTTTAAAGGTTACTGCTATGTCGTTAAAAGTTACGTGAGCCTTTAGTATTTAAACAATCCTAAACAATTTGCTTTAGGTGGTTCAAAATAATAATTTATTCTTAAAGAGAAAACATTAACAGCAATAAAATAACACATAGTTACTATTAATTATGTAAGCCATTACGGTACATTTTACGTCTACGGGGGTTGCAACCAAAAGGTGTTAATCATATTTTGTGATATGAAAGTGTTCATGACCCTGGAATAATTGAGTAAGCTATAAAAAGTTATTCGCAAAACCATTTTCGACTTGCCATACATTTTTTGTACACTAACATTGACCAAATGCATACCAACGATCGATTGAAGCGAAGGCAAAATCTGGCCACCTTAGGCCCGGCGTCCGTTCGTGAGACGGTATAACAAAGTATCTGTTGGCAACCCTATAATCGCTTAATTGATCGCACACTGAGGGCAAATATGCAGCGGTATATTTAGGTATGCCGAAGCATAACGACGCGACATCCTGCTCGCGCCTAGCCTCTCTTCAGATCAGTCGTAATATTAAACGTAAAAGAATGCCGAAGAAAACCTCCCGAAGGCTGTTGTGATATTCCGGAGACTGCCACTTCGGTATCCTCAAGCTTACCGCAGCTTTATTTTGGTAGCTACGACCATTATCATTGCAATTTCAACTATGTTAACGTTAAGGTATGTTACTATTGTAAGGGTGAGGGCCTGGTGCATTGTAGTGCAGGTGTTAAGCCTTTAACAAGCACCAGCTTCTTCAAAAAATTGTAACTGTATCTTAAATTACTGAGAACCTTCTGTAGGTGATTTTGTGAAGAAATACATATATATATATATACGTCACCTACAAATGTCCTGCTGTGCCGACCCTTCACTGTGCGCCGGGCTTTCCATGCCGGACTGTCACGCAGAGGACCTGGGTTCGATTCCCAGGCCGGGAGATTTATGTGTAAGACCTACATTTATTTCTCTCGTGAGTTTGGGTGTAATTTGTGGTTGTCTATGTGTGTGTCCATGGCACCCACAGGGAATCCCTAGTGCGGGGCTATGAGTTGTATTGCGTTTATTTATTAATCTATTGTTTATTCGTAAGGCAGATTCCCTTGAGAAGAATGAGCAAGAACCTCTAGGGTTCGCTTGTTATAAATAAATATTTGTATACATTTTATTACATACATTTATTATTTCAAACATAGATCGAGACAACCTGCAAGAGCTAAACTGGTCACTACCACTGATGTTTGTCATTCAAATACTTAGTATAATAGCTTTTTGTTTCACTATAGTTTAAAACATCGTGAATTATGCATATCCAAAATATGACTACATCTTTTTGTTAGAGCTGGAGAAGCTATCATTAAGCAAGCCATAAATGTTGTTGCTAGCTGCGACTACCGCAAGACGTGTCGTACGACGCAATGTGATTTCCTGAGGAAAGTACATAATGTACTTAATTTCTATTTGATTGCAGTTAGTGATAAATGACGGAAATGTTACTAATGCCTATTCATGTTTATTGAAATTTTATTGTCAATACGTTAATGATATAATCATTTATTTATTGGACACATCTAAACTAATGCCGTTAGTATAAACAGCGACTTATTTAGGAATTTAAAACAATAATAATAGATTAATTAAAACTATAGGTATTTTTATTATGATTAATGAATATAATTTATTAAATTTTGAAGTTGAATTGTATGAAAGGTAATAATTAGATTATAACTTTTTTATAAACAAAAACCGAACTCAAAAGTTTGCTTTGCCGGTAGTATATATAAATAAGCAAAGCAACTGAAAACCTTCTAGTACAAAATGCTACTATAATCTGTACGAATTTTTCGAAGATAAATATTAAATTATATGGTGTTTTTTTTTTAAATGGGATAGTATAGGGAAATCCGAAAGCATAGAGGATACAAAGAAACTGTCTTAGGACAGTACAGCCTTTTTTTTGTGAAAACAATTTTGGCTAGTTAATTTTATGGTCAAGCGTGAGTGGTCCATAAAAATGAATAAAATTGATCAAAATTTCCCATTAAAAAAAACAGTATATGTTTGCATAAAGACTTTTAAAATAAGTAATGAGTGTTATTAGTTAATATCCAGCATATTTTATTTTTTTTAAGCTCGTAAGTGCCCTAGCCCCTATTTGCTACGCTCTTACTGGGTATCACTTATTAACGACCTTTATGTTATTTAAGACCTTTGTCAACTTTATATGGAGCGATCAATTGAATTGAAAAACAAGATTTAATTAAATTCTTTACAATATAACTTTACATTTTACGTCTACACACTTTTAACGTAACTTATGTAGTAATGTGTTAGTTGTTACGTCGTTTAGGTAAAACTTCGGTGAGGTACAGCATAGACACTCCTAGTAAAAAATTTTAGTTGGTTCGCCAACCACAGCTTGCGTAACGGTTGCAATTTTATAATTGTATAATAACAGGTAGAAAATAAATTTTATTATTAAAAAAGATATAATAAAATGTGTTTCTATACTATGAGACTTGGAACCATGAAATTCTCAGAACTATAATCAAATAGGTACTGCGATCATCCGGAAATCAGACCGTGTGGCCTCGTCCTTATCGCGCAAATCGTCGAGTTAAAGATTTGGTATAATCACTAATCACCTACATAGTAGGTTTCGTGTTGTCCTGAGATTCAATTAAGAACTGTTTTATAAACTTCCGCGTCTATAGTGTTAAAATAAATATGTAGGCATAAAAAACTAAATAAATTATGCCCTTGTAGTACAAATATTCATTCAATTTTGCAGCAGTAGAGCTCCTTAAGAAAGAGTGCATCTAATATGCGCATTATGATTTGTCATTATGAGTATTATGATTGTAGTAATGTGAACATTACTGCGCTTCAGATCAGATATTTGCGATTTAAAGCTCTGAGCGGCACTACAACTGTTATGGACCAGCATGGTGCTTACCACCAGGCGCGCCACTTGTTCGTCGCGCCACTTAATATCATAAAAAAATATTAAACCTAGCAACTAGCAACGCAAGACATTCCAGTCATATCCAGCAAGTTTCTACTTCGAGCATTTTAACTCTACAAGTGTGACGTAGGTTACGAAGGCTTTCTTACGTTCAATGCGACAATACCATTTGATAAAGTTCTTTATAAAAGTCAACAAAGCTTTAGAAAGCACGAAATGCGTTATCGTTGACAAATCACTTTCGCCAGTAGATCGGTGACATTGTTACCTGTTGCTTGCCTTGACTTATCGAAACGATAGCGTCGCTAGTCGCTACAGTACACGCTTTGTCATAAACTATAAGATTTTATCCTTAATACCATTTTGCTGACGAACTGGGTAAGAATTGTCACCAATAGGAGTAACAAAGAGATACTGAAACTTTTTTTTATTACTGACTTGCTTTTGTAAGCATTCTTTATAAAAAAAGGTCAATGGTACCAAGTTAATAATACATAGTTTACCATAATTGCGAGCGATTTTGAAAAACTTTCAATGTTTAACTAGTACAGTCAACAACAAGCTGGGTTGTAACTTTTACGCTGGCCTTTTTTTGTAAGAAATAAGTGCGCATTTGACCTCCATCTTACCTGATGGAAAGTGATGATGAGGTCGACGATGGAGCGTACACACCGTCTAATAGTATTTAAATGAAACCTTATATAGTAAAGGATATATGCTTTTGTCCCTACTCAAAAAAATTTAAATACAGTAGCTAGTTTAGTTAAAAATTTAATTTGGATTACTTCGGTAACCTCGGGATATCACTGTGGGCGCTTAACGTGAAGGTCTCGGGTTCAATTTCATGAGCACTACTCTCGAAACACGAAATCCGTAATGACGGCGTTTTAACATTATGAATGACCTACAGAGTTTCGATCGGGGCTACTCGTAGAACTAGAAATGTGTGACAGCGCGATTTGATAGTTTCGAACAGGCCCGTCTTTTCGTTGAAGGACTTCGAAAGTAGTTCCGTAGGTCATACATAGTGGGAAAACGATTATGGATTTCATGGTTCGAGATCAAATGAGTTTACAAAACGAACTTTTCTGAATTGCTTTACGTCTAGTCATCGTTGGTACCCCGTGTTTTTTTCCTTATTCTGGTACTCTGGTTTAGAAGGTGGTTTAGAACATTATTCTTATTATAAATTTTCTCATTGGTGAAAAAATTGTCACTACTTTCGTACCCTGTTCTAGTCAGTTCGTTCCTTACTTGCACCAGGACTTGAGTACTTCAACTAACCTACGCTTTCCATTATCAAGTAGTATGTAACAAACAAAAGAATTTAAACGCGATCGCGGCGCTGATACGAGTCCATCAGTGCACACCTGTGAACGTAACAATATGTTTAAGAAATTAAAAATGCTTCGAT